ACGCCAATTTAGTTGCTAATCAAGAAAAAAACTCGAATTTGTGGCAGAAGTACTTGATCTTTAATTATTCATCATCTTTTCATGCCATGGAGATTGAAGAATATTGGTGGGTATTTTCAAATATTTGCACTGAAAAATGTTTCATCGTAAACCAATGCGTATGCGCATTATATCAGATCAAAACACCAATGTTAGAGGAATTTAAGCTTGACTTCCCTCTAAGAAATCAGTTTGAATTTTGTTTTTCTGAAGCAGTTTTAACTGTATTAATTCATGCAAGCCTCACATATCAAATCTCTGTACAGAAAATTTCTCTAGGGCCATCAGCGGTCAGCCTATTCCATGTCTATTAACTAGCTAGAAATTATACCATTAGCAATGATGGAGGATAAGCTAACAGAGACCACTATGTCCTTTACCGCTCCTGGAAGCTGCTAGCTATGCACTCAAAGGGACGCTATACCATTGAGAAAATTAAGTACAACTTACATTCAACTTGTAGTGCCGAACCATGCACTCGACTGATGCTGGAAACCATAAGCAAGCTAAAAGCATTAGGATTCTAATCCATGTTGCCATCTCCAATAGTTGTCTCTACCTCTCTCTCAATGCCAAGCCCAAATTACTATTTTTTTTTATCTAATTGGTGCACTCAGGCATTGAAGACAAACTCAAACTTATAAAGAGGCAAAATCCGAGTCTGGCCTCTGCTGCCAAGTCGTTTTTACTTAGTTAGGTGGAAATGAAGAATGCTTGAGAGGGAAGGGGGCAATGTACGAATTGAAGATATAGGCAGAAAGTTCTGAGAGATTTCTTGTGTATCACCCAAAGTAGTTACCTATCAAACTAAGGCACATTTTGAAGCTAAGCTAGTTGAGCACCTGATGCCATTTTTCAATTGACTTGGTGGTCAGCCATGGGTTGGTCCAACCGTATGGGGTAAAGTACACCCGATCTCAACCACAATGTTGATAGATTTTCAACCCCATTGAGGTAAAGCATACGACAAAAGCAACAAGCAAAACAGAAAACCTGCTTGTTCTTTTCATTTTTTGCTTTGTCTTTTTACCCTTTTGTGATCATTAATCAGTAAAAAATTTAAGCATTTGATTGGCAGATTAGTATAACAGAAATCTCCCAATACTAGTAAGATTAGCCTTCATTAAGTAATTGCCACTAGTCTATTATGATGAGAAGCTTTTATCAAATATGATGTGAGGTATGAATAATAGTTGAATATCACCACCACAAAACTGAGATTTCATTGGAGTTTCTTATTTTTTGGGTTTTTTTTTTTCTTGGCAATGATGCTGCATAATTAAAAAAAAAAAAAAAACATTAGGCAAAAGTTTACTCTAAAAGGACAACATTGCATATCTTTTTTACCTTTTCCCTTTGTTATAATTGAAACCATGGAACATGTTTAAATTATTGTTAGCATCACTTAGGCCTTAGGGCATAAAATTTTATAACATGCATTATAATTGTTCTCTTTTTAAGGCAAAGTTTGCATATCTTTTCCCATTTTTTTTTAGTGGGGAGTGGCGGAGGGCAAGCGGCCAACATCCTTTAGAACTATTTGGTGATAGAATAAGAATTTTAAGGAGAAACAAAGTGATCAAATGTTGGACCACTTCCAAACGGAGAAAAAAATATTGTCCAAATTAACAAGGATTATGAGTAAAAGATCAGCTGTGTTTTTTAGCATTATTGTCTACACTTACTGTAAATAATTTTTTCTAACTCAAAATAAAATCAAAATTTTCCCATTTAAAAATGCATTTTCGAAATTTGTTTTAAAAGTTTACATATCTATATCGCTTTAACCCCATTTCGAAATATTATAAAAATTCGTTACGATATATATAGATATTTAAATTAATACTTGTGAGATATTTTTATCAAAATAAAATCGTAAAACTTTAATATTGTAAATTATAGACACGATGACATCTGAAAAAAAAATGATTATTACATCTCCTTAGAACTGTAACAGCATGCACTATGATATTTTGAAAGCTAGAGGAGATTTGGATAAATGAAAATAAAAATATATAAATTAGTGTGTTGAAAATTGGATAATTGTCACTTCAGCTATTTTTTTCAATGTAAAATTCGTAATTAGGTTATTTTCCATGAATTCGATGAACCCCTTGGCCATGGAGAAGGAAAGTAAGTGGGAAAGGGTGGGTAGTTGACAGATAAAAAAAATGGTTAACCCAACAAAACACTTTAGTTAGGGATGCCTTTCATTGACTGGACTTTGTTTTCCAAAGGCTAAAGCTTCTGATGCTTAGAGGTCAGTGGCAACAGCTCATCCAACCTTTGTTTACTTTAAAATATTCCCCTAACATAATTTATTAATCACATTCCGCAGCCATATATATATATAAATGTTTTCTAAACTAAGCTTAATTATATTTGTATTTCTTGCTTATACTAAATTAATAGGAAAAAATAATGATTTCTTTCTTAATATTATTTTTGTAGCATAATTTTTTTAATTTTTAATTTATTTAAAAAAATTTTACCCTATTATTTTTTTGATTAAAAAAAGTATTACGTGTATAAATTCTCTTGAACAGATAATTTTTAAATACCACTTAATTTAAAAAATAATCTAATTGTAGCAAAATTTGTTGAATTTAAAATATTATATTGTTTTGTTAGACATTCAAGATCATTGAAGAAAAGTCTGGCTGATCTTTCTTTTATTATTCTTCTATTGAATCGGATTTCAAAAAACAATAATTAAGAATTAAAAACCAAAATCAGATATGTTTTCATTTTTTATTATTTTTAATTGGCAATTGCAAAAGGCTTTTGAAAAAGGTCAAGTTGAGCAGGCCCATTTTGAATGAACTAGACCTCTTTTTATAAAGGACCAATACCTTTGCCACATTAAATTTTTTATTAGGCCCTAAACTTTATTTTTTTTTCTGCCAACACCCTAGAAAAGTTTAAATCAGTTTTTAATACTAGTTATTTAAAAAAGAAAAACCAGAATTTAAAATTTTATTTCTTATAATAATGTAATTAGTCGACATGGGTAATTTCATAATTTAGATTAGTAAATAAATAAAAATTTTTAAACGGACATTTGGAGATAAATATTATTCCAATTTTATAACTAGAAAAATTTTAAAAGGGCTAACCATATTGCATTTATCATTGGGAACTAAGGGAAGTGTTAACTAGTGACTAATGGCAACGTGAAATTTAAGAAAAAAAAAATTATAATTAATGAGTTGTGTTCTTTTGAAATTGATGAACACAATGCATTAAATTAAAATTTTTTCTTGAAATATAAAATGGCTAACCCGAATCCCAATCTTTGATAATTTTATTATCATTTAATTATTTTCATACGGTCCATTCATCGATGCAAAATATCACAATATGATAAAATAATCAATTAAAAAAACCTCTAACTCTAATTAAAAATTTATTAGGTTTTTTAGGAATAACACCTTAAATTGCAAATTTCATCATTTTTATCTTTTGCGAAATATTTGCATCTTAACAATTTAAAATAAAATTTTAAATACTTAAATATTATTTAATAGATAAAAATTGAAGAAATTATATTTCATTTCATGTCCTGAAATTGTATTAAATAAATTCAATTAAAATTGATATTTTTCTATCATGATTATCATCATCATTATTTGAAGAAACATAAAGGGAAGGGTTACTTGCAGGGTTGGAGATCAAATATCATTATCTGTCTATAATTCTATAATCAAACAAAAAAAAAAGGAAAAAATTATTGGAAGTGAAATGTGGTATTGATCAATGTTTGAGTTTTGCAAGTTATGTTGGAAAAAGACTCGCCTAGCTAGACAAAATGTTGCAAGACAATTAGCCTATGTTACCTAAAAAAATCTTATTTATATCTCATGCAAATATCCAAATTTAAGCCGTTCTCCTCATCTCCTAGATGGCATTTTAGTGTGAAAGGCTAGCTATGTCCAGTGTGTACGTGTGTATGTAGCTTTCATGTCATTGATAAAAATTTCAGGCATTTATTTTTTCATTAAAAAGTTAAATGAAAAGTACTAAAATTTTAAATATTTATATATTGAGTGAATGAGCGTATATGGCATTTTGTGATGAATAATTGGTTTCTTTGATAGAAAATTTGTACATACATCAAGCTTGTCATTTTGGAGAGAAAATCAAAGTAGTGGCTTGGGACTGCTATTTTGTTCTCACTAATATTTGTTTGTGAAGTCAGTCCAAATATGTTCATATTGTAATTAATTGGAGCAATGATTCATGGAAAGAATCTTTAATTGGTTCTGAGAAGAAACCGAAAGCGATTTATATAACTTTCCCAACGTGACGGAGATGTAATAAGTGAAAGCTTTAGAAACAGAATTTTAATCAATTTATGTGGAATAAATTATATTGGAATTGAAGCAAAGTCAAAGTTCATGAGCTGTGGGCAATGGCATTTGGAAGCATACATATAGAGAGAGAGGTAGTTAGGAGTGGAGACAATTCCTTGATGAACACAACGCTTTCCCATCGAAAACAAAGCTACCTGCTCCAGTCTTTCCGTCATAGAAGAAAGATTCGCCGAAATTAAGCCTCGTTTATTTCACAAGACTTGAGCCATAATAAACCATTGTTCCAGGTTGTTTGAAACTTAAGGTAATTAAGTACTACTGCAGGCTGCACTGTATGTTTTTGTTCTTTCACGTGCTTGACTGATTTTTCTATTGTAGGAAAAACTGCCATGATTGGCCAAGCTCTAAGTTTTAGCTGGCCAATTTTATTTTTTTGGACTATGAACAAGTCCACTAGACTACTGTTACGTATTTAAATTTGTCACATCAGATGGACCATATTGCGGTCCATCTGTTTTTCTTGTGAAAGCGAAAAGGTGGACTTAGCAAAAGGGTGGACTCGAGTGCTGCTTCGTGATGTTCCTCAAAGTCTACTTTGAAAACCATCGTCAAATTCTTGGAGCCAGCACATTTGCTTTCTGGACATGTATGTCTTTTTGTGCATAGTCCCACTGTGAAATGAATCTACCCTCTCATCGTTAAGTCATCCTTTGCTCTTTATGCAGAGTTTTCACATTTTAAAGTAGACTAGGAAAGTATAGACTATAGTGGGGCCCAGCAGATGTGATCACAACCCCACGACATTTTAATAATAGCTTGATCCAAGTTTTAATATTCAAGAGCAAATTCTATTGCCCCTGAAATCACGAGGCAGACAGCTTCTCAGGAAGCAATATTGCGTGATGCTTAGGAGCTTCAGATCTGCTCTATGGTGAAGTGAAACTTGGTGTGTGGATGTTTGAACTTTATCTTCTCTTTTACAGTATTAATCTTCTTGATTTTTGAGGTATTGATATACTCATTTCACTGTTATTTCAAGGATATTAGGTTAAATTGATGTATTGGTTTAGGCCTTCTTGGTCTTGAATCTCAATAGCTGGGATTTAGCAAAAAAGTTTTTTTTTTAGAAATATTAGTAGGTATGCATTTATTGAGTCTCTGTATGCTGACTTTCTCTGGAGTTTGTTGGCTAAGTACAACCATGATTCCTTAATAATATAGGCTTCAATCTCAAGTTCTGAGTCTTTCTGTTTCTCAGCGGATTCCAAAACCACGTGTAAGCAGGCTTAGATAAATTTCTGGAAAGCAATGGAAGAAGATGATATCTACACAAAAGATGGGACTGTGGATTACAAGGGAAATCCTGCTAATAAGAAGGAAACTGGAACCTGGAGAGCCTGCCCATTTATCATAGGTAATCATAAAAGCTAGTAGTTGAAATTAGAAATTAAAGATAGAGATGGGATGCTTACTTTGGCATTTATCAACAGGAAATGAAGGCTGTGAAAGATTGGCATACTATGGGATGAGTACCAATCTGGTGCTTTATTTCAAGCATCGGCTAAATCAGCATAGTGCAGTTGCCACTAAAAATAACCAGAACTGGGGTGGCACATGCTACATTACACCATTAATTGGAGCATTTCTGGCTGATTCTTATCTAGGAAGATATTGGACAATTGCTGGTTTCTCAATCATCTATATAATTGTACGTTTGACTCATCTGATTCTTATTACATACTTGTAATTGCATCTCTTAAAGAATTTTGTACTACCAGAATCACAACATAAAAACCAACTGAAATTGCCGGAAAAGAAAATTTGGCCTAAGTTTTTTAAGCGACATTTTCTGTGAAATCTGTACCTTGGTATTTGAGACAAAATTATTTTACGTTATGAACAGGGAATGACACTTTTAGCATTGTCTGCATCAGTCCGCGGCATAAAGCCAAGATGTTATGCAGAAGATAACTGCAATCCAACAGAAACACAAAGCGCTATGGCCTTTCTAGCGCTTTACCTGATAGCACTAGGAACAGGAGGAATTAAGCCTTGTGTTTCATCATATGGAGCTGATCAGTTTGATGACACAGACGAAAAGGAGAAGAAACACAAGAGTTCTTTCTTCAATTGGTTCTATCTTTCTATAAACATTGGTGCTCTTATTGCGGCTTCTGTGCTTGTCTGGGTACAAGATAATGTGAGCTGGGGATGGGGTTTTGGCATCCCTGCTATAGCCATGGCAATAGCTGTCTGCTTTTTCTTTTCAGGTACTCGTTTGTATCGAAACCAAAAGCCTGGAGGCAGCCCTCTCACACGCCTGTGTCAGGTATTGGTGGCATCCATCAGGAAATATAAAGTTGCAGTACCTGCTGATAAGTCTCTTTTGTATGAGACAGCAGATGCAGAATCCAATATCAAAGGAAGCCGCAAGATTGACCACACAAATGATCTCAGGTCAGCGTCTGGACTTTAATCTTAAATTTGGAAATGAATTAGAGCCAATCACTTAAAAGAATTGAAGAAAAATTTGTTCATTTATTAATTAAGTGAAATAAGGTAGGAAATATGAACTCATTAGCTTGTCTGAGTTTAAATAAGAATGCAGTCGCCATAGATTAAATAATTGTTTGGTTACATATTCAAACTGTTGCTTTAGTTCCTTACCTCTGGGCTATGGCCGTGATCTTCAGTTTCTTTGACAAAGCCGCTGTGGAAATTCAAACAGACCAATTAAAGGGCTTAGTAAATCCGTGGAGACTTTGCACAGTTACACAGGTTGAGGAGCTGAAAGCTATAATTCGGTTGCTTCCCATATGGGCCTCTGGGATTATCTTTTCTACAGTTTACAGTCAGATGGGCAACTTATTTGTGTTGCAAGGTGAAAGAATGGATACTCGCGTTGGTCACTCTAACTTCAGGATCCCACCAGCATCACTTTCCATCTTCGACACTCTCAGTGTGATCTTTTGGGTGCCAGTCTATGACAGAATCATTGTCCCAGTGACAAGAAAATTCACCGGTCACAAGAATGGCCTAACTCAACTTCAGCGGATGGGAATCGGCCTCTTCATATCAATATTTGCCATGGTAGCTGCAGCAATTCTGGAGCAGGAAAGACTGAAAATAATCAAGAGGCACAACTACTACGAGCTAAAGGAAATGCCTTTGACCATCTTTTGGCAAGTTCCACAGTATTTCCTCATAGGGTGTGCAGAGGTTTTCACATTCATCGGACAGTTGGAGTTTTTCTATGAACAAGCACCTGATGCAATGAGGAGTTTCTGCTCTGCTCTATCACTCACCACTGTTGCTCTTGGTAGCTACTTGAGCTCTCTACTTGTAACCATTGTCACCAGCGTGACTGCTAAGAATGGGAAGCCCGGGTGGATACCAGACAACCTAAATTATGGTCACGTTGATTACTTCTTCTGGCTCTTGGCAGTGTTGAGCGTGCTAAATTTAGTCGTTTATCTCTGGATTGCCAAATGGTACACATATAAAAGGGCAGTGGGTACTCTTCGTTGATTGGCTTGTTGAATCAACTGTAAATTATTCTCTCGCCTGCTAAAGAAGAATTAGAGAATACCCCCCCCCCCCCCCCCCCTTTTGTTATTATGTATGACATACAGTCTCTTCATGTCAATGTTTCAAAATAATGTAATATACAAGGAAACATGGTGAAAAAGAAGAGCTATGTTATGACAAAGCAAAAATCTCTTCATTTCCTCTTTTCCACCCATGGCAGTTTGGAGTAGGATTATTACCCTCAGATTTCAATTTTAGCCGGGCCCAAGTTTTGCTTGGGCTGGCCTCAGTCGCACCAAAATATAACCTAAATTTGTCTCATGCGAGCCATTGCTCCACGATTCTAGTTTTTCTCTACATTTCCACAGATATTGCTGGGTTCGCCTTTTATACGGCAGTTAAAACTATCAGAGCTAGGCCCACGTGTCAAACCAAGAAAAATTTTATACCCAAAGATAGGAATCTTGAGACTCATAAAGCAGGATCATGACACTAGGAGGCTGATTAGACTAAAATATCTTTGTAATGCGCTCTAGGATCTTTCACTTTCAACAACACCCAGTCTCACCCTCTCTTCAGTACTATGTATATTAACAACACCTCCCTCTCACCCCCTCATCTTATTCTTTTTCAACTATTCAAGTCATGCTCCCTTTGAATCTTTATAAAAATTTACACACGAAAGCTGGCTAGGAGAGAATAGAACTTAGTTGGATCCATTTTAGGTGGCTGCTGCAACTTGATCACGATTGAGTAAGATATTTATTCTAGTGTTCCTATCCTTTCCTAGTGCTAAATGCTAATTCTGCTATTCCTGGTTTCATGACACATTTGCTAATTCTCCTTCCTTCTGCTTGAGTGAATTCAGCCAAGAATACGCAGGGTAAGATAAATTTCTTGAAAGTCATGGCTGAGGATGACTTTTACACGAATGATGGAACAGTGGATTACCAGGGAAACCCTGCCAATAAAAAGAAGACTGGAACCTGGAAAGCATGTCCCTTTATCATTGGTAATTGTAAAAACAACCAGTTATATTTGGTAATGGGTAATCAAAGATGGATGCTTATCAGTTTAGCATTAATTAACAGGAAATGAATGTTGTGAAAGGTTGGCCTACTATGGGATGAGCAGCAATCTGGTGCTTTACTTCAAGCATCGACTCCATCAGCATAGTTCTGTTGCTACTAGAAATAACCAGAACTGGAGTGGAACATGCTATATCACACCATTGATCGGAGCAGTTCTTGCGGATGCTTTCCTGGGAAGATATTGGACAATTGCCTTTTTCTCAATCATTTATGTCTTAGTAAGTTCTATTCACATGAAAAGGGGATAGTTTGCTTATAATTGCATTTTATACAAAAGCTTGTACTGCAGATGTAATACCTCAGCCCAACTAATAATTGGACTAGACTAATACTAAAGCTCATCAGTTTATTAAGACATTATTTAGTAAAAAAAAAAAGGGCTGAAGTATTAGATGAAAGAAAACTTAACTATCGTGAAACAGAAAAGAAATAGAGTTCTTCTTTTTCATCTTCCTTAAGGTTAGAGAATATGAAAAATCAAGTTGAAGATTCACAATCAGAGGCTACAATCAAGTTAATCCCTTAAAGGTGAGTACATGCCATCTTTTTATTTAAAAAGAAATATCAAATTGATCGCTATTATTTGGAGTTGAAGTTTTGAGAGAAAAATCATGAAATCCTTCATTAATCTTGATGATCTATTTGGGTAAATTACTGGTTTTGTTTATTTCATGATTTTAAGATTTATTGATGATTATTGAATGGAGTTTGAAGACTGAAAGTAAGGATTTGAGTTTTTAAAGATTGAAGGAGAAATTCTGTTTTTGAATGAGATGTTGTGATCTGTAATAATGAATTAAAATAAAATTTTGTATTAATGGATAGATTATTGTTGTGATTATTATATATCATTGGAAAGCATGTTGAATCTAATTTCTAATGAAACAAACGAAAGTCAAATTTGAGTTTTATATGAAGAGTTGTCTAATTTTAACTTAAGGATATGCAGGCTGTAAGATAACAGCATCAGGGTTGAATTACGAAATTTTTTTTAATTTGTATACAAGGATTTACAGATTAAGCCATATATGTTTGGAAAGCTTATTGAGTCTATTTTCTAATTAAATAAGCAGAATTGAATTTTGAGTTAAATATATAATTTTTATTAGAAGGTATACATGTTGTTTGGCAGCAGTATATGACGTGAATTTCAAAAATTGTTATAATTAATCTACAAGGAATTACGAGGTATGCCATACATGGTTAGAAAGCTTATTAAGTCTAGTTTCTAACGCATTAAAGAGATCATAATTTCGATTTTGATATATTGAGATATGACTATTTTAATGAAAAGAGGTCAGGCTGTCAGTATTAATTAGTTAAGTTAACCCTTTGTGTAACTTAGTTGATTTTTGTATAAATGGTCTAAAAAAGGGTTGATTAAATTTTGATCTATCGAAATGATCTTGGATAGATCATTAATTATTTTGGGGGAAAAACTAAGTGGTGGAATCGAATGGAGGTAAGTAGAATCTCACACACTTTGCTTGTTTTCGAATCTATGTATATATATGTGTTTCTAAATGAAAGAATGTTTTATTTCTTTATTTTCAATGTATGAAAATAGGATCAAGCATATGATTATTTTGTGTTTCTCTATATAAATGATGGATCATGCTTATGAATGAAATGAGAAAATGATTTATGTTTAAAGAATGATTTTATGATAGCTACGTTTTTATATCCCTGAAAAGTGAGATCATCGACACCAGAACTTAGTTCTATGACCCTGGCTAACGGGTAATAGTAGTTAGCAAAGACATAATCATATGACCCCGGCTAACGGGTAATAGTAGTTAGCGTAAGCCCTGGCTAACGGGTTATAATAGTTAGCAATGATCATGAGAATGAAATTATCGATACGACCAATGTCATGAGTTATAGCAGTGACCGTAGCTAACGATAAATGAATGATAATGATGATTTATGATGATTTTAATGATTGATCTATGATTTGGTTTGATTATGATATTTGAATGATAGCATATTTTGTAATGATTTATGAAGTGACATATTTTGACATTGATTTGTGAATTTATGAAATATTTGACAAAACGATGATCTTGAAATATTTTGATATTATGATTTGATGAATGTTTTGAATGATCTATATGATGTATAAGAAAATGATGCTTGATCTAAAAATATGTGTGAGCCTATACTTACTGAGTTATGGTTCGCTCATTTTTTTTTTACTTTTTCTTTACAGATGACTAAGTGATAAGTTTGGTTAGTCTTGTGTGAAGCTAGAAGATAAAATAGAAAAGATTACTTAGTCGTCAAAGAATATGTTGGCCAATGAGATCTTAAAAGATAGTTTTGTATTTTATATGATTTGTTTTTGGATAGATAAAGATATATTATCAGATGGATTAAACATATGGATTTTACTTGGTAGATTATTTTATTGAAGAATTTTAGAATGTTTAAGAAAGAAGGCTTCGTATTACTTTGGAATTTTCTTCAAGGTAATACGATCATATTACGTCTTGATCTCGGGACGTGACAAAAGTGGTATCAGAGCTTAAGTTACGATCTTTGGAGAATTTTAAGAGGTAGATTATGATTTGTATATTGTGTTAAGATTTTCTTTAAAAGCTTAAGTTATGTTTCTTGGAGATTTTCTAAGAGTTCAGGTTATGATCCTTAAATTATGTGAGATGTTAAGGAGCTTATAATATGATTTTGAGGATTTTCTAAGAACTATGATTATAATCTTTGGAGATTTTTAAGAAGTTAATTTATGATAAGTAGATTATCGATGATTTTCAAAGAATATAGTTTATGATCCTTAGATTGAAAGAGATATTCTATGAGTATGGTTACAATCTATATATTATGTAAAGATTTTTAAGAATTAGATGATGATCTCTAGATAATGTGATAATTTTTCAAGGACATAACTTTGATCTATAGATTATAGTGGTGAGTATAAGTAAATGATTCGATGAATTTTGGAGTAGTTAAAGTTTTAATGAATTTTGAGAAATCAATGATTCAATGGATTCTTGGTGTAGTTATTTTGTTAATGTTTATATATTACTTTTGGATCTTATAGTTAAGAGAAAGTGTAATTACTTTAATATAGTGCGATTTTATAAGTTGAAGAAATTTTTGACGCCACTTGTAATGAGATATATTTTATAAGTTAAATGATTATTTAAGAGAACAATTTGATCGTTGGAGATCCTATGGGTTTGAGAAAAGACTTTTGACTTAATGAGGTTTTGAAATTATTTGACAAGTGTTAAGTGAATCATTGATCAATGATGAAGATTAGAATAGGAATGTACATTGTTGGAGTTAAAAGTATAGAATATTGGAGTTGGAATGAAATGATATGTTGAAATTTTGAAGTAATTATTTATGGGTTATAATGTTTGAGAATTTATCTTGATGGATTTAGTCCAAAATGTTATAATTGTGGTAAATAGCTTTATATATGTAAACAAGGATGTTCACTTGATTTGGTTCTACATTTTTATTAAGAAAGTATTTAAGGTTTAATCATGTGAGTTTGATGTTGATATAGTTAATTTAAAGTTTGATCATTAAATTCCTATTTGAGGTGTACTGATATTTTTAATGGCTAAAGTGATTAAAATTGTGGTTATCTAAATGATTTAGTAAAGAAGTTGGTTTTAAAGGAGTAATCGATTTACGAAAAAAATATATATATATATGTTTTGGTTAAGAATGATTGTTTAAATTTTACAAGGGTAAAAGATTGGTTGAAATCTTATAAGTGATGATTTTGTGTACTTGGTGATGCTGAGCATCTATTCAATTTTAGAGAGGTTTGATAGAACTTTTGAAATAATGTGATGCATTTGGCTATTGTTCATAATTATACTTTTGGTGTGAATTCAAGTGTTTGGAGTTCTTATTGGTTCAAACTTTATAAAAGAATTTTTTTTTATGGATTATGATGCATAATTTTTAACTTTGACGTGAAGATGATAACAATATATTTGGTAAAAAGAGAATTTGAGACATTATGATGTTTGTGGGGATTATGAAGAATCAATTGTTATATGATAATTGGTATATTAAAAAGAACAATATTCGAAATTGGAGACAACTTAGGTAACCAAAATTTATGTTTGAATTTATATGGTATAAATTTATGGATATGATCTATTGCATTCATGTCATATGTATTCTAGTGATTAATTGATAGAAAATTTTATGTTGTCGGTGGAAAAGAAAAAAAAATTTAAAGTACTATGTGATATCTTTTTGGTAACAAAAAGATTTGTTGATATTGTTATTCAAGGTTGTTATGGTTATGAAAACATGGTGTGAAGCATATTACAAGGAATTTTGTGGACACATGCTTTTCTTGTTACAAAATGACGTTATGAAAGTTAATTTGTTTGAATTTTATTGGAAAGAAATATCAGAGTGCGCAGTGGAAGCTTGAGTTGATTTTAAGTTCTAAATTGTTGTGCTATTATTAGTTGAGAAAGTGATGAATCTTTAATAAATAAAAATATTGTCACCTTTGATGTTTAGTGTATATGATGAATCTATGTTAAGAAGATATCTTAGTAAAAGTTATGTGATTGGATATGAGTATTTAGAAATTCAAGATGATATGAGTTTTAACATATTGAAAATTTTTTTTTCGAATGGTTGATTAGAAAGAACAAGTTTTAAGGCAAGATGATTATTTTTTTTCAAAGTTCAATGAAACAATCATACAATAAGAGATATGATTGCAAAACTAGAGGAATGAGATATGGATGTAAATCAAGTTTCGAAGATGAAACTTCTTATAAGGAAGGGAGAATGTAATACCCCAGCCCAACTAATAATTGGGCTAGACTAATACTAAAGCCCATCAGTTTATTAAGATATTATTTAGTAAAAAAAAAGGGCTGAAGTATTAGATGAAAGAAAACCTAACTATCGTGAAACAGAAAGGAAATAAAGTTCTTCTTTTTCATCTTTCTTAAGGTTAGAGAATATGAAAAATCAAGTTGAAGATTCACAATCGGAGGCTACAATCAAGTTAATCCCTTAAAGGTGAGTACATGCCCTCTTTTTATTTAAAAAGAAATATCAAATTGATTGCTATTATTTGGAGTTGAAGTTTTGAGAGAAAAACCAAGAAAAATCATGAAATCCTTCATTAATCTTAATGATCTATTTGGGTAAATTATTGAGCTTTATTTATTTCATGTTCTTAAGATTTATTGATGATTTGAATGGAGTTTGAAGACTGAAAGTAAGGATTTGAGTTTTTAAAGATTGAAGGAGAAATTCTATTTTTGAATGAGATGTTGTGATCTGTAATAATGAATTAAAATAAAATTTTGTATTAATGGATAGATTATTGCTGTGATTATTATATATCATTGGAAAGCATGTTGAATCTAGTTTCTAATGAAACAAACAAAAGTCAAATTTGAGTTTTATATGAAGAGTTGTCTAATTTTAACTTAAGAATATGCAGGCTGTAAGATAACAGCATCAGGGTTAAATTGCAAAATTCTTCTTAATTTGTATACAAGGATTTACAGATTAAGCCATATATGTTTGGAAAGCTTATTGAGTCTATTTTCTAATTAAATAAGCAGAATTGAATTTTGAGTTAAATATATAATTTTTATTAGAAGGTATACATGTTGTTTGGCAGCAGTATATGACGTGAATTTCAAAAATTGTTATAATTAATCTACAAGGAATTATGAGGTGTGTCATATATGGTTAGAAAGCTTATTAAGTCTAGTTTCTAACGCATTAAAGAGATCATAATTTTGATTTTGATATATTGAGATATGACTGTTTTAATGAAAAGAGGTTAGGCTGTCAGTATTAATTAGTTAAGTTAACCCTTTATGTAACTTAGTTGATTTTTGTATAAATGGTCTCAAAAAGGGTTGATTAAATTCTTATCTATTGAAATGATCTTGGATAGGCCATTAATTATTTTGGGGGAAAAACTAAGTGGTAGAATCAAATGGAGGTAAGTAGAATCTCACACACTTTGCTTGTTTTCGAATCTATGTATATATATGTGTTTCTAAATGAAAGAATGTTTTATTTCTTTATTTTCAATGTATGAAAATAGGATCAAGCATATGATTATTTTGTGTTTCTCTATATAAATGATGGATCATGCTTATGAATGAAATGAGAAAATGATTTATGTTTAAAGAATGATTTTATGATGGCTACGTTTTTATATCCCTGGGAAGTGGGATCATCGACACCAGAACTTAGTTCTACGACCCTGGCTAACGGGTAATAGTAGTTAGCAAATGCATGATCATACGACCCCGGCTAACGGGTAATAGTAGTTAGCGTAAGCCCTGGCTAACGGGTTATAATAGTTAGCAATGATCATGAGAATGAAATTGTCGATACGGCCAATGTCACGAGCTATAACAGTGACCGTAGCTAACGATTAATGAATGATAATGATGATTTATGATGATTTTAATGATTGATCTATGATTTGGTTTGATTATGATATTTGAATGATAGCATATTTTACAATGATTTATGAAGTGACATATTTTGACATTGATTTATGAATTTATGAAATATTTGACAAAACGATGATCTTGAAATATTTTGATATTATGATTTGATGAATGTTTTGAATGATCTATATGATGTGTAAGAAAACGATACTTGATCTGGTAAGGTGTGTGAGCCTATACTTACTGAGTTGTAGTTTGCTCATTTTCCTTTTACTTTTTCTTTACAAATGACTAAGTGATAAGTTTGGTTAGTCTTGTGTGAAGCTAGAAGATGAAATGGAAAAGATTACTTAGTCGTCGAAGAATATGTTGGCCAATGAGATCTTAAGAGATAATTTTATATTTTATATGGTTTGTATTTGGATATATAAAGATATATTATCAGATGGATTAAACATATGGATTTTACTTGGTAGATTGTTTTATTGAAAACTTTTAGAATGTTTAAAAAAGAAGGCTTCGTATTACTTTGAGATTTTCTTCAAAGTAATACGACCGTGTTACGTCTTGATCTCGGGGCGTGATAGCAAAACTCTTGAAGAATAAATTAAATTTATTAGTTAAATATTGACAACTACTCCTATCAATGGAAGAATTGAAAGAAAAATGGTATCCCGGATGAGCTTAGTCCAATCCAATCACCAATTTTGTTCAGTACCAAAGTTAAAAGCTTTTGACCTGGGATTTTGAAGCAAACTTTTCATGAAATCTGTATCTTCTTAAATATTATAAAATCATTTATAATTTCACAGGGAATGACACTTTTAGCATTTTCTGCAACCGTACATGGCATCAGGCCAAGGTGTTACGCGGAGGATAACTGCAATCCAACAGTTATGCAAAGTGCAGTGTTCTTTGTAGCACTTTACATGGTTGCACTGGGAACAGGAGGAATTAAGCCTTGTGTCTCATCATATGGAGCAGATCAGTTTGATGACACCGATGAGACTGAGAAGAAACATAGGAGCTCTTTCTTCAATTGGTTTTACTTTTCCATAAATATTGGTGCTCTTGTTGCTTTTTCTGTGCTGGTCTGGGTACAGGATAATGTGAGTTGGGGATGGGGTTTTGGAATTCCTGCCATTGCTATGGCAGTGGCTGTTACATTTTTCTTTTTAGGTACTCGTTTGTACCGCAACCAGAAGCCTGGAGGTAGCCCTCTCACACGCCTCTGTCAGGTGGTGGTAGCAACCTTCAGGAAATTCCGATTGGCAGTACCTGCTGATAAGTCTCTTCTGTACGAGATTGCAGATGCTGAATCCAATATCAGAGGAAGCCGGAAGATTGAGCACACAGAAGATCTTAGGTTAGTGCCTGAACATCAATCTCAAACTTGCAACTGGGTTACAGTCACGTCTAATTATTGGGAAAAAATTATTCATTCTTCATTAACATCATACAGTTTCATTAATTCTTCATCGATATCTAAACAAGTCAATCCAGAAGCACTACCTACAATCTTGAACAGCTTTTGAAGCTATGAACATATCTTGATATTTCCTCATAGCCGTTAGGCACATAGGCTAAATGTTGTATGCATATTGACAAGAATTATAATAATTCATATTCATCTGATTCAATTTGCAAACTTCCTCTCTAAATTCTACTTAATTTAAACTTAAGATTTTCACCATGCTCAGTGCATGTAGGTAGATAGACTTACTGTCAAGTTCATTTTTCTATTAATTCAACGTTCAAACTCTAAGATAGCTGATCCAATATTCAGTTTCTTTGACAAAGCGGCTGTGGAAACTGAATCAGACCACATAAAGGGTACAGTAAACCCATGGAGACTTTGCACAGTTACTCAAGTTGAGGAGCTAAAAGCTATCATTCGCTTACTCCCCATATGGGCAACTGGAATCGTCTTTGCTGCTGTGTGCAGTCAGATGAGCAATTTTTTTCTGTTGCAAGGGGAAAGAATGAATACTCATGTTGGGAATTCTGCCTTCAAGATACCACCAGCATCACTTTCGATCTTTGACACCCTTAGTGTTATCTTTTGGGTGCCAATCAATGACAGAATCATTGTCCCAGTGACAAGAAAATTCACTGGTCACAAGAATGGCCTAACTCAACTTCAGCGGATGGGCATTGGTCTATTAATATCAATATTTGTCATGATATTTGCTGCAATTCTGGAACTTGAAAGACTCCGAATAGTGAGGAAGCACAATTACTATGAGCTTAAGGAAATGTCAATGACAATATTTTGGCAAGTTCCACAATATTTCCTCATAGGGTGTGCAGAGGTTTTCACAATCATTGGACAATTGGACTTTTTCTATGCGCAAGCCCCTGATGCTATGAGGAGCCTCTGCTCAGCTCTACAACTCACCATCATTGCACTTGGTAACTACTTGAGCTCCCTGCTTGTGACTATTGTTTCAAGTATAACCGCTAGGAACGGAAAGCTCGGGTGGATACCAGACAACTTAAATTATGGCCATATTCATTACTTCTTCTGGCTCTTGGCATTGCTGAGTGTGCTAAATTTTGGGGCATTTCTCTTGATTGCAAAATGGTACACATATAAAAGTCCAGTGGGGACTCTTCGTTGATTTTATAATTTCCACTTTACGTGCTGAAGTGACTGTAAACAATTTTTCGCCTGCTTAGATTGTAGTATGTCCCCCATTTCCTCCCCCTTATTATGTATACAGTTAAGAGGCTTCCTCATGTCTGTGTTTCTAAATTATTTAATGAACAATGAAACAGGGTAAGAAAGATGGATGACACAATGCCATAGCTCATGTGTCTCCTATTGCTCTTTGAAGCAATAATGGAAACACAATTTTAGTTTTGCCCCTCTATTTCATTTGCCAACTTGAGCTTAACATTCTGACTATCCGCAAACGGTAGACCAATAATGAAAGAAAAATTATGCCAGAAGTTTTGGAACTTGTACAATATTTGCCACAATGCAGAATCTTTATTAGGTCCAAAATCACATAATATACTTACATGAAAGCAATTCAATAGATAGTACTTGTAACAACAACATCCACCGGTGCCCTAGAAGGATTTTCTTACAGAAACTTGGAATGGAACTAGAGTTTGCTAGCATTTTTGCCAAACAATGAATGGCAACCTTCAGCAATTAACTCCGCTGTTACTTTGTTTCTGACAAGAACAATTATTCCTGAATAACTTCCTTTTCGTCCTAAAACCTTTGAAGTAATCTCTAACTCATCCTGAAAATTCTCTAACAGCCAGTAACCAGTCTGAAAGGAGAAAGAACAAACAATAGCCGATCCTTCAGGACCTTCACTTGTCTGCCAAGTATTATGATCTTGGACTGAACTGAACTGATTATCAAATACCAGTAGGATTATAGAAATATATGGTATCATTTCTCCCTTCAGCTTCGCAACAGGAGGCATGTGATGGTTTCTATTCCACCTCTAAATACCCAAATCCTCAAAAAAGGGCTTAGATTCAATCTCACATCCCCGTTACAACTTCATAGTAATGTACCTTTCAATCAGTCCAAATTCAGGTAGTGAAAAACCCAATAGACTTAAATTCATGATCAAACTGAATAATAGAATCTAGCCGCAAAAAGCATGCCAAAAAACAAGAAAAAGTTAAAGGACAAAGATATTCTTAAAGTGAACTACTCGTAACAAAGCTGACTCACATTGAGCTTAGCAGTTCCGAGAAACGAGATGGACATGTCGGCTGAAACATTCATAGGAAGACCTTCGACATAGACAACAGCCCCACCAGCTTCACCAACAAGATTTGCAACAGCAGCTGTTGCTAAATTTCCATTTTTATCCTGCCAAAGTTAAATTATTCAAAAAGAAAATAAAAAGAATCAACCCAAATCTCATGTAAATCTAATTCTATGGAATTTGAGATGCGGTTTTGGGATAGCTTACTGTGAGGCGAGGAGGGACTTTGAGAGTGCAGGAAACGAAGCAAGGCTCGACCCTGTCGACATGGAAGCCACGTAAGGCGAAATCTTCAACTGGAAACCGACTTGGTGAGGGTGAACAGTGAGCAGTGACACGCTCTCTGCTTCTTCTTTGTTTAGTTCCAGGAATTCTTTGACTTTTTCCATGTTCGATTTTCTTGACTCTCCAGCTGAGATTAAGATATCAGACCGTTAAAAGTCGTTGCCAATCACTGGTTATTCAATCAGGTTGGGTTGGATTGGACCTGGACTTGGACATGGGAGCCAAGCGGATCGGTCTTGCACTTCATTTTAGTCCATCTGGCTTATCTTTGAAGCGCATTCAGCCAAATTGAGACCAGAAAAACGGTATGGGTCTTAAAGAATGTCTTGGTTAGGCTTGTTCGGTACCAGAGAAAAGCACCAACCATCCCTTTCTCCTAAATTTTGATTATAATAATTTTTAAATTGAAAATTTTTTGATATTTTTTATTTTAAAAACACACCTTGTCTGGATTGTATAAAAACACACATTATGAGAAGAAAACAAATATGTGATTTCAAATTTCAATGCTAATTGATCAGCCTTGGAAGAGTTGACTTCCAAAATTTAAGAGACATGAAGAAGTGGCAATTGGAAGCATCTTTGTGCGCATGGGCATTTCCCATAAATTAACCAAAACCCAAAGCAGTTTTTGGACTCTATTCTCGAAGAATCGCATGTAGAGAACAAATCTCCCAAATCTTCCTCCCTTAAAAATATTACTAATAAAAGAAAAATCTTAAACCAAATTTTTAAAAATATTAAATATATATTTTTAGTTTTACTAAATTTATATACAATTATTATTAAAATTTTAAATTTTATTATTTTCGTGTTTTTTATATCATATTCGTATTTTATTATCATATAATATTTTAAATTATTAGATCTATTTACAAATGATAAAGCTTTTATATTTTATAATTAGCAAAAATAACATAATTATTAAGATATTATAAAATTATGACTTAACTTGATTTTTTTTTAATTTTTCATATAATTGATCTCAGAATGATGAAATATAAAATTTAATTTGTTATTATTGTATTAAGATATTATAAAAATAAAAAAATAATTAAAAAAATATGTGATAACATTTTAATTTCATTTATAAAATTAAAAATTTTTATTGTTTGTGTATAAAAATGAATTCTTAATATTAATTATATTATTTTCTAAAAAATATGTAATACCATTATAAAAACCAACAGTATAATGTTTTCTTTTGTCATTATTTGTTTGTTTTGTTTTCGAAGATCCATTATTTTGTCCCTACACCAAGAAAATCAATAAATTTTTTTTTATTTATGTGATGAATAACATTTATTGGTGTGAAAAAAAAAAAAAAATTGGTGTCATATGATTAGATTACAACCAATATTTTGAAGGTCCATTATTGATTTTGTATGTATAAGATTGCAAGTATTATAATTTTTATTTATCCAAAAAATAAATATTATAATTTGGAGGAAAAGAATATAAATGGAAACAAGATAATTAAGAAAAACCCAATATTAAAGTAGTAATTAGACAATAAAACCCAAAATAGAAAGGGTTTAACCAGGGTTTTCCATTTCTCTTCAAATCTTAAGCTCCAGGGTAGTACATTTTATCCCTTTTTTTTTTCTGTGAGCATGAGCTCATTGCCTCTCCTCAAGCCATGACTCTGCAGCACCAGCCCCAGCGCCACCAAAGCCACCGTCTATCCACCTGCCACCGCCACCCCAACCACCACACCTGTTACTGGGTTCTGCGCATCATGTCTCCGGGAACGCCTCGCTGGCATCCAAAATAGCTCTCCCACCACAACCCCCCCTCCCTCTACTTGCTCGACCTCCCAGCTCTGCCGCTCCAAATCCTGTTCCGGTGGCCCTAACCCATCCTCCTCCTCTGCCGCCTCCGAGCCCCGACGTAAATCTTGTGACGTAAGGGCTCGCAATACCCTACACGATCTTTTCGCCATTGATGACAAAATAAAAACCCTCAATCTCAACCACCGTCCGTCAAAAGTTGAAGCTTTTCAAGGCTTTGAAGAAGAAGAAGTAGAAGGAGAGTTGAAAACGATGAAGGAATTCATAGATCTCGATTGGGGTAGCAAAAAAGCTTCAGGGAAATCTTTATGGGAAGCAGCTTCGGTTTTTAGCAAGAAATTGAGGAAATGGAGAAAAAAACAGAGCGCAAAGAAGGAGAAAAATGAGGGTTTGGTTCTTGAGAAGGCAAACAGAAGGGGATTAAGAGAGACTCAGTCAGAGATCGGGGAATATGGGTTGTTTGGGAGAAGATCTTGTGATACTGATCCAAGATTATCAGTTGATATTGGTGGTTTATCCTTTGATGATTCAAGGTTTTCCTTTGATGAGCCAAGGGCTTCTTGGGACGGTTATTTGATCGGGAAACAGAAATCAAAGGTTAACGAGGAAGGAAATGTTGGGGAAGAGAGATTGAGTGTTGTAAAAGAGGAAGAAAAGAGTAGCCCTGGTGGGTCAGCTCAAACGAGAGATTATTATGCGGATTCTTTGACTAGAAGGAGAAGAAGCTTTGATCGGTCAGCTTCAAATAGGAAGATAAGTTTGGGGGAAGCTGAGGAAGTTAAATCTTCGATTTCGAATGCTAAAGTGTCTCCTGAGACTGTTGGGTTGTTTCATGGGGCGAAACTATTGGTTACCGAGAAGGAATTGAGAGATTCCAATTGGTATTCTAATGTGGAATCTGGTTCTAAGGATGTTGAGTTTGTTGCTTCTGGGGTTGGTCAAAAAGGGTTTAATTTGAAGAAAGCAAGGGGGTGGCAAAATGTTTGGAGTATCTGGGGTTTGATGCAGAGGCGAAAAAAGAGTGAATTTGGAGATGAGGAGAGGAACATTGAAGGAGACATGGGTGATGGGAGGCTAGCAGAGTCGTTGCAGAAGCTTAGGAGGGTGGCAAATGGAGATGAAGATAGAGGTATTAGAGGAAATGTAGGTGAAGGAACACTGGCGGAGTCATTGCTGAAATTGAGGAGGTTGGCTAATGGAGATGAAGGTAAAAGTATACGAGGAAATGTGGCTGATGGAACACTAGCAGAGTCTTTGCACAAGTTAAGAAGGGTGGCCAATGGAGATTCAAATGGGAGTGTTGTAAGCCAGAAGCTTATGCGGAGTTATAGTGTTAGTGCTCGGAATTCGGTAGATGGATCATCCTTTTATGGAATGAGCGTGACTGAGTCCAAAGGTGATGGTGAGAAGAGAAGGGATAATTTTATGATGCAGCAGAATAGGAGTGTCAGGTATTCTCCTAACAACCTTGATAATGGGCTATTGCGGTTCTACTTGACGCCATTGAGGAGTTATAGGAGAATCAAATCTGGAAGAAACAGGCTAAGCAACTCAAACTCTATAGGTGGGAGTGTACTGTAATGGCGCTTAGATTTGTTATGAGCATGATATAATGTTGTAAAAACGTGTATGAATGTGTTTCTCCTTGTTCTATAGATTAAAAAAACCACATCATATGGTCATCTTTCTTATGCTAAGCATATGTTATTCTAATAACGCTGCAATGAAAAAAAATGGAACAGTATCTTCATATTGTTAGTATACTGAGAATTATTGCAGAAATGAGATCACTTTGTTAAGATCTGTTTCCCCTTTTTCTCAGTGATAGCAAGTACATTTATTTTTCCCTTTTTGATCCTTGCTTGTTCAATTGGATAATTGCTTGTCAACTTTGATCGTGCAAGGCTGAGAAGGATAACTTGGATAACCTATGTTTTTGCACAGGGACATCAAGGCTTTTCGTGTTGTCTTCTGCATTAGTTTTGATGAAGTTGTGCGTCTTTAAGTCTACTTTTCTTTTGATTTCATGCACAGTGAAAAGCGGGGAACACTGCATTGACTTCTTGACTAATTAGATTTCTACTGAATCTGGTATGTGTTAGTGGAGCTGTCATACTCAACTGTAGCAAAAATGGAGTTGCCTGTAGGATATTGGACAAAGATGGCCTTCCTTGTAGGCATAGATACCTATTTTTAGCATTTTCACAAAAGTGACCTCATGCAGCCTTAATTACACCAAAATGTACGTTACTTCATAATTCATATCAACTTAATTCATTGGTCATTGCCATGTTGTATTGGAGACTTGAAATACCTACGATTTACCTGGTTCTTAGAAATTTCTGACTCAGATTTTCTGTCTCTTGGAATATATTTAGCTATGCTGTGCTCCATCCATCTGCAGGGCAGCTTTCCATGAATTTAGGTCTATACTGATTAGAGCACAGAGACTAGATGAATACCCATTATAGATTCCTGCTCTATCTACTTACTTTGATACATGAATACCCGATCCACTAAGCACCCATATTCTATCTCACTTGGACTAGGCATATCAAAAGTTCCCCTTGATCTCTTAAGATGGACTTGTTTTAGACAAATGAAGCATCGCTTTGCAATGCTTAGTTCTCACATGTAAAACAAAAAACCTTTGATGGCTAACACCTTTTTTGATGTCCCAAAAAAAAACAAAGCAGATAAGAAAAATGCCTTTCTCTATAAAGATCTCTTTCCTGAAAAGGACCAGTCTAGGGACTCCCCAAATACCAAGGTCAATGATATTCGTCTATTCAATGAAATATGCCTTCAGCAATAGACAAATCCGATTACAACACCACATATCTGTCATAGCTTTCAACTTGTATATTTCCACATGCAAGCTGTCCACATTCATGTTGAGTTCTGATAACTTTTTTGCCATGAAAATTGTTTCCCTTAGCAAATTTCCAAAAGAGAAATACATTCCAGTGAAGGATAATGCCAATGGAAAAATTACAGTGTAAAGTGTAAAAGTGAACAAGACAAGCACAAAACACCTTCACTTCATGCCCATTTTAATTAACTCATAAAAATGAGATGAAATATTGGTAGAGATCTTAGTTTAGTCACATGAAGCATCTAATTCGAGCAGGAAAACATGGATAAATAAAGACAACTTAGATGATCCAGGAAAGTCAATCTTCAAACAAGATACAAAGAAATCCATGGAAAAACCCCAAATATTCACTAAGCAAAACACTTAACAACTTAAATACTATAGCAGAAAGAACTCACTCAACATCATACCCTTTCTCCTGAAGCTCCGAAATAACCTCATTCCTCATCCGGAGCCACAGCTTCATTGCTTCCTGCTCAAACTTCTTCTTCTGCATCTCCTTCTGATAATTAAACGAATCTTTATCCGTTTCAATGATCCCTTTTGGGCCAATTGTAGTTCCAATCATGCCTCCCTTAGCAACAAATTCTTCCATTGCCTCAGCATCACCAGGATAAGGAAACTCTCTCCGCTCATATAAATGGGCTAGCTCTCTTTCTTCCTTTGGCCTAGGCTTCAACGTCCACCAACCCAGCGGGGATGTTTCGTTGTAAAGCCAGGCAACGCCGAAGAGCGTGTACGTGCATAGCAATGCCTTCCCAACTTGTTTCCAAAAGTAATGGTCTTCTTTGCCTAATCCTATCTTCTTCAAATACTTGTCCGCATCTATCGATTTCAACCACTCGTAACCTGAAAATTTGAAAAACTAGTTTCATTCAGCCATTTCTTCGAACAGGTTGCGTCCAAACAATTGAAAAAAAATATACATACACAAATATAAAATTGCTTATATTTGACATTGGAATTTACCTGTTTTGGTTTCCTGATATCGTTTCCGAATCATTGTCGAAAAAATGGAACCTTGATCAAACTAATCCCAATCCGTTGATCAAGAAATAATTTGAGTCTGTCAAATGATAAGAGGATATGAGAAAGCTTGCCTAATCTGATTTCGTTTAATAAGATCATAAGAATGCCAAACAATTTACCAAACTTCCAACTTTATCCCTATCATTCCCCTAATTTACAAATCTACCATTAACACTCAAGGAAAAGGAGGGGTAGTTAAGTCATTTTGGAAAAAGAACAGTATATAATGAAGGCGGCTTCAGCTTCACATGTCAGCAATCGGCGGTTACTTCAACGATGAACTCAACGCTTTGTTTAAATCGACCGGTTTTCAATTATACTCTGAATGGCTTTAAAAGCCCAAAATTTATCGAAGCTAAGCAATTTAAACTTCAATTACAATCTCATTTGGTCGAGTCTTCAAAACTTAAATGTTTGGGAAATTTAAATTCGAGGACCGGTGTGAGTGTTCTGCAGCGGTTTCGAGATGACTCGAGTGAGTCGAGGAGGATTCTATCTCGTCGAATTAGGGTTTCATCCAACGATGCTCAGTTCGGTTCGTTGCCTAACAAAGGAGGCGCTGAGTCGTCGAGTTTCGTTGAGTTTATCACGTCCGAGCGTGTTAAAGTGGTGGCGATGCTGGCTTTAGCTCTGGCGCTTTGTAACGCGGATAGAGTCGTGATGTCAGTGGCGATTGTGCCGTTGTCGCTTGCTCATGGCTGGAGCCGATCATTTGCCGGCATTATTCAGGTGGCTCTTTGAATGCATTTGTTGTGCTTTTCTTGATTAAATTTTTGGTTCTTGTGCTAAGGAAACTGAAAAGTATTTGAATTTGGAAGGAAAAGGAATTGTATTTGATGGGGAATGAGTTCAATTGGTTTTTAATTGCATCATAAAACTTGGGCAAATAGTGGTTTTTGTTAGAATAACGTTTTAAAACTAAGTGACAGCTTCTCAGTTGCTTGTTAAAATTTGTTGCAGTCATCTTTTCTGTGGGGATACTTGATTTCACCGATAGCAGGAGGGACGTTAGTGGACTATTATGGTGGCAAGGTAGTAATGGCATGGGGAGTGTCACTGTGGTCATTAGCTACATTTCTTACACCATGGGCTGCTGAAAACTCTTTATTGGCATTACTTTTTACAAGAGCTATGCTTGGTGTTGCAGAAGGTGTGGCTCTTCCTTGCATGAACAACATGGTAGCAAGGTATTGATGGTCTGATTATTTTACTGTTTGATGATGATCACCATTAATTGATGATATACATCATACGCCTTCGAGCAAGTTCATTGTCATAGTAACAATATGGTGAAACCAAATTTTTTAAGAAATTGTGCAAACTTTTTTCTTTTAGATGGTTTCCACCAACAGAACGTGCCAGGGCTGTCGCAATTGCAATGGCTGGATTTCAGCTTGGAAATGCAATAGGACTCACTTTGTCCCCAATTCTCATGTCCCAAGGTGGTATTTTTGGACCGTTTGTGATCTTTGGATTGTGCGGATTTCTTTGGGTTTTAGTATGGTTATCTGCAACATCAAGTACTCCTGACCGAAGTCCCCAGATATCAAAATATGAGCTGGACTACATAATGAACAAGAGACAGAACTCTCAGGCAGTGGAGAACAATCTCAAGACCAAAATGATCCCTCCATTTGGAAGATTGCTTTCAAAAATGCCAACATGGTCCCTGATTGTTGCAAATGCCATGCATAGCTGGGTAACGTACATTCCTTTCCCTGTAGCATATTATGTGATTATGTTAATAATTTTCCAAATATGCTCTCTGACCATTCTACCATCAGCCTTTTTCCAAGTTGAAAAAAAAAATGATGTTTCCTTGCTTTATGTGCCTACATAACCACAATACATCCCCTCTCGTAACAGAAAGGAATTTAATAGATTTTGCCTTTTTGGTCCCTATTTTCTGTCAATGTGAACATTTGTAGGAATTGGATGCATTAAAGGCTGAAATCATATTAATTGATGGGGCAAATGGTTCTCTAACAACGGAAAATTCTCATAAAGTATATGCATCCGGTTCCTTAGTTTTACATATTTGCAAATTCTCTAACCTTTTTACAAAATTATTTTTGCAGGGCTTTTTTGTTATTCTTTCTTGGATGCCTATCTACTTTAACTCGGTAAGGCCAAAAACTTAATTAGGAGCTGTTCTGTTTGTGACGTGAATGAATGTAGTCTTATTACAAGGTGCAAATAATGAACATTTTGGCATAGGTTCATCATGTTGATCTTAGACAAGCAGCATGGTTTAGTGCTGTACCATGGAGCATGATGGCATTGACAGGATACTTCGCTGGTTTATGGTCAGACACGTTGATACGGAATGGTACCAGTATCACTTTGACTCGCAAGATCATGCAGGTAATTTTGGAAGAAAATGATACTATTAACTTTAAAAAAATGGTCATGTATACCATGTTTCACTGTTCTTTTAGCTCCTTTTCTTGTGGTGGTTGTTTGCTTGTCTTAATTTGCTTCTGAGCTTCCTTTCTGCTCATTAAGCATCCAATCTGTGTCTTATCTGCAGTCCATTGGTTTTATTGGTCCTGCGATTGCTGTGATTGGTTTAACTGCTGCAAAAAGTCCATCAGTGGCATCTGCTTGGCTTAGTTTAGCTGTTGGGTTGAAAGCATTCAGTCATAGTGGTTTCCTTGTCAACCTTCAGGTCAGATTACTGAATAATTAGCAAAGTTAAATTGTAATATTGAATGAGTTTTTCTCATTCATCTAACTTTCTCCCTTTTGCTTCTGTTACCAGGAGATTGCTCCACATTATTCTGGTGTTTTACATGGTATGGTGATTCGTTTGTATCATCATGTAATTTTGTTTGATTGCTTTCTTGAAGTGAAAAGTTTAAGAGGAAGCTGCCTTAAGTGATAGACTTCATGCTACAATTGAAATGGTCCATTTTGAATTTGTCCACCAGATTATATCACTGCTTTGAACACTTATTCTTATGCTCTTGATGTAGATGGTAACTCCTGCATATGATGTGTTATGCGCGTTGCCTGGTAGAATTTGCGTATATGAGTGCATTGCCTATGTTTATTGACAAAAAAGTAAATTGTTAATGTTCAAAAAATTATCTTGGTGCATGGCCTTCTATTATTATTTAGTTTGCTTTTCTATACTATCTTGGTGCATGGACTTTTAGTATTATTTATTGGCAACAATAATGATCCCTTTATTTCTGACCTTAGGATTGTCAAATACTGCCGGAACATTTGCTGCTATTATGGGAACAGTTGGAGTTGGTTTCTTTGTCGAATTGGTGGGATCATTCCAAGGATTTTTGTTGCTCACGTCAGTTTTATACTTTCTTGCGGCTCTTTTCTACAATATCTTTTCCACTGGAGAGAGAGTCAATTTTGATGAAACTTCATCAGGTCAGTATCATAGCCAGTTGTTCTAATGATTCTTTAGTTTGCTTTTTCTTTAACTTAATTTGACAAAGCCATACCAATAAACCCCCAAACTCTTCAATCCAGTACTAAGGTCTTAATTTATTCTGCATTATTGAAGTCAGTGCTATGATTACTTAATCCATACCAGATGGTAAATATAAATACATGACATGACATGAATCCATATTAGACACGACATAGTGATACGACACGAAATTGACATTGAAAAAATTATGTGTTTTAAAAAAACGTGTTTCGTGTTTATTTGTATCAATATGAATTTTAACACGAAACAATTTGTGTTGTATACGTGTTGACTCGTCTAAACACGTGACACGACACGAATAACATGTTTAATTCAATCTTGCCATATGAGTATACGTTTAATATGTTTAATACGTTTAATACATCTTTATATTTATTTTAATTTAATATAAACATATAAAGATTATTTTAATTTTTAATCTTTTAATTATGATACTTAATTAGTTATTTAATATCATATAAAAATTATATTAAACATTTAATTACGATACTCATTTAATAATTATTATAAATTATTTTTTATATTAATAATATAAATACAATATAAATATTAATATTAGTTCTATATATTATTATTTTATTTTTTAATTTTTAATAGTTTATTATTTTGAATTTAATACTAAAAATAAATGTAGTTATGTAATATAAATTAAAATTAAAATATGCATATTAAATACATATTAAATGAGTATTAAATTTTTTTATTTTTTAATATATAAGTACTTTTTTATATTATTAATATGCTAAATTTATTAAGTTGTAAATGATGGATAGTTTATAGTTATTTATTATTTTAGTTGTGTTCTTGTATATATTCGTGTTAGTCGTATCTATTCGTGTATATCTGTATTAGTCATGTTTATTCGTATATATTTGTATTATTCGTATCGTGTTTAAACGAATAAATTGTATACGTGTTAATCGTCTCGTGTTGCATATAACACATATATTAAACGTGTTATATTCATGTTTAGGATTTAAATATATTTTATAATTCGTGTCGTGTCGTGTTTTAATAGTTTTATCATTATATGTGTCAAACATGACACGAAATACAACATGGAAACACAAATTGCCAAGTCTATTTGCAATTGGTTTTGGGTGCTTAAACTATAAGATATAAAAACTAACTGACTATTAACAGCTATAAAGAGAAAGTAAGTTTTCATATGCATCTTTATAAAATGTGTGATTAGCTGACTGGTTGCTTTGCTTAGTTTATTTCTACCCTCCACCTCTTTATTTTGCTAATCGGTTACCATTCCTAATTTGTGGTCAGCAGTTTCATGAACAAGTTTTGAGACTTATCGTCAAAAATCTTAGTTGATGCCTCGAGTGTGGACTGTGGAATCATTGGAGCAAAGTTGCCTGAGTCATAGAGAATGCTGAGCAGTAGATCCTGTTAATTTCCTGTAAAAAGCGAAAGAAATGTAGAGTACGTGATTTTTACTGCGTAGTGTACACTGTACAGACAATCTGATTTTCCATGCATTCAGGTTTAACTGGATATATATATATAATGTTGAAGGGAAGTGATAAATGCTGGAAGCTTTCATCTGTCTATATGTTTTCATTCAGTCATGAATTATGTTATCTTTCTCCTAAACAAGGGGTTGACCTGTAATGCAAAATCTCAAAAATAAATTGCTGCTGGATGGAAGATGAGGAACATCATCAATGGCATGTAGTCTTTAGCATGTGAGTTGACTCGTTGAGTTTAAATCTGGCAATTAATTGCTTTGAAATGAACGTGAAAGTGCCTACCATTCGTTTTAATGGTGAAATACCCATCAGCGTTTTAGCTATGAATTACTGAGTATTGATCGCTGACTGCGGACCTTGACTGAAATTAAAGCAACAGCTCTGGTGATACCCTTTCATGCCAACCAAATATCAGTACACTCTTTCTACAACAATTTCCTCTTGCTCAACCCAAACCATTCTTCTCAAAATTTGATCAGCGCATTTTCAGCAGGATTATTACGCTTCAAATTCCCCTATAATTTCCTCTGAAACACTCATTTATATTCACTCTTCAACCTTCCTAAAGAAGAAAGAAAGACAGTAACCGTTTCTGTAGAAATGGACTGAGTCGAATCTTTGAGTTGGGCTTGGGCTGTTTGACTGCCATAGCATTGTACTGATGCCGTGAACCGTATGGACCATAGCTATGAATGATTGTTACTTGTATTAATATTTTTTTGATATTTAGATTCAACTTGCATTGCTGGCCGGCTCCACAGAAAAAATGAAATTTATGAGCTTGAAGTGGTCTCGCCCTGCCATAAAATAAAGTCCATAAAGTCCAAGTCCTGGACAAAAGAGGGAGGCAATAGTGACCTTCAACTTTTGGCAACGGAAAAAATCAAAACTGACTCAGGAAAAGGCCATAACCTCCGCAAATGGAGAAAACACCACATCCAAGTATGCTCCAATCATGTGGAGGAAAACAAGACTCCAGTTTTCGTTATGATCTGCCTGACAAAATCTCTGACAAGAATCAACATAAGACTCACACTGTTCGGGACTACTTCAAAGCTGCATCCAAGAAACTAGCTGGAGTTTTCGCAATATTACTATTTAGGAAAAGCAAAAAGGCTATTGCTGAAGTCAACAAGAAGAACAAGGAAGTCAAAAGAATTTCCTGTAAGTTTTTCTGATTTCACTTCTTGTTGAACAAATGAACACAAAGCATGAATAACTAATGATCTCTCAGCTGTTAATTCAATGGCTATATGTTGCATAAAAGTTGTGTAAAATGAATATATATCCTGTAAGACAGATTAAAATGACTTGGCTAGTCTAAGAAAGTTGATCTTTATCATCATAACCTTTATTATGTTATGCAGGTTCGACTTCAACAGATCATTCAACAGGAAGTGATGTTAGGAGCTCAGCAAGGTTCAAGTCCTTTGGTTCATATGGTTCTTCCAGTTCTGTCAGTGGAAATATCCCAACACCCGATTTCTCCTTTGAAGATATTTGTAAGGCAACTGGAAATTTTTCTCCAGGAAATAAAATTGGGGAAGGTGGGTTTGGAATAGTTTATAAAGGGAAGCTCAAGGATGGATCTCTTGTTGCTGTAAAGCGCGCTAAAAAGGTATAAAAATATATGTGCATATGTTGTTTGATCTTATATAATGAATTACAGTAACATTATCAAGCTTTGCTTGTGTATTTATTCGCTAGAGTGTGGTCTGGATATAAAACAGCAACAAATTTTAAGAACATGTGGGGATCCTTCAAAATTTATACGCTGATAGCCTTGGAAAAGTAGATGCTCAACAATTTAGTACTTGTGCATTTAATAATTTAATCTCTGACAGGACAAGTATGACCAAGGCTTACCTCTGCAGTTCAAGAATGAAATACTTACACTATCGAAGATAGAACATCTGAATTTAGTAAGGTTATTTGGATTTCTAGAGCACAGAGATGAGCAGATTATCGTGGTTGAATATGTTGGAAATGGAAATCTTCGAGAACATCTTGATGGTAAGGAACAAGTTTCACACTCTTAGAGTACCAAAACTAGATTCAGGGGAAGTAGAAACAGGAGACAGATACTTTTGGGAAGTTAAGTACTGATTTATAGGCTGTAATTCATGACTGAGAATAGGAAGCTAAAGGACAACTGTTAATATGAAAATTGATGGAGTTGATTTTGAATCAAATAGAAGAGCAAATAGATGAGTGCTCAATATAGCTTAATATTACATTAACCAGTAAGAAATCTTCTCTTAATGAAGGTGTAAAGGGAAATGGGCTTGAAATTGCAGAACGTCTGGATATTGCTATTGATGTCGCCCATGCAATTACCTATCTTCATACATACACAGGTATTACTTTTACCTTTCCAGTTTATCTGACATTAGGCATTTCCTTGTCTGTAAAATGATTCAAAGAGTTGATATTTTAGTATCTACCAAATGAAATGGTATGAGCTGTTGAAGTTCGTAGTTAAATTGTAGCACCTTGGGAATGTTCTGGATCCTTCTTGTTATAATCTGGAAATAGTTGATTGTTTTTGTAAGGTCAGCCGGCCAGTTTCAACACATTTACACCTCAAATAATGATTGGATTACATGACTTTTTGTGACAATGTATCTGGATAATAAAGGCTTTGAAGATGCTGAATTCTTTTTATTTTCTTTTTTTAATTGACAGATCCTCCTATAATCCATAGAGACATAAAAGCATCGAATATCCTTATCACAGAGAAACTTCGGGCCAAAGTGGCAGACTTTGGATTTGCACGACTTGCTACAGAGGATCCCACTGCAACCCACATCTCTACTGAAGTCAAAGGTACTGCAGGCTATGTGGATCCTGAATACACCAGAACATATCAGCTCACTCACAAAAGTGATGTATACTCCTTTGGTGTATTGCTTGTGGAGTTAATGACTGGAAGATATCCGATAGAATCAAATAGATCAGTTAAAGAAAGAGTAACCATACGATGGGTGAGTGTTTCCTTCTTCCCCAATAGGCTGTAAGTACAAACAAAAAAACTGGTTCTTCAGACAGATGCTTCAGATTTGCAGTTAATTGAGATTTTTGTTTTTGTTTTTTTTTTTTTTTTTGAGTATATGTAGCTTTTATGGTAACATGATTGTATCTCAATATCGGTTCTAACATCAAAGACATCAATCCATGCATGTTAATAAACAAACAAAGACAGTAATTTAGCTTCTCATTTTAGTGTCCCATATTAGGAAAATTGATTCCCATGATGCTGTTTAGCCTTTATGAAGCTTTTTCTGAGATTTTTATCAAAAAGAAAAAAGCATAGTCGAAATAAGCAGTGTTTCCATTACATTCACACAGACACAGTGCTCTTTGTGTGTGTGCTGTGATGTAAAAAGAGCATACCAGTAGTTGCAAGATAAAAATCCCATTACTCTGCATCCTCTCCTACTCCTGAAATTAGGTTTAAAGTAGCATATGTCTAATAAATGCTGGTTCAAATTCATTTGTAACCAAGTTCCTTTGCTTAGGCTTGTAATCTTGATCCTGCATTGAAAATTATAGGATTTTAATCAATCTACAACAACCTAAATTGTTTCCAAATGTACAACTTATTTTGGTAATGGTAAGTCAAACGAATAAAAGTCTAGTAAAAAAAACCAAAGCAACTCGTAGCTAATTGTATCCATTATACAGTTTATCTTACTAATTAGAGATAAAGAAGTTGGATAGAGGGTATTCTATTTAATCTGGACTCGCACATGATGATATTTTACTTAAAACAAGAATGATGTCATCTCAGCTCTCTAAGACAAAAATAGAAAGTTTCTTTCTGGTATTTGCACATGAAACATCAATCCAGCACAATGTTCACATGAAGGCGTACAATTTCAGTTGCTTGTCACATCCTCATTATGTGGCTTGTTCCCCTGTAGTATGGCCAATTTTTGGGGATTGAAATGATGTTCCAACTCCAATGCAAGTGTTGGTGTATGATATTATCTTTGTTGGGAAACACTGGGGCTGTTACATTGCTAGTGAGCAAATGTATAATATCTAGAAAGCATAGATGGAAAGTATTGATAAAGGAAGCTCATATCCTCTACCTTAATGTTGAATTCTGGAAATATGATTCCAGAAATTTCATTGATTGTATATTCCTCAAGTTGCATGAAAGAATGGTCTGTATTTCTTGTTTCATGCGAAATTCAAGCCTGTGCATGTTAGTCCATAAAGGAAGTCATTATACTGCATCATATCATGCAGAAGAACATGTTAAATGATTATCACACTGGAAACTCATTAATTTCTGGACTAGCTAGACATGCAATGCATGTTCACTGATTAGTAGCAGACATAGGATGTTCTCCGAGACCGAGAGCTTTCTGTTTGTGCAGGCAATGAAGAGATTAAAGGAAGGAGAATTTGTAATTGCCATGGACCCAAGGCTAAGGAGAAGTCCAGCATCAACCATGGTGGTGGAGGAAGTCCTAAAACTGGCTCAACAATGCCTTGCACCAGTGAGACAATCCAGACCATCCATGAAGACGTGTGCAGAGGTTTTATGGGGAATCCGTAAAGATTTCAAAGAAAAAGCCTCCTCTTCTTCTACCTCTCACTTTTCTGCAAATTTTCCTGGTAGAGATGCAAAGGCTAACAGGTATTTATTTGGAATAGAAGAGGATGAGAGCTATGGATTTATTTCTGCATAAAGTAAAGTGTGATTTCATGATATTTTTTTCCATTCTTTTCTATCTGTGAATTTCATTGAGTCCTAATCTCAAATGAAATGAAGCAAGATTGTAAACAAAAGACCACTCCCCCTTACAGCTTGTGCAACATTTTTCTGCAACTTGTAGAAAATCTTTCCTAATTTTTCAAAGCTTTGCCTCTTGCCTTTCCTAATCTAAATTTTTTTGTGCTAAGCCCCAAATGAATGTACTTCATTTTATTTCTAATTTGCATGTTAAATGTTAATCTTCTACTAATGATAAGGCCTCTATCGTAGGGATATAAATAAAGTTTGACTTTTGTTTATTTATAAAATTTAACAAATAATCATGATGAATATTTTAGAGTTTATACCAAACATAGCACGTGATCACCCTTAATTGCCCCTCTTACTCATACAAGCAATGATGAAGACAAATAATAAATAAAATACAAAAATGGACAAGAAGGAATATGAAAATATCTAAATCACTGTTAATGAAAATTGATATATATTTTTTATTTAGAAATTGATTAATATTAATATAAAACTCCATATTTTTAAAAATATGAAATTACTGCTTTGATAAATTTGAAATTTGGAGAAAAAGTTTTAAAACGTATAAGAATGTAATTTTTTTAAAAATTTTATTTATTTTTATTGTATTATTTATTTATAAGTGTGTAAAAATGTTACAAGTGAATAAATTTTAAGAATATAATGAAATTTACTAATTAAATTATGTTTTAAATTGATAAAATTAATTCACTAAATAATTATTGACATATTACAAGATTATCGAATTTTATAAAAAAATTTTGTAACAAAATTTAAAAAAAAAATTATGAAGTTTATTGAAGAAGGAAAAGTTTGAAATTATTTTTTTAATTTTTTAGAAAACCAAAGGAGCTTATATAAACAATTAAGTGTCCTTTATTTTACAAATATAATTATTTATTTTAAATAAGTAAAAGTTGTTTATTTTTTAACAATCATAACTATCAATTTGAACAGATTCATCTGTTATTTTATACAAACTTAACTAATTATTCTTATTTGTCTATCTATTTTTAGATAAATTTAATTAATCAAATGCTTAAGTAAACTTTAAATTAAAATAAAATAATATTTTATTTATTGTATGTGCCAAGTGTCATTAATTAAAAAATAATAAATATTAATTATTTAATTAATTCAAGACCAACAAAGCTTGAAAATCCAAACTCATGATCCATTAACCATTTAAGTCCAATTATAATAAACTTTTACTCCTTAATTAAAATGATTATCTTATTCGTTTCTTTTTCAATGTAAGACTATTTTTCATCCACTATTTTGAAAATATCTAACATAATCAATAATATTATTTAAGGATAGCAAGTATGAATATCAGATCAAATATTGATCACAATCATTTCATCGATTGTTAATTAATTTAGAAGACAAAATTCATAACATAATTGAAAGACTAAAACCATGGTGTTATAAGTTGTATCTCTAAACACAAATTAAATTAAGTTTCTTTTAAAAATGACCCTTTCATTCATTTTGTGAGGGCATTTAAAATTTTAAATTTCAACACACGTTGAAAATTGAGAGCAAAGAAGTCAGCATCAGTCTCCAATCAACTAATCAGTGCCAATGAACCGTTACCACCATCCTTATTTTGTGCCGTAAATCATGGAGATATAGACTTGGTAGATATACAAATATAGATTCTTCTAGCTAATCCAAAACTAGAGCATACAAATCGTGCTATTAATCTTTATTTTGTCTTTCAATGTCATCCACTTAGACTGCATTGTGCAATTCAAGGGGCTGAGATTCTAGTGGTTTAACTGTGAGATTTTTTGATGGCTGAGATTCATACAATGATCTCTTCATGTTACAGGAATGTTGGAATTGTATCAGCTATAAAAGAGAACCAATTTTAACAGGGAATAAGGCAAAAGAAGCAGTGAAGTAGTGAATTATTTTTAGTTAATTTCACTTCAAACTGTACCAAACTATGGCTGATGAAGTGAAGCTATTTGGCATGTGGGCAAGCCCTTATAGTATCAGGGTTGAACTAGCCCTGAAACTTAAGGGAATACCATACGAATACATGGAAGAAGACCTATCCAACAAGAGTTCGTTGCTTCTCAAGTATAATCCTGTTCATAAAAAAATTCCTGTTCTTGTTCATAATGAAAAGCCAATTGCAGAATCATTAGTCATTCTTGAGTACATCGACGAGACCTGGAGAAACAATCCTGTTTTACCTCAGGATCCTTATGACAGAGCCATGGCTCGCTTCTGGGCTAAGTTTATAGACGAAAAGGTATAGTCAACTCAACCTTCTGTTATTCTCTTTTGAAAATGAATATAATCTGTTTCCGGGGTCCTTTCTTTGCAGCTTTTGGTTACAACAAGGAAGGTCAGTTTTACCGCAGGGAAGGAACAAGAGCAGGCTATTGAAGAAATAACTGAGCAGCTGAAACAGCTAGAGAATGAGCTCCAAGGGAAGGAATTTTTTTCAGGTCATAGTATTGGATACCTGGATATTGTTGCCAATGTTTTGGTATCCTGGTTTGGAAACGTGCAAGAGGCTTTGGGAGTTGATATGTTCACAGAAGAGAAATTTCCGATTTTATTTGATTGGATTGGAAAGGTGGTTAAAATTGATATTGTCAATGAATGCCGGATCCCAAAAGAGAAACATCTTGATTATATCAGAAGCCGCCTGGAAGCCTTGAAGTCTGCATCCAAGTAAAAGCCTTCCGAATGACCCTATCATATGGTATATTCTGCTATAGAAGAGAATAATAACTTTTGTATAAGTGAAAATTTATGTACCTCTGGAAAGTGCAGCTGCAGATAAAATTTGCTGATGAACAAACAAGTGCTGCAAAAGAAAAATCTACATCTATAAAACTATATTTATTCAGGGGTAGATTTGAAGCTAAATGTTCTGAATGAATTTTCATAATTTTAGATCTCCTAATATTTTGTTATAACTCCCACAATTGCATAAGGAATGCTGTATTTTTGCGATATAATTATAACAAAGAGTCATCTGTGTCAACAAGATTAAAACGTTTACATATGTACACAAACAGTTACTTTCATGCGTCCAATTTTCTAGTTAATAGCAAATTCATGGGCATGTTGATTGAGAATAAACGTATACACAAATGGTGTCACCTAGAAAGTATCGAAAGCAGTATGGTAACGACAAATCAAAAAAACTATATCGTATTGGTATCATCTATATGTGTCATTAACTTTGTTACCGTCTGGCTATTCTTGGATGATTGTTAGGTAGTATGTTGTGCAGTCCTAGGTATTGAAAAGTCCAATTTTTGGATGGATGAGGTTTGGAATCATTCAAGGATCGATTTATGCTAAAGGAATATTGAGCTATAAGAGGAACCATGTTAACTGGAAGATGAAGGAAAAGAGTAAACCATTTATCCCATAGCCCTTCAAAACCGCAAAAAACTATGGCCGAAGTGAAGCTATTTGGCTTTTGGGCAAGCCCTTTCTCCCGCAGAGTTGAACTAGCCCTGAAACTCAAAGGAATATCCTATGAATACATTGAAGAAGACCTATCCAATAAGAGTCCTTCAGTTCTTAAGTATAATCCCATCCATAAGAAGGTCCCTATTCTTGTGCACAAGGAAAAACCGCTAGCAGAATCATTAGTAATTCTTGAGTACCTTGACGAGACCTGGAAAAGCAATCCTATTTTGCCTCAAGATCCCTACGAAAGAGCCACGGCTCGCTTCTGGCGTAAATTCATAGACGAAATGGTATACTAAATTCAACCCTTCTGTCATTCTTTTTTGAACAATCAGTTTACCATGATGATGCCACTTTTCTGTTTGCAGCTCTTGCCAACAGCAACGAGGGCTAATCGTAGCACAGGGAAGGAACAAGAGCAGGCTAAAGAAGAAGTTCATCAGCAGCTGAAAATTCTGGAGGATGAGCTCAAGGGGAAGGAATTTTTTTCAGGTCAGAGAATTGGATACCTGGATATTGTTGCAAATATTTTATTCTGGTTTGAATATCCAGAAGAGGTTACGGTAGGAAAAGTACTAACTCCAGAGAAATTTCCAATTATCTATGAATGGATTCAAAAGCTCAAAAAAGTTGATGTTGTCAATGAATGCCGGGTCCAAAAAGAGAAATATCAAGATTTTATTAAATCTATCTCCGTCGTGAAGCCTTAAATTCTGCTTCCAACTAAAGTCCTGTTGAAACTCCTCTACTACAACAAAGATTATGTGCTTTGAACTTCTGTTTATGATGTATTCCATAAACTTGTTGAGGATAACGTATAACATAGATAAATAAAAGCTCATTTAATTGAACTGAGACTAATGTACCGTTTGAAAGGTTCTGCTGCAGAGAGATTTGCTGAGAGCAGAAAATTTCTTTGTTTGTAGTTATATAGGTATATTTTTCATGGATAGAAAGTGAATCTAAAGAACTATGTAAGATGTTCTGCATGAATTTCAGGATTCCGCATCTTCCAATATGTTCTATAACTCTCACCACTGCATTTGAACTAAACTGGCACTGGGAACTACTACAGTTTTCATGACTAACCTTGAAATACAATTACATTCAATAGTCGCCTCTAAAGCTATTATCAGTGGTATGCTGATGTTTTTGAATAACTAGAATTGAAGCATTGGTGTTGAAATCTGAAGAAGCCAAAAAATCCCCTACTGTCCCGAGCTCCGGACACTCCTCCCAGTCACTCAAAGTTGTTATTGATGAATGCCGTTGTCCACCCCTTCCTACCATAAATAATGAATACGAGTCCCTTAATTCTCTCAAAGCTGTCACGGTTTCTGCCCCACTGCTAACATGCTTCTCCGTGTAATTAGCTTGACCTGAAGTAATATACCTAATTATGGAACAAAAAACAAAAAGATTGCAATGTCAAATTTGTCCCTCAAATAATCATGGAGGGGGAACAAGAGGAACTGAAAATTTTTATTAATGTAAGGCTACCTGTTGTAGAACTCCACCAGAGAGGTATTGTCTATCACATGCTCAGTACCATTAGTTGGTTCAGCCAACATAACCTCATTGTCCTGGTTATGATTTCTTGAAATCTGTTCACTCACTTGGAGGAATCTGATGAGTGTCAACTTAACTTGAGGATGACTGCTGATCCATTTAGAACATGCCAATGCCTCTCGATCATCGGGGCCTCCAAAGAACAAAATTGCTATATGTTGCACTGAGTTAGAGCAATGTGGTTGCTGGAATCCGGTTACTGTTCGGTCCACTAGGATCCCTAGTGAGCACGGAGCATGGCGAAGAACCCTCTGGTTAGTTGTCCTAATTCCCTCCTTGTCAATCTCCATGTTTCCATCAATGCGTTGATGCTTGTGAAATGGGAGGAATATAATAGATATACGCCTGTCCTCAGCACCAGTACACACATCCTCATACAAGGTTGCAGAAGATGATACAACCTTAACAATGTTGATCAAAATTTTTGTCTCAGATGTAAAGACGTCCACAGCATCATTTATCTCAACAACATCATCTCCACCATAGTCATCTTCGTCACTGTACTGATCACCCTCGGCAAGTTGGTGGTATAACAAATTGGTTTTACGTTTCTCAGGGAGTTCAACCAGGTGCATCAAGTAAGGGGTGACTATTGCTCTTTTTGATCCACTCAAAGCTGAAATTAGCCCGAGAGCTCCTAAGGAATGCCTTGGGAAATACACGCAAGCCAGAATTCGGAGTTCAGACTCCAGATCATGCAATTCAAGTGAGGTTTGTTTGTGAGCTAAGGATTTTTCTTCTCGTTTTACTGTAAAAGCAACTATGATCCCTGCAATAATTGTGTCGAACACCACTATGGACAAGAGCACACTTCGGACACCTGGATTCCACCATAACTGCAGCAATAGTGAAGAAAACAGACAATAAGCCTACCAAAATGCAACAAATTAGTTATTTCTTTTGAGAGTTCAAGCTATAGTCATATCATCAGGTAAAGGAAGTTTACCACGGAGTTTGGTGGTACATTGATAAGTTGAAGATCAAAATGGCCTTTCAAGCTGAGTATCAAAGCGAACATGACTCCTTCATTCAGTGGGATCTTCAAGTAATGGCAAGCTGCCAAGGTGCTAACAAGTTTGCCCCCAAAGTTCAATAGGATCATAACAACAATTGTAACGATGGTAGGAATACTCTTCAAATAATTTATATCAAACTGAAACCCAATATATCCGAAATAAATTGGAAGTAAGAAGTTGTGAACAGGGTAACTGAGTTTGGACAAAAGTGTCCTGCATGTTTTTCCTTTTCTAGGAAACATCAAGCCAACTAAAAAACAAGACAATGTGCTGCTATATCCGCATGATTCAATAACAAATGACAACACCAGAATCAGGAAAAAAATAAATGAAACATACGCGTTGCTCACATATTTGCTTTCCCTGTCTGACTTGTTAATCCATCTGGCCAAGTGCCGGTTTAAAGCAATAAGTGATCCGGTAAGAAGAAATGAAAGAAATAAGTATGAAAAACTTTCCCATGAACTGACAGCGTAAAGCAGAGAAGCTATGAGAACACATGACATTTCATTGACCAAAGAAGTAGTTGCCGCCAATCTTCCTACATCTGAAGTGTCGAGTTTCAAATCTGCCACTAATCGAATTACAACAGGAGACGCTGAGTTTGCTAAGATCATCATGACAACGATTGCAAATTCTACCTTTTTGTCAGGGATTTTCAGTAGTTTGATGAAAAGTGGGGACAAAGCTGCTCCAAGGATGCAATTTAAGATAAAACCACTATAAGCAATAATGCTTGCTACAGACAAGTTGCGGTTTGAAAAAGATATATCCGTCTCCAAACCGATCAAGAACATAAACATAATCTCAAACAAGTGTGAGAAAAACTGATAGTAACCAGCGGAAGTAGGCTGGATGAAGAATTCCCTAATGTCTTCAATACGGGACAGCGACGATGGGCCTAGGACTGCTCCAGCCTGATACATAAGAGATAATAAAACCACATAAAATGTCTAGCTTGAGACATGTTGTAATAACTGAATCCTGCAATTTTTTTTTTCCGGAGGGGTGAAGTTTTCTTACAAGAACTTGTGCAACTGGTCCAGGTTGTCCCACTGGCTTGAGAAGAAGGTGGAAGAAATGGGAAATGGCAAGAATGCAAGATGTTTGCATCAGTGATGTGACCAAAGGGTTGAATGAATAGTTATTAAGGCACCAACGTTTGTGCATGATATCCATGTTGGTTTAAGAATACCAGTAAAGAATAGAATATCAATCAAGTTGAAAGCAGAGAAACATTTAAGGAATGAAAAGAAAGTTAAAAACCAGATTGAAAAGTGTTTTCGAAGTTTAGTCAAAGTGAAACGGTAGAGGTAAGAGAAAATCAGGTTTGACGACCCTTGCTTTTCTCTCTTCCCCTTTATTTCCTTGAAAATCTCTCTCCCACTCTCTTTATCTTTCCCTCCATAACTGCCAGTGGTTTTTTTTTTTCCTTCTTTTTTTACATTTTAATATTGTTGTGTGTGTGAACATGTTGGATTTGAATCATATTTTCTAATGGAAAAAAACATACACCTTCGAGTGAGTCAATCAAATCAAATGCCTAGTTACGAATGGTTGAAAATGCTAAATGATATGCTTTCATGTATATTCTAGCCATTATTGTTGATAAGTCATGCAAAATATTCCAAATTGCCATTAACAAATTCCGAAATTCTACTGCACGTTAAAATCAAATTAAACCTATTTTTTGTACTAGCAGTTATGAAATTAAGAGTTCAACAATTTACCAACCAAATATAACAAGGGTACACCTTAAATCAAATTTCACAAAATCTTGTAATTGTGGCACCTTTTTAACAAATAATACAAAGGTCAATATTAATGAGTCATTTCTAAAAGTCGAATAATTCTTTGTTTGGTTCTAGTCTTGAAGCAAGGCTTTTTGTGTGTGTGGTATTCAAGCTAAAAAGCCTTACTAATCAAGTCTTTGGATGTCTCAACTAAAAGCTGATAAGCAATCCCAGAAACGCTACACTAAATAGATACATTGTTAGACAGCCTCCTGCTGTTGCTACTTGGAACTTAAGCCAAGGCCTAAACAACTAATTTTGCCATGTTTTGCAGTTACGGCATAACTTCAAGTTGCATGCCTCTTTCCCTATAAACCAGTGCACCAATATCCATCTTCTGCAAGTTCTGCAGCTGTGACCTGCATAGAGAAAACTTATGATTGGTCTTAGATAACTAGTTCATTATAAATCCATAACTGAAAAGTATTATTGATGTTATGGCTGCCATTTTGATGTTCTTGCTTTCTTGCCACTTCAAAGAGACAAGTTACAAAATCAGATGTGAATCAGGAAATTCATCATTGGTACAATGCTGCTCATTCCTTTCTGAAACCAAGATTATTTCCAAAAATTTTAAGCCCCCAGAGGATAAATGAAGAAATGATAACAGATGTGATAAAGTTCTTTGAGGTTTAATAAAAGTGTCGGGAACCACAACATAATCCATTGCTATCGGAAATAGTTCAATCAAGTGAAGTAAAAAGTATAAAGGGGAGATAAACCAGAAACCTCCAGTTGCTGTGCACTTAAAAAGTCAGATGGTCAGTAGTCTCTAGTTCACGAAGAAATCAATCACACCATTCAACATTCATAGCTGAAAGGTGGGAGTCATACCTTACTTCTCCTTAGAGACATGCTTGTCCAGAAATGCTTTGGCCAGATTACTGAAGCTTACATTTATAGTTTGAGCTGCAGCATACCTCTCAATGACATCAACCACTTCAGGCTTCAGAATCTCCTCCCTGTTAGACTTGTTACAAAGATAATAAAGGGCCCCCAGAGCATAATTCACCTGACAATCAATTCTCTAAGATGTGTATACATGTAACATAGTTAAACACAAGCAGATTTAATATATTGAATTCCCACATTACATCATATAAGGTAAAATGGATGCAGTTCCCTACTATGACCAGGCATCAGGGAGTTCCCTACTCACTTATGTAAAAGTTAGATGCTAGTTCGGTGTGTTATAAGCTAAACTCCCAAGTACCAAGTTCTGTCCTACATAATGATCTTTGAGAGGGAGAGAGAGAGGTTACATTCAATTGAGTATAATCCATCCCAAGTTCTATCTCTAGGAACTTGAAGCAATTAGAAGGGGGGAAAAAAAAAGAAGAAACAACCAAGAATATAAGTTCTCACTCACTGTGTTTCTTACTGGGCTTGATAAACACTGAATGACAAGAGGGATTCCACCACACTGAGTAATAATAGCAGCATTTGCTGGATCTGCAAAGGAAAAAGAAGTACTAATCATGCAAGGGTCAGCATAGAGAAAGAAAACCATAATTTTAGAATTAAAAGCCCATATCACTTACCTACACAAGAATTGCAGACACCTCCGACACCAAATTCCATGAGTTTCTCATTTGATTCTGTTATGCAATCTAGGAAGAGTTCCAACACATTGAGCTGGTTAGAAAGAACTAAGACGTTAATGTGGCAGAAAAGTACATGAAAAACATTATTCAAATTTGAGGACAAATTATTTCACAAAAAATTGGGTTTTGAACCTGGCGCAAAAATGAATAATTATATGAGTCATAAGCAAAGTTTGCCAAGTTTGCAGCAATCTTCTCCTTTGTTTCTGTGGAAACAAGTACCAATCAGTTAAGAAAATTTGAAAACTGACAGAGGTCTTGGTACAATAAAACCAAGTTGGAAGACGCTGAATCAGACAAGTCAGGAATTATTGACATTCTATGCACTTGTACATTCTAAACAAACTATCTAAGCAGCATACAGAAACCAAAAAAAATCAGATTTTGCTTTCACTCATTTCAGAAAAGAAATTAAACCCGAACTCCCCAAGTATGTAACATGACTGAAAAATCTAGTAACATCTCTTACAATAGAGTGAATTAGTCTACATAAAGATTATTAACAAAGGACTTCTCAGATCATTAAAAATATAAGCAATGCAGGAAATAACTTTATTATAAAAGATGCAGCGTACCTTCATCAGTTGTGTTCTGAAACTGACTCACCAGTTCCTAGAGTGAAATGGGTAAACAAGTATTAATGAATTATTCTCCTACATGCTCTTTTAACATGAAATTCTATACCCATAAACCATGGTGTATAAAATACAGATACCCAAAACAAAGTCGAGAAAGAAAAGGGTATAAACATTACCTGAAGATATTGAAGCCTTGAAGTTCCATATTTTCCAGTTCTTTCTGCCTGCCTTTGATCATTGGTAAACATGTGGCCTGCTTATACGAATCTACATACAATGGATTGCAACTTTACATAGAAAAATGTCAAAGTTGGCCAATTTTTTAACAAATTGATTTGGAGACGTGGGTAAAAGGGTAAACTTAAAAGGCTCAAAAGATTGAAATTTGGGGGCTTTTTGAGGATGGCTTTGCCTGGGTTTGATTGTCGTAAGATTCCACAAAATTACAAGAAGAGAGATGGGAACGAGAAAAAGAAGGTAGAAGAAAATGCATAAAACAATAATTTTTATTTTTATCCGATGTGGGAATACATAAACCGAGAACAGTAAAGCATAACTAGGGAGTATTATTTAAAAAATAACTTAAGAAGGCATTTTCAATTTTTTTTATTAGTTCCTCTCTCCGTGCACAAAAAATATAATCTAATTTATTATTTGAAATAAATATTTATTAAAATAATAAAAATTTATTTTTAATAAAAATAATAATAAATTATTTTAATGTAAAGATAGTGTATATCAATAATTATTCATCAATTAATTATTAAAAAAAATTAGAAAATTTGAAACAAAAGACTTCTTACATAACCACTAAATATATAAATTATGCTAATAATTTATAATAAATAAATGTGTGATAGAGATTTCTTAATCCTATTTATAAACTTTAAAATTTTCACTAAGAATATAAACTAAAAAATAATAGTTTATTGTGTTCCTAATAAAATTCCAAAAAAAAAAAAGGATATTGAAATTTTATGTAATTATCCCTAAAGTTTGTAACAAAAAGAAATTAATTATTTCTAAAGTTATAATTTTTTTAAGTCAAATTGACTATTTTAGTTTCTTAATTGTACAGATAAAACTTAATTAGATTCATGATAAGCACGACAAGAAACCTAGGAAATTCATGCTAAGGTGTCACCAGGCACTTATTTATTCATAATACAGCTATGAACTATTTGTATTTTGTTCTTTGGTAGGATATGTTATGGACTCATTAGAACAGAAAAAAAAAATTTATAGGTTGCCGACCTTTATTTTATAACCCAATGTTTCCAAGAAATCCTTTCTTAAAATTCAACAATTCCAAACCATTTGCTCCTCATTCCTCCATAAGAGCAGATCTGAAATGGCTGAAGAAGTGAAGTTATTTGGCATGTGGGCAAGTTCTTATAATCTTAGAATTGAACTAGCCCTGAAGCTGAAAGGGATGCCTTATGAATACATTGAAGAAGACCTTTCCAACAAGAGTAACGTGCTTCTACAACTCAATTCTGTCCACGAGAAAATCCCTGTGCTTGTACACAATGGAAAACCAATCATGGAGTCACTTGTTATTCTTGAGTACATAGATGAGACCTGGAAAAATAACCCTCTTTTGCCTCAGGATCCTTATGAAAGAGCCACGGCACGCTTTTGGGCAAAGTTCATAGATGAAAAGGTAGATTGATTTGATTCCGCTGAGTTTCATATTATAATTTCTGATGTGTTTTGTTTCTTGTTTGTAGATCCAGCCAACAGCTAGGAATGTTAACTTGGCTGAAGGGAAGGAACAAGAGGAGGCGGTGGAAGAATGTTGTCAGCAGCTGAAGAGGCTTGAGAATGAGCTCAAAGGGAAGTCTTTCTTTGGAAGTGATACGGTTGGGTACTTGGATATTGCTGCACTTGTTATAGCATTCTGGTTTGAAGTGGTTCGAGAAGTTGTGGGACTAGAGTTGGTCACTGAAGAGAGGTTTCCAATTTTATGCAAATGGATTGGAAAGTTGCAAAATATTGATGCGGTCAATGAATGTGCTGCGGTCAATGAATGCAGACCTCCTAAAGAGGAACATTTCAACAACATTCGAACTCGCTTTGAAGCCGCAAAAGCTGATTCCAAATAAAGACCGAGATGATGATCTGAATCCCATGTTTTGATCTCTTCATTCATCAAATAAATGAGATTGTTTTCCTATATCATAATCTCAACATAATTTGATGAAGATTTGGAAGGATAAAATTCCATATGATCAGAGGGAGTCAATCATATGACACCTTCTTCACTATATTCAAGCTAGTCAGAGTAGCATCTTCTTTATTAAGGCGGCAGACAAACAATTCAACAGGAAATCCCACCAGCCTTTTTCTCTTCCTCCCAAGAACACACAGAATCACAGAAACAAGACTTTAACAGGTTCAGGAGTCCTATAAATAATAATAACAGAAAGCAAAAGTTTGTCATTAAATACAACCATGAACAATGTCCATGTACATACAAAGTTTAATTACAGCAACAACATCGAACTGATCTAAGCAATCTCAGGATCTCAGCAGAACCTGAGAATCAAGATATCCATACATCCCCCTAGAGACACAAGATGACAAGTTATTTTCAAAGATACAATACTTAGCAGAAAACTAAATCAGACTTCCAGATCAAAATCCATGAGCACTAGGGACCTTGACAATTGTTACGGAGCAAGTTGCATTTACCATCACATAGTTGCTCACACTTCCAATCAGTACCCTATTTCAATCAAAATCAGAAACCGTCAATTTGTTTATTTCCCTGTGAATGATTTGAACCAAAATAGTTCACCCTTCAAAAGATAAAGATTTACCTTTGGATGGTGCCAAGGCCTCTGCTACCTATGACCATACAGTCAAGCTTCAAATCTCCAACAGCTTCACATAGTCCGTCCCTGGCATCGCCCCAGTAAATTTTTGCGACAATAGTCACCTGTAATGAGTTTGGGGCAAAATCAGATCCAAGATCAACAAATAATGACCAAAAAGAAAAGGAGAAATACACATAGAACTGCCAGGGAAACCTGCTTCTGCCTGGAAGCAGTATCAACCAAGTCCAAAACCTCAGGATCAAGGTCAACCTCATAATTATGCATCACCTCCTTCTCTCGAAACTCCGCCAAAGGAATCAAAGCTACACAAGCAAGATGATCAAGTCAAACATCGTCGAATACAAATGATCATAGCATAAAATTGGATCACAAATGAAACTGAATTGTGCAGTGACTTACGTGAGCCAGTGGTAGACCAAAGAAGGTTGCGAGACTCATCACCCGGATGGGCCTTGACATGGATGAGATAGAGAGTATCACCTTTGTCTATCAGATGGTCAATTGCCCATTTGAGAGCTAATTTGCTTCCCTTAGAAAAGTCCACAGCTACACCAATTTTCCTATCTTTTGTCATCTTTTTTCTTTAAGAATTCAAACCCAGAAAGAATAATGAAATCTGATCACAGGAACAAGGTCTCTAAGTCCAAGCACACAGTTTCGAGGACACTTACGGGAAGCTATGAGATGTTACTGTTTAACTTAGTTGAAGTTGAGGTAGGCTTAAACTGTAGTTGAACTTTAGGTAGGCCTTTCATATTTCTTTTTCTTTCGTGTTTCTTACATTGTCAAGGCCAACTACTGGCCAAGGCATGGAGTTAAAGTCTCGCGGACATCGAATCTTAAGTTTAAAAGCAGTACGATTTTGAGATTCGAACATTTATTTATTTATTCATTCGATATTTTAAATTAATTTATTTATTATAATTCATATTTTTTTAAGATATTATTCGATTCGAATATAATATAAATTTTTTTATATCTCAATAATTTTTTTTTATGTTTGATATGAGATTCATGATTCGATTCGTAATATTTTTTTTCATCTAATCTCGTAATATTTTCGTCATAAAAACTGATCATCATGTCTATTTTTCTCGATGTACGTACTTAACGTAGATCAAACGATATAAAATTGATTCTGATATCACTTATCACGATTCGAGATTTAAGCTTCGAATCCGTGTGACTCAAATATCCAAACATCTACACATTAGATATTTCAAATCAATATGATCATCACAATTCACATTTTTATGAGATATTATTCATTCTAATCATCTGATCTCATAATTTTATTTTATAAAAAATATTTCATAAAATAAAAATAATATTAATTTTTTTATATCTCAACAATCCTCCGACACGACACGAGATTTAGAAATTCTCTTTAGGTCTTTGACAAAAGATCGTCCCTGCTATTGCTGCCGGGCTCTTTTTCGATTTGGAGAGTTTCGGTTCAGGCGTTAGAATTTGGCCCAAAAATAAACTTCAAGCTTAGGTCTTGACTCTATGATCCAATGCAAGCCTTCCAACTTTTAAAAAACAACCCAATTGAAGCTATTGGGCTGAATAGGAACATGCCAATTAACATTTTTCCTTCTTTACTCAAATGCTTAAGGTAGAGATGAAGTTGACTTAGTTTCGGCCAATCACTAAAATAGCTTTTATTTTTTCTGAGATTAGCATCTGCTTGGGATCTAATATTTGATCTTTTCTCTGTTGTTGGAGAATAATTTATGGAAAAGAAATGTGAGGGGAGGTTTTGATAGCATATCCATACCATTAACATCTGGAAGCTAAAGTTGATTTTCCAAAACAAATATAGTTTCGTTTTCTTTCTGATCATTTCTCAATCATCATTTCAGCTAACTCCAAATTTCAATACCAAAACTATCCAACCAAAATCTAAAATCAGTGCACTACATTCAGTCTCACCCAATCCATTAATCAACTGATTTTTGTTGACTAATAGCTAAACCTTAGGAAAATAAAATAAAGGAGAAAAAACAAATAAATGCTCAAAAAAATCATAAAATAAACCAACTTTTTTTTAAAACAAAATTCAGTTAGTACAAACTGATCCAGTCTTTTTTTAATGGCTAACTTTTTAATAATCTTTGCCTTTGTTTTAGATGACAAATGGAATAAATGGTTCTGTTAATACTCTTCAATGTCAAGACAGAAGAGAAGTAATCATCAGTCAACCACATTACCCTTTCTTTTCTTCGTGGAAACAACAATCCCTTGAGCTCAAATTTGTACCTTCTTCGACGACTCAAATTTAATTTGCAAAAAACCCCATTTGAACACCAACCCCTGACTACTCCAATCCTCAAATTGTTAGTTTACCCAGACTGCAACTCCCTAACAAATGGCAGGTGAGTTTGCGTAGCTGGACAAGTGTACGGTCCAACCTACGAGATAGAGCCTACATATAACACAAACACAGAGCCTAAAAAACACTCTACGAGTCTTTCTTAGACCTGGTCATCCATGTCCTCGACTCAGCTTGTCTTGTTTATTTAATCTTTGTCTTGGAAAAAAAAAAAAGAACATATTCCATTGTTCCATTACTTATAACTTCAGTTAAAGTCCCACCGGACTCTCTCTCTCTCTTTTTTTTTTTCTTTTGTTTTTGTACATGCGTGAAAGACCAGGTAATAATTGTATCTTGCTGAACCAGCAACATCCATAATAGCAAATCATCAACCCACTTACCTGATTTCTGTTCACTTCACAGTGCAAAGCTTGTAATTTCATTTATGATGGCTGTTGACCTACACAACTGTGAGTTATTGCTTCCGTCTCAGTTTTTCACTCCTCAAGATCGCCTTGATGGTCTTTCAGTGGACAACAGCAACTGCAGTAGCAGCAAAAACAACAAGAACAAGAACAAACCCATCAACCAAAACGCGTCTTACTTATTTGACTTATCTGATTCTGGTTCCGAGTTTAGTTCACTTATTGGCTCTGATCAGCTGAGTTTAAGCTCAACAGAGAGCAGTGGAGAGGAAGACAATTACATTGGTGAGTTGACTCGCCGGATGGCTCAATACATGCTTCAAGATGAAGATGAACATGAAAAGGTATATTTCCTCTTCTTGATCATGTTAACAAGTATTCAATTTTAGCTTCAGGTTGAAAAAAACTGATCCTTTTTTTTTTTTTTTGCTTTTGGTTTTTAGTCCTGGGGTTTGTCTGGTTCACCAAAATCAACGCTGTGGTCACAGCTTGGCTCGAATCTTGATAGTCCTGTTGGACCATCTAGGGGGCCATCTCCTCCATTAACACCTATGATTGGGAATTTCGAAAAGATGAAGATAAATGAAGAAACAGCCACATATAACCAAGGTGGGAGATTTATAAGTAAATCAACCTCAACCCAAGAATCCAGGATTAACCCGAATGATGGATTTCAATCAAAGCAAGCCCTGATTGATGATAAAATAAGAGTTATCCAGGTAAGCTTGGATATAAACCATTAGTTTTTATTATTTATGACTTATTTACAAAGGAAATTGCACTGATTTTACTTCTTATAATTTATAGTTTTACAGGCTTAAACAAGAGCAAGCTATGAAGCAAATGGAACAAAAGCCGAGGATTAAGCATCATCAAAGCAAAGGAAGAGTCTTTAGTGAGTTTAACAATGGCCAAAAGGTTGCCCCTAACTCTTATAATCCCTGGTATACGCTGCAGCAGCAACAACAACAAAGCAACCAACAAGCCGGTTCAAATATGAGGGCGGTTTTCCTTAATGCATCCGGTTCAAGGAATGGTTCTTGTGGAACCGGTGTGTTCTTGCCTCGTGGAATAGGAACTCCATGCGAGTCACGCAAGAAACAAGGTTAAAAAAAGTACCCTTTTCGATTTTTATTTTTTATTTTTGGTTCTAAGAGTAATTGTAAGTTTTCTTTTATGTAACTTTGGGGTCGCTTTAGGATTTAGCCATTTAAGCAAAAGTTTGGTTTGGTTTGTTGGGGTGGTTAGGAGTTCAGTGGACGATCAGTTATCCCATATGCCGATTAGGATTGCAGTGTTTGGGTTTCCAAGTTTTGACTCTGGATTCTGGTAAATGGTTTTATTCCCATGTTCCGAGATTCCTTTTCATCAACTAATCTTTTCTCGTTTGCTAGTGTCCAAGATTTGATAAGTGTGAAATGGAATCTTCTCTTTCTCGTGGCCCACCTAGTTTAGTCCATTTGCATGTTGCTTCCAACAGGACTAGTATTTTTATTACCCTGGTAGATTTAGATTTGCTAGTCATTGTATAAAGGTATCCCTTGCCGGATGAGATATTTACCTGGATTCTATTTTGATCAGGATGTGCCACAGTTCTGATTCCTGCAAGAGTGGTTCAGGCCCTGAAGCTCCACTTTGAGAAAACAGGTGTTCCATCAAGGTTCAATAGTGGTTTTCCTCTGGAACACGGTAGTTAACTGATAATCGACCAAAAAATTTTTCTTTCGCTTTTTCGGATTTGTCTTCACCCTTTAGCCTGTCAATTTAAAAACTTTTCCTGATTCCATGCAGATGCTTCTGTGACTGGAAGGAATAGCATGTATTCACAGCAAAAGCGTCAGTCCAGGACGGTGCCGGCTATGAACCATCAAGAAATGGGTCTACCTCAAGAATGGACATATTAAAAAAAGAACCCTCTCTCCAGCACATGGGGTTGTTTGTCACTTCTAATTTTTCAATTAAGCTAAATGGAGGGAAAAATGCAAGTTCAGGGCAGAATAAAGAGGAAGAAAAAGGACAGAGTGTTCAAATTGTAGGGAATCTACAGAGAATATGACAAATTAATACTAAAAAGGTTAAGAATATGTATTTTTCTTTCCTTTTTTTCCTCAATTTTAGGGTTGAAGTTAGATGGGCAAATAAAATAAATGTGCTATGAAAAGATGGGTACAGTCTTTTGTACCTTCCTCTGGCTGGCTGGCTGGCTGGCTCAAGTCTTTGTAAGTTTGTTGAGGATGTGTTTTGTAAAATCCTTGTAATAAAATCAGCTATTACTAATATGGACTTCCTTTGGTTTCCATTGCCATCAATGTTTTTTTCCCTATACATATCTAAATCTTTTCATGTCATCAGATTTTGACAAATAATGGAAATTGATTCGTTTTTCATAGGTAAAAGTCTTTGATTTTTCACATCTTAACTGCACAATATTAAGTGGAATAATCATGACATGAATTTCTATTTTCTACCCTTTACTGCAACAATACTGAACTTCTTTGTGTTAGTTCTGCAAGGGATATCAATGAAAATGAATGGCTGAAGATCAAGTGATAAAATTAAGATTAGCCCCTTCTCCCTTTCATAAATGTTCTATTCAAGTTTGTTGTGCACCTTATTTTATAGTTATGAACATTAACTTAATAAAGCTCTAGGGCAGAGAGGGCTACAACAACAACTGCAACAGCCCAGAAACCAAATTCGTGCCTTTCACTCAAATACCATAAAGGAGAAGACCCACTTGGTCCACTTTGGAACCGTACATCAGAGACAAATACGACCAGAAAACTAATCCATTTGGGTCCATACCATCTCTGTAAGCTTGAAAATTGCTTTAAAGTTTCACCTGATTTTCCAAGCTACTTCGATGAAAAGACTGTCCTTTAGCCTTTTTATGTTCTTGCCAATGGTAAGACAGGGTATTTTTCAGATCTGCCAGCACCCGGAAGCTGCGTGCACCCTTTTGTCTGTTTCGCTGTGTTTTTCGTTTATCTAACGCTCATGGTCTACGCCCTTTAGACTACTCGTGCGGGAGAAGTTGGTTGAGGGACCTTCTTCTCTGAATCTTCCATGTGGAATTATGTGTTTGCTTCGGGTTTGTGGGGGTCAGATTCTTCCATTACAAGATCTAATGACTAGTCCAAATCATGTCCTCTTATATGCTGGATCGAATAACCATGTCGGTATATCGCTTTTACTTTTCTAAATATGCTCTTGTTTTTACGGCTGATGTAAAATTAATGGAAGACATGTTTTCTCAAATTTTAAACAAAATTTGCAGTACCAAGAAAAGTATAAATGTATTGAAGTGATTCATTCATCATAATTCCGATGAAGTTACTCATTTGTTTTCACATTAAATCAGGCAAAGGAACATGAGAAAGATGAAATTGTTACCTTTCCCCCAAATAATTAGTTTTGCCAAGTGAATCAGTGATCTATTAAACCATTTCTCTTCAGGAAAAATGGATTTTGTGCATTGTTATATTTTTCAATGATGAAAGTGATCGATCGGGCATTCATTTGCTTTTTTCAAGTGCTTTGATCGCTCAAGGAGAGCAAATTTTTATGGCTAATTGTGGATTTTTCCGCTTCAAATATTCCCAGCAAGTTTGGTGATGGGGTTTGATTTGTTATCACTTATCAGCACATATTGATGTATACTGCAAAACAACTTACACAGAGGAAACCTGACCCTTGACTTGTAACCTGGGCTGTATTTTTGTTAAAATTCAATTTCATAGCTAAATTCAATACCGTGCAATTTGGGAACGGAGGGGATTGGTTGAAGAGAGCAGTTAGAAACTTTAGCTTCAGCTTTGATAGTTGTAGTGTTTGTCAACGTCAGGAGAGAAGTAAATGGGGGTAGGCAGCTAGAGGATCGGAAATGAATATTCTTACCAAGTTATGTCCTTGATTGTCTTTGATTTATGACAGTTTTTCTATCCAAAAAATAACATTCAAGCCCATATATTAATCTGTGGACATGGTATTACGCTTACAAATATATTACAAATATATGCATGCAGGATCCATCAAAATAGTGATTGATAGTAACTTTCCTGTTTGAAAAGTCAATGACAACCTAATTCTCCTTGACTACTACTTGGCAATTGACGGGGACGAACTGCAGGCGGAGCAGGAGCCCGTCAATTGGGAAATAACATTACAAACAGTGATTTTTAAGAAGAAAAACAAGGCCCTCCGTGATATCTGGCGGTTTCAGATGCATGTACTTGATGGATGGATACGAGCTGGGATTTCTTGATTAATAGCAGTTTGCACTTTGCACAAGGCAGTAATAATAAAGGGACCACTGCCTCTAATTATGGATATATGGGGACAATAAAACAGGCCAACTGACCCTGGTTGGAAACCTGGAAAGACAGCTGGAAATTGTTCCGGTCTTGTTATCTTAATTGGGAAGAAGCTGAAGAAGATTCTGAGATGACTCAATGGATCTACTGCTAATCCCATGTGCAGATGAGCTATCAAAGTTCTAATTAGATACCAAGCAAAACTACAAGTGGCAGGCAGCAACATGCTCTCAGGTTCCAAGAGAATCCTCCCTTTGTCACAGTCTAGAAATTAAGATAAAAGCTAGTCGATATCTCATTCTCATGGAATCAATTCAAATTCAGATCATCCAATTAGGGCTGTGTAACTTTAGCTTTTTACTTTGTCTTTCAGTGGTAAATATTCTTTTGGGTATAGTAATTTTATCTTGACCCTGTAATAACCATTTTGTTTTTTTCTTTTTTTTTTTGTGAACGATGCACTTTAATTAGGCCTTAATGTCGAATCCAGGGGAATTCTATTAGTCAACGTTAAATACATAGTGGAATGAGTTAGACAAAGAGAGGGCAGTCTCTTTTTCCAACTTTGATATATCAATTTATTGTTACGAAAATCTAAAATTTAGTTAAATTAATTTATATAATTATTATTAAATGATAATATTTAATAAAGTTTGTATTCGAATTTCATAATCATTTTTTTTATCTCAAACCGCAATTTTTAATGTAAAAAAAAATCATTGTCACGGAAAGGCCTAGCTATTTGTTTTACAGGGGCCTACACAAAGTATATATTTCTAAATCTCAGCAAGCTACTTTAGGAGGTAAAGCTGAAAATTCATACTTGTTTATTATACCCTGTAAAATGAGAGAATTTGTAGGATATCAATTACTCTCAAGATTACTGTGTAAAATTAACATATCATTGTATTTTTCATTTATCTATGTAGAGTCCATCTCCAATGGCACCTAAAAAAAAAGCAAGTAACAATATAATATCAGATTTTTTGATGTTTCTGAGATTTTTTTTTAATATATTTATGAGAAATAATTAATTCATGATTGATTATCCAAATATGCCATTCAAAAGCACCAAAGTCGTAATTCTATTCATGAATGATGAGGGTTCTTTATGTAGATGTTATAATGTGTCGTGGGAGAGAGAGCGAAGAGTAAAAGGAAGATTTTGTGCTCAACTTTTTTCTATGACAAATAACGTATATCAATAGGCCCAAAAGTCCCAACATTTTTTCAAAGAATAAGGGTGAATTCACCTTAATTGAAGCTTGTAGGCCCTATTGGCTATAGTTTTGAGGCTCTTGAACCACCCTGCAAAAGTTGTTGAGCCGTTGTAGAACCTTAAATTCTCCACAATTTGGTTGCCGGCATAAATTAAACCGATGCAATCCGCTGGTGGAGCCTAGACGGAGAACAAAAGGCTAATGCCTAATGAAAAATTTTACTTAAAATAGAGGCTGTTGGGATTGAACTAATAATGCATATATATATATATATATAATAATTAATACCGTATCCAAAATTTTCAAGGAAAAATAATTTTTGTGGGGACAGAAGCAGATAATGGACCCAAGAAACAAAATTCTTAATTGGCATTGAAACCTCTCGAAGGCTAAAATTAATAAATTTAGGTTTACAAGTTATTGTAAAATTTAATTGGTTTTATGATCATGTCTGTCAAAGATGGGCAAAAAAAAAAAATCATGTCTGTCAATGCTAACTTTACATAAATGGTCACTGTAGGACAAAAGGCAAAGCCCTTGCTTTTGCTGGGAAAAATAATTAATCCCTAGCTCAATCTCATATATGAAGAAAATAGAAAAAAAATTTATTTGATTAAAATGCTTGATTAGGATTCATACTTTGAACATGGTAAATTATGCTCCCAATAAGCCAAACCATTCTATTATTCCTTTTCTTGAGGAAATGAGAAAAGAAAAAAGGATGCAGAATCCAATCCTCATGCAATAGAAAGGAAACATAAAGGTTTTTTTCTTGATAATTTTGGTTCTCAATTGATGACAAAAATCATTCCGTAAGCAACACATAGGAGGAAGATCAGAGGTTTTTTCATAAGACAACATTTCTGTGTTTCTCTTGAAAACCCTATTACCAACAACAAAAGGCCCATGGTATGACCAGCAACGGACACAAGAAACACCAAAGACATGACAGCAAGCATTACCAAATAAGCAAGACCGACCCTCATGGCATGCAATAACGTTTGCACAAGACCAGCTGAGACATTGCTTAATCCTGGTTTGATTAGCCGAGAATAAGAGATCCGTTCAACAAGAAAAGCAAGAACAAAGATGAATATCAAGGCTAATGCATACATGCCGACACGCGTCCTGGGCCAGCCTGAGAAGAGGATCTCGGCGTTCCTCCCCCAGAAGAAGACCATATGCATCATCATCATCATCTTGTGGTGGCGCATCCCAGAGGTGTCATTGGTTTACTGTGGTGGTGGTGGTGGTGGTGGTGCCATGCCTCCATGCCATGATCATGATTCATTGTAGCTATGATAAGTATTGTAAAATTTTATTTTGATGGATATATGATGGAAATTTGTCTCAAGTTTAGATTAAGGTTTTGGGTGGAAATTAGTGTTGGATTTAGGAAGACAATGATGATGATGATTGGGGTTTTTAAATGATTAATTGTATAGTACATTAATCCCCTATTGTGCCATTAAAATTTGCACTAATCTTTAATTTTGATTGTCCTGATCCCTACATATATGGCAAGTTCCATTTACAATTTGTTTTTCCAAAGATTAAATCCAAATTTAAAAAAAAAAAAATTAAATGATTAAAAATCCATCCTTATATATGCATATTAAGACCATGGCATGAGAAGAAGACTGACAATATTGGAGTTTTCAGCTTTTCTTTTCTTTTTTTTTTCAAGGAATAGTGTCTATTACACATTGTACTGCCCTTAGAAAATGCCAGAAAATGTTTACTTACATGTTATTTATTTAAATTTTTCCTTTTTTTTTTTCTCTCTCGACATATATACCACCATCAAACTAGATTATTTGTTATATATGCTTTTATCTGTTAAAATCGATCCTTCATTTCCCTCGTTTAGAATGCTTTGACATTTTAATCTCTTGTTACTGGCTGCTGTCAATGACGAGTACTGACGACAGATCACATTTATAATGCAATTACAGTCGCCTTAAAGAATGTTGCTCTTACCCATTCATTTTCACTGTTCATGCATATATATAATTCAAATTAATTAATACATATCAATGAGTTATTATTTCAAGATTGAAAGTATGGAATTGGAACTTCAATCATAAGTCAAAAGATTAAAAAAATTAATTAATAAATCTCACAAAATATAGATAGTAATGTAAGTGTCTGTGTGTTTTGAAAACTATTATAAAAAAATATGAATCCGAATTAAATCTAGACCTATCTTAAAACTCATGAAGCAAGCAAAAAAATAAACTCCGTTAATTTTAATTAGCTAGACTCCAATTATTTCACCTTTAAAAATAATTAAATGATTCATCCATTTCCTTTAAAAGCTAGTAGGTTTCAATAAAAAAAAATTATTTCAACTGCTGGGTTTTAATAATTAATTAAAGGGGCTAACAAATAGCAATTAATATTGGAGCACATAGATTTATGGAATCACTGCTAAAAACCTGACCCTTCCCTCTACTCGAAAGAAAATTAATTGATAATCTAGCACTTCTAAAGAAGTCAACTATCTGGAATTTGGCTTGTCACATAGGCAATGTGTTGTGATCATGCATCAGCCAGAGAGGGATCGAGGAGAGGATGAATACATAGCTAGGAACCATTAATTTTTTGCCTGTTTCTCATATAATGAAAGGCAATAAGGCATGTTCCTTGCCTTCCCTGAGAGAGATTTTTCCATGGGACGTGTGGCTGATAGGGTCAAATATCGTCGCCATCTTATCAATTCTCAAAGTTTCTCTAGAAAATATACAAGTGGAGAAATGTAACCCCTAAAAAAATACAGATGTAAAGATTCTTTCTTGATTGCTTTTTCGATATATAGGAAAAGTGGTTTTGATTGATAGGATAGCTTGAAGTACCTTTTTTTTTTCATTTCAGACAGAAATTAGTTTTGCAATTCATATATATTGCGTTGTAAATTGTAATTACTACGAGACGATGCCATTTGCATGCAAGCTCATATCGGAAGCATGAATAAAGTACAAGTTCATTATGCATCTTCTGCTGAAATTTAAAATTGTGTAAGTATAGGGATTGTCAGAATGAACTTTAAATCACTTGATCAAAGATTTTGATTTTGATCAAATAATATTATTCACATTCATATAAGTTTCATGCAGAACAAAAATCTAACATTTGCATTCAAAAACAAGGAATACCCTACAAATTTTGTACAAATTTCAACAATCTTTTAGAGGAGTTTTACAATACTTTAATACATGACAAGTTTGCAATCATTCCTGTCTAAAAGACAGTACAACCGCATTCCAACTAGAAAACACGCACAGCTAGTAATAATCCAAGGATTGTGGTGGGATGGCCACTGCTAATTGCAAACATCTGTTTGAGAAAGAACTTGAATGGAATTGTGTGAAGGTGAATGGAGAAACAGGGGAATCCACCAGGGCCAAATCCTGGGTGCTTTGTACCCTTTAACAATGACATGACATGCAACTTCCTGGTTGCCTTGATGAAATCACATCCTTAGGAATAAGATTGCAGACTTGTATAGTCAATCATCAAACCCCACATTCATTAGGCATAAATGTTGAATGGACTCTTACATTGTGATTCATAGTACTTAATCTGGTAATAGCCTGGAAAAATCACCAAATTTTCATCCTAATAGGCCAAAAGATATCAACGGGCAAAAAAATCCATATTTTTTCAGCAATCTATAGATTCCATTTTTTGTCAATTGAAAAGCAAATATAGAGCAAAGCATAGATTAAGATTAAGAATCCAACTTGAAGAAAAAAAATAAAACATAAGTTGTACATAGCTTTCAAAGATCACAAGGAACAAGTCCGAACACCAGCAAGAACTGAAATCAAATCTTGTATTCAACAACTCATGGGAGGAAGATCAGATGTTTTTCCAGGAACAGGGGCAGATGATTTCTTGAAAACTCTACTGCCAAATAACAAGAACCCCAGAGCATGCCCAGCCACAGCAGCCAAGAAAACACCTCCATTGAAAGACATGATAGCCAACATCACCAAATATGCAAGACCAACCCTCAAAGCATGCAACAAAGTCTGAACAAGACCAGCAGCCACATGGCGTGTTGAGCCAGGCTTGATCAATTGGGAGTGAGAGATCCATTCAACCATGAAAGCAAGCAGAAAGACAACTATCAGGGCTAAAACGTACATGCCTGTTCTTGTTCCTGGCCACCCTGAGAAGAGAATCTCAGCGTTCTTGCCCCAAAAGAAGGTCATGTGCATCATCATCCTGTGACGGTGCATCATCCCGCCAGATGATTGGTTGTTCATGCCATGCATGTGGTCATGATTCATATTCTCCATGGCTCTTTCCCAATTTCCTCTCCCTCTTGAGTGTGGGTCTGGAAACTGTGGAGTTTAAGTTGTGAAATGTGAGGTTTTTGATGAGGTGGCAACTTCAGAATCTCTAGTATTTTGCTTGGTTTATAATAGGAGGCTGCTGTTGTGGGGAGCTGATAGTACATTGGAAGTTAAGTGTAGTACTTGTCGGACGAAAAACAATAGCACGGCTGTATCTTAAAATTTAATTTGGAAAAAATCAATTAATATTATGTTTTATTTTTAAAAAATTTATTTATATAAAAAAATAAAAATTAAAAAAATTATATTAATTTAAAAATTTATATGCATGTTTGATATAAATAAATTATTAAATATAATAATTGATTTGTAAAAATATTAATTTTATAAAAATAATATAAAATAATTTATGTACATCAATATAACTTAATCCTTTCTCAAATATGTATATATATATATAAACAATATACTAATAAAAATAATATACACAAAATTGTAAAATAAAAAATATTACTATGATAATATTAAACTTTTAAAAATAACAAGACTTTTAATAACACAAATTTTTATTTTTTGATAATTTAAAATTAAAATAAACAAATAAACAAATCAATCTCAAGTAACATTATTATCCTCCTCTATATATATATATACCAAGAAACTTTAATGCTCCATATATTTCAAATTTATAAAAAATGAGATAAACTTGATCGAAAATGTTTTAGATTCATGGAAAATTTTAAAATAAATTTTTTATTTAGAAATTGAAATAAATTTTATTAGAGATTATTTTTTTTAAATTCATAACTTAAGAAAAAAAAATTATGAATATTGAAATTTTAAAAAGTCTTAAAAATTAAAAAAAAAAATTTACCAAAAAAGAGTATTTTGTTGGGGGGGGGGGGGGGGGGGTTCAAGAGCTGCAATGGAATACAGAAAGAAGAGACAAGCCAGACAATAAGCCAAAGTTAATGCCAATGCTAAAATAAATAATATTAAAAATAAAAATTATAGACAAACTCGTATTTGAGACTCAATTTTATATCGCTGTTAAAAATAACTTTTGTATTTAAAATTTATTATTTAATTTTAATATTAAATAATAAAATATATAACTTTTTAATTAAAAAATCCAACTTACAAAATCAAATTAAAACTCTTTAATAGATACTTTTGGTGTGGATGAAAATACAAATTATATGTACATACTTATTGTTATCCAACAAAATTACTGAGTTATCGAAAGATGACTCTATTAGTATTATGCCACTTGGATGATGCAAATTTGATCTATTGTTTATATTTAATCGATATAAATAATTTCCATAATCATAATTTATATAAGACTCCATCCAAAAAAGTTAAAAAAATGTCTTATTTTGAATCCAATGTAATAAACCAGCTGAACAGATTTTAGCATGAAACATTTGTTTTTTCAATTTTTTACAAATGCTTTTGTTACTGTGGAATGAAAAGCTTTCGTATTTTAATATATGTATTTAATTTATTCAAAGTGTGATTCACTTTTTAGAGAATATTAGTTGAAACAATAATAAAAATATTTTGTAAGGATATTTGAAGTTTTGTTATAATATATAAGTAGAAGTTTAAATTTAAATTTATGACATTTTTTATGAGATAGAATTGTATAATTTCGAGTTAAAATAAATAATAACTCAAAGGTTTGGTGTAGATCTCTATAAATGATATCAGAGCGATCATTAATCAAACATGAGATCAATACTATGTCGTGAGAATCATTTTTAGAATCTTAACATCTGGTATTATCTTGGATCTATGTGTGCTTTGTGTTGAGCTTACTCAACATTTAATATGATTCAATAAATCTGTGTGTTTTATATTTTATTATTACATATGTAAAAATTTAAACCTAAATTGTGAGGTATCTTTTGAAAAATTAAACCATGAGATTTTCGGATCAAAACAGATAATATCTCGTAGGTTGAATGTAAGTTTTCACAAATGGTATAAGAGTGATCAACAGTCGGACGAGTGCTAAGTACTATATCGTAGAAACCACCTCTAAAATCTTATGAAAGTTAATTACTACATGATGAGAATCACTTTTAGAATCTCAATGTCTAGTTTGATGTTGTGATCTATGTATACTTTATGTTGAGTTTACCTAACATTTGGTGTGCTTTGTATTACGTTTGACAGAGACATCAAACTTTAATAAAGGAGTTTATAACACATTAATCCCACATCAAAATAATTTAAAGTTACGTTGTAATATATATGTTGAGATTTAATTCTAAATTAGTGAGATATTTTTATGAGATAAAATCATAAAATTTTTGAATTAAAACAAATAATACTTCACAAATCGAGTATGAACCTTCACATATTTATATGTAGAACATCTTTGGATTCACTAAAATTTAGATCACAAAATCGTACTTTTAATAATAGGAATATTTTTATAAGATTAATTTGGATAAAGTAAATTTTGGTTATATATCATCAAAATCAATTTAAGTGCTCATTTTAATTACAGCTTAGGGGTCTAAATTTCAATTGTAATAATTGTTAATCAAATTTAAATTATTTAACCATATAATAGAAAATTAGCTTAATTAATTTATATAATTATTTTTTAAATATAACATCCAATAATTTAAAATAAAAATACCAATACATATACCATATTTGTAAAAAAAAAAATTGAATCATTGAAATATAATCTTGACCGTAAAAAATTATTATACTTTTCATACTATTTAAATAGTCATATTTATTTAATATATAATATAAAATTTAAATAACCAAATTTGAATTATAATCTTACCAAAAAAATCAAGAGCACCAAATATCAGATGAAAGGTGATAAAATTTAAAGCGAATATATAACATAACCTATAAAGTATTTAGTGAATTATCTTGAAAACAAAGAATAGTAAGAAAAAACCATTGCTTAGCTACAACTAACAAGTGAAAGAAAGTGTAAGTTTCGGATTTAGATGCTGAATCTAAAGTTGCATTTCTTGATTCCTTAACCATTTCCCTGCCATTAGGCAATTAACTACAAAACACATTTGATTATCATCATTATCATCTTCTTTCATTGAAGATTTGGAATACCTATTTTGTTAGAAAATCAACACATACACGTAGTATACATGAACAAAATAACAAGCTTAAATTAAGAATAGAATACACACAAATATATTTGTTTCAGTCCAACTCAAAATGACTTACTCTAAACTTAATCCACTATCAAATAAATATTTACAATTGAAAAATTTTTGGAATGAAAAAAGTTTAACAAAAACTCCTTACTCAAAACTTAACCCAAAACCTAATTATATCCTTTTAATAGCCCACTCTCCTAGCTATTCTCTTGATGTCTAACTATCTGAGATTACTAATAAAACTAAAACATTTTATTTATAAGGGTGAAATCCCTTATATCTTTACTAAACTTTCGGTGTGGGATACAAGATAATTCAAACTCTTATAACTTCACTTTAACTTTTGATTTAAGATTTTCAAGGCAAAACCCAACAAATCCTCCCTTAACTTGAATTTCCAAACACTTTAACTGTATCTGCAAAGTTGACATGCTTGCCTTTTTTCTTTTCTTCGTTATAAGAATCCTAACAATTGAGCCTCCATTAAGCACATACAAGTGATTTTTGACCCTATTCTCTTATAGAATCACATTATCATTCTTATACACTTTCAATGAATCATTACGACCATAGTATGTGTATCCCCGATAAGTTAACTCGCCTATAGCAATCAAATTATAGCTATAACTCATACATACCTTACATGATGAAGTGTCCTAACAACACCATTGTGAGATCTAAGGTGAACACTCTCAATGCCTTGAATTTGTATCTTTTTGTTGTTGGCAACCATAATATCCCCACATTTTTCATTCTCTTTTAACTCTATAAAACAACTCCTATCATTGCAAACATGAATTGTAGCAGCTGAATCTAAAACCCAACTTTTATCACCTTTCAAAGTTTGAGTCTCATTCACACAAGTCGTCAAAATGACATTAGCATCATTAGACACGACAATAATAGTATAACTTTTTCCTTTATTCGATTTTTTTTTATCATTCGTCTTTTTTAAAGTAACCATATCCCTTATCAACTTCTTGCAATGTACTTGGATATATCCCTTTTCACCACAATAATAACATTTTATGTCACTATAATATCTGTATCTTAACTTAGATCTCTCTCTTGATTCATCAATCCTCTTTTGAATCCTCTCTCGATCAAAACCCTCTACAGCTAGTGTATTCCCTCCAGGTGATGAGTTTTGTGTTTCATAAATCTTTCGTTCTCATGTAATAGGACAGTCACATCATCTAACTTCAAAGTAAACCTACCCACTAACAAAGTCTGAACTAAAGGCCCATAGGACTTGTGTAAAGATAACAGCAAAATTAAAACTTTCTCTTCATTTTTTAACTCATCAACAGAAATCACCAGCAATTGAGAAACTAATTTATTAAATTCATTCAGGTGATTGTGAAGACTCGTATATTCTTTCATCTTCAGAGAATACAGATCTATCTTCAAACATAATCTATTAATCAACGACTTCAATGCATAAATACCCTCAAGCTTATCCCACAAACTCTTTGAAGTACTTTCAGTTAACACACTATACTTTATCTCTGGACTAACACCAATATAATAATACTAATAACTTTCTTTTAAATTTTATTCTAATTATTGCTAGACATTCCTTCAGGCTTACTATTTTCTAATGCCTGGTCTAACCCTTGTTATCTAACAAATCTTAAACCGTTACTTTGCTATAACATAAAATTATTTTTTTTCATTAAATAACAAAATCTCAAACTTAGGCATAGGCATACTAGATATATCTTTTTCAAACATTTTGAAATACTTACTTTATGATCTCATGGGCCCGCCTCTCTTCTTCTCGAAACCTCAAACCTTAAATTTTGCTCTGATACTACTTGTTAAAGATCACCACAACTTAATACCACTTATTTAAAAATTAACATGCATACGTAGCACACACAAACAAAATAGCAAGCTCAAATCAGGAATAAGAACACACAAATATATTTATTTCGATCGAACTCAAAATGACCTACTTCAAACCTAATTCACTATAAATAAATCTTTATAATTGAAAAACTTTTAAAACGAGAAAAGTCATCAAAAACTTCTTACTCAAAACTTAACTAAAACTTAATTACATTTTTAATAGTCTATCACCTAATTATTCTCTTAATATCTAATTATATGAGATTATTAAATTAAAATTAAAATATCTTATTTATAAAGATGAAACTTTTTATATATTTATTAAACCTTTGATATGAGATATAAGATAACTTAAATTTTTATAATTTTATTTTAACTGTTGACGCGAAATTATAAAATTTAAAGTAAAACCTAACATGTTTTTCAATGAACATGGAGTTTGAAAACAATGGTGTTTTTTTTTTTTTCTTTCTTTTTTTATTTGGCTGATCGTTTTCTACAATTAGAAGAGACCACAGGAAAAAATTGCCGAAAGCCGAAAGTAAGATGGCATTATTGGCAATCGCTGCAGCCATGCCAATCATATCAAACACGCGATGAGGTCTATTTGCCTCTCAAATCAAAGAAGATTTGAGCCGTCATTGACTATAGAAAAATTAAATTGGAAAAACTAGATGAATCCAAGAACGCAGCTTTTATCTGAAAAAGTCAAATTTGACGGCTAAAAACAATCATTTTTATTGTTAATATCCACGCATCTCATCTAAATTCCACTAAATTATCTGACTCCATTGGCCTGGGAGTCTTCAGTTTCATTTTTCTTTAACTTGACCAAGACTTGCTACACCAGAAGTCCGGAGAAGCAGAAAGAGCAATGGCAAAACAACAGAAGTCTGGTCATTTGGTGCTTGTTATGTTTCCATTTCAAGGCCACATAACTCCCATGCTCCAGCTAGCCACTATCTTACACTCCAAAGGCTATACAATCACTATAGTTCACCCTGAATTGAACTCTCCAACCCCTTCAAACCACCCTGAATTCACCTTCATATCAATACCAGATAAGCTAACGGAATCCGAGGTCTTAGATGGAGATGCTGCCAATCTCATGTTGAGTCTCAACAAGAACTGTGCTATACCGTTACAGCAATGCATGAAAAAGATATTGCATCAAAAAGATTCACATGATCATATAATTCATATTACCGCCATCATCTATGATACACTCATGTTTTGTTCTCAAACTATTGCTGATGATCTGAGGCTGCCTGGGATAAATGTGCGTACAAGTTCAGCTGCAACATTGTTACTCTATGCTCTGTTTCCTCATCTTGATGGGAAAGGTATACTTCTTTTCATGTTATGAGTGAATAAATTAATTAATGTTTTTGCTTCTCTCCTTGTGTCACTAACCGCATCAAATTCTATACATGATGATCATCCTTTGGAAGTTAAAGTTTTTGCTGCACAATACTTTCTTTGGAATAATTTCTATAACATTGTTATTAAGTTATAACACAAGCCTGAAGGCATCACAAGGGTCAATAAGCTTGCACACTAGGAAAAATATATTCAAGTTCAGCAGTACAGCAATTATTCTCAGTGACACATTCAATATCCTATACTCTTTAAATTTGTGTTACAGATTCTACTTTGGAAAATGAGATACCAGAGCTTCAATCCCTTCAGCTTCAGCACATTCGTGCATTACTATCACAGAATCCAACAGATGCGATGCTAGAGGTGAGAAATGCATTCACAGAAGGAGTGAGGAGCTCGTCAGCTGTAATTGTGAACACAATGGACTTCCTAGAACAAGCGGCACTGTCAAAGATCAAAGAACACTTCCCTGCTCCAATTTTCACCATAGGGCCACTTCACAAATTAGCTCCAACCATTTGCAGCTCATTATTAATAGAAGATGCTAAATGTATCTCTTGGCTTAACAAACAAGCCCCGAAATCTGTCATCTACGTAAGCTTTGGTAGCTTGGCCAGCATCGGTGAGCAAGAACTAATTGAGACAGCTTGGGGACTAGCTAACAGTAAACAACCCTTCTTGTGGGTGATTAGGCCTGGTTTGGTTCGTGGTTCGGAATGGATTGAGTCATTGCCAAATGGATTCCAGGAGGGTGTGGGAGAAAGAGGTTTCATTGTGAAATGGGCACCTCAAAAGGAAGTGTTGGCGCATGCTGCAGTGGGTGGATTCTGGAGTCACTGTGGATGGAATTCAACCATTGAGAGTATTTGTGAAGGGGTACCAATTCTATGCAAGCCTTTCTTTGGAGACCAAAACTTGAACTCTAATTATATCTGTAATGTTTGGAAAGTAGGCCTGCAATTGCAGAATAAGTTGGAAAGAGGAAATATAGAAGCAGCTATAAAAAGACTGATAGTGGATATTGAGGGAGAGGAAATCAGAAAGAAAGCTATGGATTTCAAGAAGAAAGCAAGTCTTTGTCTACAGGAGGGCGGATCATCATGCTGTTCTTTCAATGAATTAACAAGGCATATATCATCAGTTTGAATCAAAGACATAAAACTAGGATCCTTGTACCTTCAGTCCATGGTATGGCATCTGTGCCGCTTATTATTAAGCTTGGTGGATAATAAGCATAATGTAGTTCTTTCAAAGGATTGGCGAAGAAGAAATTGTCAGTTATATTGAAACATTTTACATTAGTAGCTAAAACTTTATAATACTACAAACATTTTCTCAACAATCCCAAATTAGGCATAAATCAAATTTTATGTTTTTAACATAGAAGGCGGCCTCTCAAACGTAAGAAACAAAACGCTTTACTACTCTTAACCAGAAATCTCAATGGCTTTGACATCAGGTTTTTTCATTTCCGCCTTAGGAACAGTAACAGTAAGAACCCCATTTTCCATGGAAGCCTTAATCTGATCCGTCTTGGCATTCTCAGGCAATCTGAATATCCTCACGAAATTCCCACTGCTACGTTCAATCCGGTGCCAGGTGTCGTTCTTGTCTTCCTGCTCAACGTGCCTCTTTCCGCTGATTTGAAGCACCCTGTCATCTTCAATCTCCACTTTCACTTCCTCTTTCTTCAGCCCTGGAAGATCAGCCTTGAAGACGTGAGCTTCTGGGGTTTCGTTCCAGTCGATCCGGGTGTTAACAAAAGCAGAGGTTTCTGGGGTATGGGGTGGCGAGCGAAGAAGAAGAAGAAAAAGAGAAAGGGAAGTCCTTGAAAGGATCCCAAACGTCAAGACAGAAAGGATCGAAGATGCTGCTCCTTCGGTTGCCAAGGAAACTTGGGATCATCGCCATTTTTCCTTCTTTTTTTCTATAAGAAAAAAAAGATTGATGAAGAATTAGTTCGTCAGAAATCTTTAGTCGCTGACTAGATATTCCAAACTCTGTTACTCTTTCGATGATGCCCATAGAACAGAACATGTTGCGTATATATAAGAAACTGAAGAGCAATATAGCAGTGTCTAGTACTTTGTGATTGGGCCCCGAGAAAACTTTGACTTCTCTCATTGTTCACGAATGTTTGGGAATTTACATGATTGGTCTAGACTCTTTTGCAATCAATTTGACGTCAATGCTAATGAAATGGGATGCACTTTGTTTTCTACGCTCCATTTGGCCTGGTATTCCTAACTCTGCCTTTCTCACCTTGTCAAGTTCCTCAGTTTCATTTTACACAAAAAGAGAACCCCCTCTTATTGTGATTATATATTTTCCATCTATTTATGAAAAAAAATAAAAAATAAAATTAAATAAGAAATATTTGAGAATATAATTCTGCAAATGAGCTATGATTATTCTGCAAGACAAAATGATTTTTTCAAGAATGATAATTAAATGTTATATTAATATTTTTTATTTATAGTTGTTAGAGTTTTAATTCTTAATATAAATTGATATTTGATCTCTCACCTAATACCAAATTATAATATTTATTTTGTATAATATAATTTATAATTTTTTTACATAAACACAAATATAATGTATTTAAATATTCTTAATTCTATCTTTATAATACATGGTTTGAAAATTATTGACGTGAAACAACTCCTAACACAACACTAGTTGTCCATAAAAAAACTAACCTATAAACTGTTGAAAGAATAATTGTTTTCATTAGACTGAAGAAAATTTATTATTCAACATAAAAAAAAAATAAATCCATGCGGCCTAGAGTTGCATAACGTTTAACTTCTTAGAGGTTTCAACCAGGCAATAGCTGGGCCCAATTGGAAGATTACATTTGCAAACACTAGATAGAAGTCCAGATCATTCAAGTTAGTTCTTTAACGTTCGTGAATTACGAAAAAGGTTTTGAGGCCCAAAAGTTTAAAGTTCGAGAAAATACTAGATCTCCTTCAGCCTGCTATAAAATACCCGACATGTCTTAGCTTTGCAGTGTAGGAAGACAGAATCACAACAAACAAACACTTTTAATTTAACTTTTCAAGTGTCTGATTAATCCTGGTTTCATCATAAAAAGGAAATGGCGATGATCCCGAGTTTCTTTGGCAACCGAAGGAGCAGCATCTTCGATCCTTTCTCTCTTGATGTTTGGGACCCATTCAAGGACTTCCCTTTCCCATCTTCATTCACCACGCATACCCCTGAAACCTCAGCTTTTGCCAACACCCGAATTGACTGGAAGGAAACTCCAGAAGCGCATGTCTTCAAGGCTGATCTTCCAGGGCTTAAGAAAGAAGAAGTCAAAGTTGAGGTAGAAGATGACAGGCTACTTCGAATCAGTGGAGAGAGGAAAACAGAAAAGGAAGACAAGAATGACACATGGCACCGTGTGGAGCGGAGTAGTGGGAAGTTTTCGAGGAGGTTTAGGTTGCCTGAGAATGTGAAGATGGATCAAGTTAAAGCTTCCATGGAAAATGGGGTTCTTACTGTTACTGTTCCTAAGGTGGAAGTGAAGAATCCTGATGTCAAAGCCATTGAGATTTCTGGTTAAAGGCTCTAAGAGCTTGAAGGGTTTTGTTGTTAATATGCCAAAGCTGCTTATATGATACTCTCGTCTATCTGCTTGTCTTTTTTTGTGCTTGGTGGATTGATGTTAAAAGTTAAATTTTGGTTTGTAATACTATTAAGTTCTCATCTTGCTGTCCCCCCCCCCCCCAATAAATTGCAGGCATTAAACTGTTCCTTTGTCTTCTTTATTTTCTCTTTCTGGATTCAACTTCTCTTTTCAAGTCATCTCCTTTAACCAATTTCAAAATTCGTTTTGGTAATAAAGGTACATTAAAAAATGCTTCTATTTCTATGTTGCAATTTTGGCATATAAGTCGCAAGAATGATACAATTGTTCGCCTTGGTTTATCTATTTGCAGTTAATTTTTTCCTGTTCACTATTGGTTGCCTTTCAACATAAAGGATAAACTTTTCATCAGAAAATCTTTAATGGCTGTTTTATGCTCTCATTTCTTATCTGTGCTTAGGAAAAAAAAAAAAAAGAAGCCCAGATTTTTTGTTGCCTTAAAAGCAGATTGGATTTCTTCAGGCAGGTGGATAAGTACTATTGACTTAAGGCTGTTAAGCTCTTTAATTCCAAACAAGTTTTGAATGACTGGTGCTGGTTCCGGATCCAATGCATTAGCTAGGTATATCATTCATAGTTGGCTCCTCAAACTAACATTGCAATTTGCACACGGCAAATTCAACTCCCCTCTCAAAATTTCCATCGACTTCTCCTTCTGCCAATATCGAACGACCTATTTGATGTTGACTACTCGTTTATGCATTTCTTTCTTTATTAGTATTACTTTGTTTTTTATGGATAAGCTAAACCTTTGCATAGATGTCATATCACAAATGCCCCGTTCAAGATGTCACCAATCAAGATTACAGAAAAGGAGGAAGAGCGTTACCATATGCTTCCTTGTATTTTGCAGACTGTGGCACATCAACTGGAGCTTCCAAGCATTGAGCAACTAGATTAAGGCCATAATATAATGCTAATGTTGAAAGCAGAAGTTAGAAGAGTTTGCTTCAAGACACAGGGTAACAAATCTGACATAGAAGATTGAACTTGCAGTCTTATCCTGCAAAATGCTTAAAACCATCATAGTCATCAGTAGTCAAAATCCCTTTCCACTTCAAGTACATTTTGGTAAATTGTGGCTATTATAGAAATATGAAATATCTCCTTCCAAGGTTAATTATGGGATGTAACTCCAATGAAATTATTGGAGAAAGAGGCTTAATTGTGAAATGAGCACCCCAATAGTGGGGATCGGCTCATAAGGCAATAGGAGGTTTCGGAGCCATTCTGGCTGGAACTCGTCCCCTAAAAAGTATTTGTGCTAGATATGTCAACCGTGTATCGGAGATCAAATAGTGAGTGAAAGACTTGTGACCTATGTCTGGAAAATAGGTATGGAGATGGACAACAGCTTGGAAAGCATAGAGACACAAAAGGCCATACGAAGGCTTATGCTGTTTGTAGAAGGGCATGATTAAGGCGTAGGGTGATCTAGTTGAAAGAGAAAATGGAACTTATGCACCCAGGAAGGTGCTGCTTTCTACAATTTATTGAGTGAGTTGGGTAATGTATCTCATCATGCTAAATGAATAAAGTTAAACCATTAGTAGTTAAAATTCCTTTGAAGTTTCAACTATCCGCAAGATGTTTATAATATTGTGTATGATTCCTGATAATAAACATCTCAACTATCTACTTCCAAACGATATAACTCACTCTTGTCTGACTCTAAAAAATAACCGTTGTAATTGGCAATGGAATATGCTCTAGCCGTAAGGAACAGCGTGCGGGGTCATCTGGCATCAGCTTATAAAAACGACTAAACCAGACTCCGGTTTTGTTCTTTGTCAAGGATAACGGAGTCAACAAAGATCTGAGTTCAGATCCAATATTGCTTCAATAATTAAAAGTATCTATTTACAACTGAAAATCATGTCATGAAAACTCATAAAAGTTCATGCTGCCCAAACCCACATCATAGATGAAACTAGAACCAAGTCAAATTTATAAAGATCCAACCAATTCATAAACAGGGAAGAAGAGTGAACTCATGTATTAACAAGAGTGGTTTTATTTTCTACATAGGAAAGTTCAAAAGCAAACAAACTATATACAAGAATATAGCAGCAGTAATAGTAGTAGTATTACTTATTTAATCTCCCACAGTCATAACAAAACCTCATCTGACAGAGATAAAGACACTCACTTCCTGACTCACAAGCATCTTTTTTATTGAAGTGGTTATTTTGAGTAATCTGTCACCGGAGACAAGACGGCTTAAAAACTCAACTTCGATTTTTTACCCAGAAATCTCAATCGCCTTGACATCAGGCTTTTTCACTTCCAATTTCGGAACAGTCACAGTAAGAACCCCATTTTCCATGGAAGCCTTGATCTGATCCGGCTTGGCGTTCTCAGGCAATCTGAATCTCCTCATGAACTTGCCACTGCTACGTTCCACGCGATGCCAAGTGTCGTTCTTGTCTTCTTTCTCTATGTTACTCTCTCCGCTTATCTGAAGCACCCTGTCATCTTCAACTTCCACTTTCACTTCTTCTTTCTTTAGCCCTGGAACATCTGCCTTGAACACGTGAGCTTCTGGGGTTTCCTTCCAGTCGATTCGAGCGTTGACAAAACCTGAGGTTTCAGGGAAACGTGTGGTAAGTGAAGAAGAAAAAGGGAAGTCCTTGAAAGGATCCCAAATGTCCAGAGAAAAAGGATCAAAGACGTTGCTGCGTCGGTTGCCAAAGAAGCTTGGAATCAGAGACATTTTCAGTAATGAAAAAAGGAATTAGTAGAAAACTTTGGTTGTTGGGAAAACTACGAGAGCTACTCGGATTTTCTATGCTTTGCTAATTAGGGTGTTGAAAGAACCTGGAATGGAATTTTATAGGATTTGTTGATGATTCTAGTATTCGGAAGATTTTTCTAGTTTTTTTTAGATTTAAGTCATTTCCCGGAACCTTATCCAGAGGCTTGTGCGGGGCCAATGACAAAGACACTTCATTCTAGGACACTCCGGAACACTCATAATCTATATGGGCTTTGTACAAAGATAAGTGGACTTAAGGCCCATTGAAAACTGAAGTGGACTTTATTGTTTTGAAGTTAATAAGAGAATTTCATTCATTTTCATAGTTGATTCATATGATCTCATATGAAATCTACTAAATTGATCGAAGAGGCCAGAAAAATTTGATTGAAGAAAACTTCATGGCATGCTTAGAACATTATGCCTTTGTCATGTCTAATTAACCTACTGGATTTGAGGTTACCTGCCTGATTTACCAAAACCCGAAAGGTAATTACTTGGTGAGATTTTGCTGGTTTTATTATGATTATTGGTCAAAGAATACTTTTGATGATATGAAAACTTACGTATTCATATATAAGCTGTTGAATTATGTGGGAAGAACGAAACTGTGTCCAACTCTTGAAGGGGTAGAAATACCAATTGTTTGTTTTGTTTAAAAGAAGAACCTATATAGATTTTCTTCCCATTGACTGAGCTTCATTTGATTTTGTGCCAAATTTCAGATTGTCATCCGTATCAAAGTCGATAGAAGAGAATCCTGCCATTGGCTGATCCCCTATCATATCCTTGTCCTTATGTCATTTTGATCAGAGATTCTTTGATGAAGCAAGGCTGCAGGAACAGCTAGTCTATCCTTGACTATATTGTGGCCTAACCAGTCTCAAAAGTCACAACCACCTTGAGGGGTATCCTCGACTATTATATATCAGAGCTTCAGACGCAAGTATATTGTGGCCTAACCACTCTCACAAGTCATTACCACCTAGAATGCTGTCCCAATACAATAACAATGCGTATGGACATGTGGTAGGGGCAAGTTTTCATGGATTGCATGAGTTATGGTTTCTTTCATAGGCCTTTGTCTATATTTTGATACTCTGATGAAACTGTTTCTAGAGACGAGCTCTAAATCAAGTACTTAGTGCAAATATTAGCCTATATTTTATTCTGATTTAGTTGACATTGGTCATGTTTGCAACACAAGAATTTGCAAGTCCTGAATATCTTAAGTGCTTTCCCTTTGCCTCAGATTGCGACTGGCCATAACTATAAAAAGATTATTTAACAACAGTTTATTAAAAGAACAACTCACAAATTCATTATTAGAATTCTGATGTCTTTATTACATCTTTTTGACCCACCTAGTAATTACATTAGAACTATTTATAGTATTTTTCAATGTTTCAGACATTTGAAACTTCAACCAGAAATCTGGATAATCTTAACATCAGGCTTCTTCAATTCAATCTTAGGAACCGTAACGGTGACAACCCCATTTTCCATAGAAGCTTTAACTTGATCCATCTTCACATTCTCAGGCAACCTAAACCTCCTCGAGAACTTGCCGCTGCTCCTCTCCACGCGATGCCACGTGTCATTCTTGTCTTCCTTCTCAACATTCCTCTCCCCGCTGATTTGAAGAACCCTGTCATCTTCAATCTCCACCTTCACTTCCTCTTTCTTCAGCCCTGGAAGGTCAGCCTTGAACACATGAGCTTCTGGTGTCTCTTTCCAGTCAACACGAGTGTTGACGAAGGCTGAGTTTTCTTCGGAAAGTAATGGGAAATTCTTGAACGGATCCCATACGTCGACAGAGAATGGATCAAAGCCGTTGCCTCGTCGGTTGCCGAAGAAACTTGGGATCAGAGACATTTTCTATTTCAATCTCCTGGAATTGCTTCTAAGTTGGTAGGGATTATGAGAAACAGAGCCTGCTTGTTGTTTTCTTGCTGTGCTTTTTGTATTCCTTGAATCGTGAAGGCGGGGATAGCATTGGTATTTGAAGGATTCAAAGGAAGATTCTAGTACGTTCTGGGGTAAACGGTTTTGGGCCTAGATGGAAGAAGTTTCTAGTAAACTCAAGGGCCTTCAAGGCTTCTCTCGATTTCAAATGGACCGAGCCTAGCCCTCCTACAAGAAGAAACAACACCGTGTAAGTGGTGAACGTAATCCCATCAGCAGAACAGCAATAAAACATCAAGCGAGCCCGCTATTTGATCCACAATTTCTTCCCTTCTTTCTGTTCTGCCTTTTGTTTTCTCATAATTTCCTAGTTATCTATAACTAGAACATAGTATTACTTAGTTCATCAAATCAGCCATTGATCAGCACAAGAATCGGCCAGAACATCCAGAGCAATTGGAGACCACAATGGGATTCTTTTTCTTGGGCCGGTTTTTAGCTTTTGCCAGGGTGACAGTGAGCGGACCATTGTCGATTGCAGTCTTTGTTTGTCTCACATTATCACTTTCTGGCAGAGGGCAGCTCTTAATTTTACGTTCATAGCTTCGACCTTCACGTATTATTGGGTAAATTCTCCTGTCTCTGATCTCTATTTTTACTTCTTCACTCCTCAGCCCGTGCACTGGCGCAGTATTGCAGTAAGCACCAGAGCTGTTTCTTGCCAGTACATCTAAAATTAGTTTAGTATAGCTGAAGGATCAATATAATATTACCCTAGTTAAAACTGTAATAAAAATAACTCTCTTAAGAGGTGGATAAATTACTAACAGTGAAAGAGAATATTGGATTCATAACTGAAGCTGCTTGCAATAAACATATCTGGCATGCAAATGATGTTGATTGTTAGTAAACTTAATGGAGATGAGTGAAAAACCAGATAGTGGTGAGAGAGAGGGAACTCAACAATTTATAACTAGAGTTTTGATGAACCATTTTAAGCATGATCTGTTACATATTAATTTCTCTGTTCATAGACAACATTTGGAGATGAAAGAACTTGATTTTTCTTTTTTACTAACTTATTATTACTATGGTAAGTATAATATCATAAAATGATTGATGCTAAAATAACTGCTAACATTTGTACATTAATAGCAGTGCAAATGATCAGTTTCTCCCAGCTCAGAAATCAGAAGAAAAGGTGAGAACAGAACTGAATTAATGCATAGACTTTTTAGGTTTTAAGTCAAAGAGTTAATGTATTTGGGGCAGGTGGTTTTCAATAGAACAGCATCAGTAATGGCTTTGAAATTGGAAAAGAGTATTGGGTGAATCTGTTTCCTCTCCACATGCTGATTAACTTCGTGAAAAAAACCCAAAGTACAACAGAAATTTTGAAGCCAACTATACAACACCATAGTTACAGTATCCAAACCTGAACTGTTTTTCCCTCGGTTAAATGACAAAAGACAAAAACACAATCCAAGTAGAGAGCAAAACCTACTCTTTGAACTTTGAAAATTTTGTACCCATTCACGTGCTCTTTTCTTTCACGGTTTGGCAGATTCACGTGTTGCAGATAGTGTCAAGGAAATTAAACAAGTTTCTGTTCTTCAGATTGATCAATGAATCACTTTTACTTCTTTCACTTTAAATCGTGGGTTTGGTGTATTAGTTAAAAATCATTCCATTATTGCTTGTGTTCATGGAGGAAATTGAAGGAAAGAAAGTTAATATGAGGTACGCTTCAACTTCTTGTTGCAACCAAATTCAATCCCCTTCATGCCAGCTTAAATTTTGTTTCTTTCCTGCTTTTTGAAATGATTAATTCATTTGACATGATCGTTGGTCGGTAGATGGTAAAAGTTAAGGTTTCCAGGAGTCGCTATCAATCATTGTTTTGTATATATTCCTACAATGCCAATGGTTTAGCAACTAAAAATAAACAATTTGACTAATTCTCTGTCTTCACTTTTCAAACAGTTTTTGGACAATTTCATTTCACCAGAGACATAAGAAATGTTTAGCCATTACCAAACTTTTCCATGTCCTTACTGACGCTGCAAATTGTTTAATAAATTATTTTGTGTTTGATGGGTTTTCACTTTCCAGGAAAATGGAATAATATGGAGTAATATTCAGCCGTACAAATGGCGATGATCCTTGTCTTTTTCACACTGTTTCTCGTCCTAAGCGGTGAAAGATCAGCTTGCCTTGATTTTCGAAACACATGGGCCAGTGTCGGTGATTTTCTTTTCAATGGTGGCCTAACATTTTTTCAGAGATTCACATGAAAATTGATCACCAGTACCAAGAAAAATACACGATCACAATCGACAATCCCAAGCTTATTACTATTTAATTATTTTTTATTTATAATTTTCATTAACAAAATTTTTTTAAGCTATCATATTAAAATATCTCACTTTTTTTCTTGCACTGAAATTATCACAGTTAATCATTAATTATTGCATTTTTTTAGCTCCATAATTATCTCCATGACTGCAAAAAATGGGTGATGTGGGAATAATTTCTACTTTACAAAGAAAGGGATGTTACAAGGTTTTATTAAAGTTAGTGTGATGAGTGGGCAATTAAAGACCACATGTGCACACCAATAAGGAATTTTAACATGGTTGGTTGAACAAATATTGATAATGTTCTGCAAAATTGGTAATCATATCTTAGAATTCATGGCTCAAAGTTTATGTTTCCCTACCTAAATCAATGACAATCTTCATTCAGATTGAAATGAAAAATAAATATAAGATTCGAGATAGTTGAGAGGATTAATTATTTTTATTATATAACTCAAAATCATATAAAAACATTATTTCGGAATTTTTAAATTCTTTTTCCTTCCCAACCCAACTATTAAACTTTCATTTAGATAATTGGATTTCATCACATTTTCGGTATGATATGATTAAATTTATCGTATTATTAATTAAATCTAATTGCTAGTCTCAATAAAATTCATTTATTATAAAATTTTTATTGATTTTTTCAATCACAGTTATAATAATTTTTACTGTTATTTTCAATCTTACCTTCTATTTGAATGAAATTGAAAAAAATATATATCAAGAATATAAAAACAAGCTAAATTGGATACATGGTTATGAAATTTTCATACTAAATTAAATATAATGTAAATTACTTTTCCTTAAAAAAAAAAAACTTATTTTATTTATTCAAATCAAGGTTTAATTCAAAACTAGCATGACTATTTTTCCTTCTATTGTTCAGTCGATTTTGGTGTATCCTCCTTATCTCCAAGGGCAAGCAAAACCAAAAGGAACTGGATATGATCATCATCAGTATAGAATATTAAAGCGGGTCATCTCCGAACATATATAATATAACAATGAAGATGGAATTATTGGTGACGTTAACATCCAGAAACAGAAGAAAAGGTCAAAGGTTTCCAGTGGCTGGAATTTCCTAGTTTTTTTTTTTTTTTTGGATTGACAAGATAAGCAAGTGGATGAAACGATATATAATTTGGGTATCTCTTTGTCAACTTAGGATGTTTTAATCACAATAATTGAATGTTTGATAAGATAGAATATGCATATAAATATATGATTATACAAATAATTGAGCTATAAATAGGATAAACTTGTTTATCTATCGAATTATTTATTTAATTTGATTTAAATCGAATTTTTAAAAAATTTTAGGGTTCGGATTCAATTTCATTCAAAATATTCAAATTTATTAATAAAATTTTTAATTTTTTTGAAAAAATTTTTAGAAGATTGATAGAATACAATCCGGTTTTATCCGATCTATAAAAACCTTTATATCGGCGTCAGTCGGCAAATAAGAAGTTAGAGGTGTTGGATGTGCCTAATTTTCTACCAGTCAATTTGGGCCATGAAGGTTGACATTTGAAAGACGGTTTGCGTTTGTAATTTTGTGTCTATCAGCATCAGCCAGCAACTATGAAGTTGAAGGTTGATCCATTAGTTGAACATGTCTTTAATTTTGTATAACTTAAGCTTGACAAATTTTTACATTTTAATTAAAAAAAAAAAAAAACAAAAGCTTATGGGTTTTAAGTTCCAGCTTAATCCTTCCAAGCCATTAACCCCTAAAATTGTTTGATAATTTTTGAGAATTACTATGTTTTGGACGATAAAAAGAGAGGATTGTGGCACTTTGGCTATAGAAAAACTATGGCTAAATGTTCCATAACCAGATAAAAAATTTGATTTATGTTTCTATATTTGTTTAAAAATAAAAAATCCAAGATCACTTGCGCGCTAAGTTTAAGATTTCGAGTTTTAAACGGTGAAAGATTGATAATGAATCTATAAGATGAATGTAAACTATTTTTTTAGAATCTCATAGTTTTGGATATCTAATGTAAATAAATAAATAAATAAATAATATATATATATATATATATAAATATTAAAAGAAGAATGCATTTGGGAATCCAGTAAAAGAATTTTTCATTACATGATGATATTATTTTATAATTAAAATTTTTAAATTTAATTATTAAATAATATTATTACACAATAATCATGCAAAGGCGAATCCAAAGAGGGAAAGCATGGATTATGAACCTCTGAAAAATTTTTTTACAACATTGTAATATAATGATTCAATTAACCAAATATCATTTTCGACTATTTTTTTCATTAACTTCACTATTTAATTTCTTTTTTACTTTATATTTGGCTTCACCCTTGATATCGTGTCAATTACTTGGCTATTGACTGTCGTGTAACAAGTGATTTTGAAATTAATAGTAGCAAATCAAACTAGAAAATTTTCTTAATAATTATCAATCAACATTAATCATAAACCCTTCTCCTTTTCTTCACTTCTTTTCCTATATTGTCTTTTGCATATTCCTCTTTCACTTTCTCTTTTCTTTTACTCATTTTTTGCTTTGAACTGAAAGTGGAGACTTTTGATGTATCAGGAGCGCGCTCAAAAGCATGCCATCTTTTTTTTTTTTTTTTTATTGACCATATTTTGGTATGAATAAAGTGGATAATATTTGCATGTTTCAATTTATTTAACATAAAAAGATTAAGATAGTGACTGTTGGGACCTCATATTATAAGGAATCCCATGCTATATTCCTTAACAATACACTTTTTCAAGCTTTTAAATGTTTCCCTAGCTTCAGAAATTGTAAATTTTTTTGTGTGAACAAGTAAATAAATTTTTTTTTATATTGCGCATTGCTTCATATATATTATATATGAAGAGCAATGAACTATAGATTATTTAAGAATTAAAAAAAAATAAAAGAACAAGTGTATGAACTAATTAAGGAAATTGTTAGGGCTCGATTACATGGATTGTATTCGATTATTGTTAATCCAATCAACAAAATTTTGTGTGATGCATGAAATATAGATAAAGTTATATTGCATAATAGTTAGAATATGATTTGATTGTATATATGGAGTGTATGTACTGTAGTAATTTTATTACTTCTTTTGGATAAATAAAATACAACTTATCAAAAAAATTTTTTTTTAACAAAATTATATTATTAAAACTTGAAATTCAAATTTTAATTTAAAGATTATGAAGTTAAATGTTAAGATAAAACATGAGATTTATCAAAATATGAAAAACTATCCGTAATAAAAAATAAATTTAAATTTAAAATTTAATTCAATTAATTTATATAATTGTAACATTGAATCAATTTAAAATTTAAATTTTAATACTTACAATTTATTTTTTTTTAATTTTTAAATTTGCACATACTTCATAAAAAAAATTAAAATGCCAAAATTTGTCTTTCTACATAAAAAAATGGCTGCATAACATTTATATAATGCCAAAGCTACATAATAAAAAAATTAAACTTCAAATTTACTCATTCAAATCATACCATTTTTTTTTAAATGCCAACTTAATCATTTTCTCAGTATAGTATTCATAATGACACCATAAGCCGGTTGTTAAAAGAATCAAAGAATCAGACAACTTATAGCTAAATAAGTATTTAACCTAAATATTTAATTATTGTTGATTTAAATATTAAAAAATTATTAAATTATTTTACTTTTTAGTAATTTTTTATACTTTATTGTATTAAAATAAATTTTTATTTTTAATTCTTATTCAAATAAAATTTTATTTTTAATAAAAATTTTTAACAACAAAGTATTTAATGTAAAAACTATATTGTATTAGTAGTAAATTAAACGAAACATAGTAAAAAAAACCTTCACAATCGAAAGAGCATTGAAAGACAGTTAGAATCGTGAGGAACTGCCAGTATATCCCGACGATCAACACTCCATCAGACCGTTCATCCATCAGTAGTGGACCCAATCACATAATACAGATCTGATTTAGAGCGGGCCCACCACATGATCAAACATCTTTTTAGCAAGGCCCTAGAGTAGGGACCACCCGAATATAACCTTACCGTCCCGCGTCTTTCTGATCTGATGTGACCACTTTTGATTTACCCCTTTCTGTTAAATCTTCCATTCTCAACCGTCCGATCACAAAACCATTTTTCTTGTTAAACAATGGTGCATCCTGAATCAGATTATTTTAAACACCATGCCTTAATATAAATATATATATATAAACATATGATTAAATATAAAAATCAAATATTATAATATATTAATTTTTATATTTTATTTTGACTCTCTTCACTGCATGCAAAACTTAAAAAAAAAAAGAAATGAGCTTAAGGCTCCAGCAATTAAATTGAATAATAAAAAACGCTCTCTTTTTCTCTTTCTTCAGAGCTTTTCTTTGTCACTCGCTCTCCGACTGCGGTTTTGAGGTTTTGGGATTTTGGAAGAAGTAAAAGTTTTGTTACAAAAAAAGCTAGAGAGGTTGGGATTTGGGAATTTTTTTTTTGAAAGTGATTTTCGCGACGAGTTTCATCATTGCTTCTCTCTTTTTGGAGCTCTTAACTTTCCTTTTTTTTTTTTTTGCCTCTGATTTTCTGTTATTTCGCCAGTTTTTTTCACTGTCCAATGCGCCGCCTACACGTGGTGCTTCTTCCCCGAGTTGTTCGTGTTTGCTGTTACCGTTACTGACCGCCGTTTCGTTCTGCATTTACTGTACCAGACTGGTACGCTTCTTTTTTCTCTCTCGCTTGACAAAGGATTTTCTGCTTGATTCTCTGGAAAATTTTGGAAGGTGGTGAAAAATAACAAGCGTTTCTTTCTTTTTTTTTTTTTTAAAAATTTTTTTAAAAAATCCTAACAATTATGCATTATACAGTATTTAGATTCTGGAAAGAGAAAAAAGATAGAGGTGAAAATTTTGAAGTAGTTTATTTTATCTTCAAAAGATATTATTTTTAATTTAATTTGGTGATATAAACGAGGTTTTTATTGTTTTGAAATTTGAAAAAATGATTGCGCCTGTTCGTTTGAATAAGTTTATGCCGATCTTGTCGTTTCCGTTAAACTTAAGGGGATTCGATCATGACGCTTCATTTGTACCTTATCTGAATAACTAATTTCAATCTCTTTTGTTTTATTTTTTCTTATGGGCCACTCACTCTCGATTCTTTGCAAACCATACATCAAGATTCTCTGGTTTCGTTTTCAATTCTTTCTTCACCACCACCTGTCAATTTCTCAACTTTGAGCTCTGAAAAAGTTGAAAATTTTCATTTTTGTGAAGAAATTGTTCACTGGAGGTCTATTTAGCAGTAAATTTGTTAACTTTGACGTGATTTGAACTGTGTTAGTTCTGAATTAGTACTTGATGTATAATCTGGAAAATTTTGAAAAAAAAAATGCATGGTTTTTATTGTATAGTTAGGAATCATGGGAATTCGCTGTTGATTTAAGGGTACTTGGAAGGAAACAAATTTGATTCAACCAATAGTTGTATTTCACTTAAAATAATAGTAATTTGATAACTACTGTGCTTACTGGGTTAGGAGATGTTACTTGTGAAATAAGTTTTATTGGTTTAACTGGTTTGTTGCAATCTTTAGTTTAGGCATTTGCAGCTCTACCTTCTATTAGTGCTTTCTTAAGTATTGATGGGCATGCAGGATATTAAAGTAGGATGGTGTATTGTAATAATTATAGAAAGAAAAAAGCTTGTAGTTTTTGACCCTTTTTATGTTGAATAATGTTTAGCAATTGAATGGTAAAGACTAGCTGAAAATATGGGTACAAAAGAGATTGCTGCTTATGTGGGGATACCTCACAACTTCATCATAGGTTAAGAGAATCAATTCTTGTTGCTTTGGGAGTTGTGTTAACCTTAAGCTCTCATTTATTTCAAGAACCTTATGCAACTATGCATGTGATACTCTTGCGTTTTGAATTTCATATGATTTTAATATTGTTTTCCAATTTATCTCCACAGTGGTCTGCACCAATGTGAATCGAGTCAAAAGTGTTCAGCTGAAGAGGATCTGTAGTGATTAAGACCTATCCAGTCTATGGAATGCCATTTAGAGCTTAGAAGGAATTCAAGAGATTAATCCTTTGGAACTTCTGTAAAGACCATGCTGCCCCAAGCAAGCCAGATGGCAAGTATGCAAGGCATGTTTAAACCTGAAAAGCCTAATTTGTCATATGCTGATCTTCATCAAGAAATTACGAAAGTTGGAAAAGAGGTCTCACCCAAATCTTCATGGAAGCATAAAAAACTACATGCTGATGATACCAAGGCAAACGAAGAAGAGGAGCTTGTGAAGTATATGTCAAATTTACCAAGTTATCTGGAGAGAGGGGCAAACCCCCAAGAAAAAGTTTTAAATGTTGGGGTCCTTGAGTGGGGGCGTCTTGAAAAATGGCAGTGTAACCATAAACAGATCTTACATAGAAGTAGTATCTCTTCACTATCCAGCAGCAACACATCTTCCTTGTTTTCAACAGATGAATCATCTGCACATTCGAGCAGAGGTCACAGTTGCTCTCCTGCTCGTCAAAGGTTACAACGTCCTTCACTGCAATCTCATATGATGTCAGTCCCCATAGAAGGCCATTTGCCATTTGTCAAGCCTTTTAGGGAAAGTGTTGGCAAGTTTCAAGATCTCAAGGCTGCCCGGAGCAACGCTGTCACTGCTCAGGGGAAATTCATGAGAGAGGATAAATCTTTTTGCAAAAATAATTCACAAATCAAGCTGGAACAGTGCAAGAGAAGAGAAATGCACCCAAAGATTGATTCAGGAAGTGCAGCTGTGTCAAATGGGGTAAAAGATAATGTGACATCATGTGACAAGGTGAGAATGAAGAACCAAGTTGGTGAATTTATGAAGAAAGCTGACAAGTTTCAAGAAGTTATTCCTAAAGGGGCTAACCAAGATGTCACTGAAAAAAGAAACACAGTTGTCCTCCTTCTGCCAAGAGATTTGCCCAAAACAAATCATTCAGGAGCAGCCAACCTTTCTGATTTAAGAACAAAGTCAAGTAAAAAGGAAGCTGAAGCTAGTCAGAGGACCTTCCCTGAAACATCGGAAGAGGTTCACCATGCAGAGCTCAGCTCCAATTTCCATCATTCAGGCCCATTGCCTTGTGAACTTGATGGCAGCAAACATTTACGGATTAAAGCCATGGGTTCTGTAGATGCAAATGGTAATGACTTTACATCAGAAAGATCTTGCTCTGTACCTCGTGTGGCAAATATAGAAATTAATTCTTCCAGAAGCAGAAATCTAGAGGAGAGAAGGCTAAATGCAACACCTGTAATGTCTGCTGCAAATGAGGCTTGCAAAGAATCAGACCCAAAAGTAAGTAAGGTTGCATCTGAAAAAGCACGAAGTTCTTCACCTTTCCGTCGTTTTAGCTTTAGCATGGGTAAGACAGGCAAAAGTTCCGGCTCCAAAGAGGGTTCTTCTATACCTCAGGTGACCTCAACATTGAGTTCTGCCAAAACTGATTCAGAGAACCCCGTTGCTTGTGGTGTTGATACTTCTTGTGGTGATAAACTCAATGCTAAAGGCAGAGCCAGGTCCAGCCCTTTGAGAAGACTGTTAGACCCACTTCTGAAACCAAAGGCTGTTAACTGTCGCAATTTTACCAACCAATTACAGGACTCAATCTTAACAGAAGGTGCCTGTAAATCATCAGAACGGCTAAGACATTCAACTGTGACCGTGCAGTCAGCAAAAATGAAATCAGATTCAATTGACCATTGCACAATCAATGTAAATGAATCAGCACAGAACAAAAAGTATGGATCTTCTGCTGTTCAAGCTCTTTTCAGAGTTCAAGTTAAGAATGGGTTGCCGCTGTTCACGTTCGCCGTTGATAATGAGAGTAATATTCTTGCAGCTACGGTGAAGATGTTAAGTGCCTCAGGAAAGGGTGATTATGGATGCATTTACACATTCTTTGACATTCAAGAAGTCAGGAAAAAGAATGGAAGGTGGATAAATCAAGTAGGGAAAGGCAAAGGTCAGGATTATGTCCCTAATGTTGTTGCCCAGATGAAGGTTTCTGGTTCTGAATTTTCTCATTTGTCCAGGCCAAACCATGTGGCTCAATTTAGCATTAGAGAATTTGTTCTTCTTACCTTGGATGTACGACAGGCAAATTCTCAAGCATCTGATTTCCAGCCAAATGATGAGCAGGCAGCTATTGTTGTCAAGATCCCAAAAAGGAACAGAAGTTCATTCAGAGACGGGTATCTGATTGATAAGCGTAATAACTTGCCTGAGGCTGCATTGAAAGAGCATCTGCCTGAGGTAAAACTTGAATTTGATGCTTGGAAAAAGGGTCCTTTTATGGGTGGTCAAGACATTGGTGCTACAGTCATACTTCCAAGTGGTGTACATAGCCTGCCAAATAAAGGTGAACCTTCATCACTGATCCAACGATGGAAATCAGGTGGAGCATGTGACTGTGGTGGTTGGGATTTGGGTTGCAAACTTAGGATTCTTTCTAACAAGAGCCAATTCAGCGAGCAATCTAGTTCATTGAAAGGTTCTTCAATTCCTAATCAATTTGAACTTTTCTTTCAGGTATGATTGTGGATCTTACACTAATCAAACTAAAATGTTCACTGTAGTATATTGAAAATGTCAACTGAATTCTCTCTTTGTTTTAATTATAACTAACAGGGAGGAGTAGAAGACAACATGCATTTCTTCAGCTTGGCCCCTTTCAAGGATGGTATCTATTCAGTTGAGTTCAATTCATCGCTTTCGCTTATGCAAGCATTTTCAATTTGTATAGCAGTTTTGGATAGTAGAAAACACAGTGAGCTTTCAGAATCAATTGCCTCTTTTGAGGAAAGAACCTTGGGGGAAACCGAATTAAATGACAGAACAAGTGCTCTGAATCCTATTGAAGGAGAGGCTCCTGCTAGATATGCCCAATATCCACCCGTTTCCCCAGTTGGAAGGGTCTAATTTCACACAACAAATGATATTGATGTAATCAAGTGATAAAGACATAATTATATGGTTTGTTGGATGGGCAATGCTCAGTGATTTATCTATCACCAGCATGGGTCGCCCAAAGGAAAATAAGGTTAAGAAGTAATGAACAAGGCTTGTTTGTAATAGCCAGGGACAGGTTCCCCTCGAGCTTTGGATCATTGTATTTTGATTTACTTTTCGACAACAGAAGCAATACTGGCTGTAGAATGAGCAAATGTTTTCATGAATGTAAGTGTGCATATAATCAAGTGATTATGTCTGCTTTTCTCCTATCCCTGGAACTTCAACATGCTTGATGGTTATGGTGCATTTATAGATGTCCACAAAGACAGGGAAAGTTCTCCAATTTACAGAACAGTTATTGGTTATTGAATATGTTGTTTTTAGTTTTTTCAGCGGTTACCCGTTTTACAGGCCAGACATTCCCATGCAATTAAGAATCTCATGAGCCATGTTTGCTAAAAAATCTGCTTTTTTGTACACGTGTAAGGGAACAAATGCAGTCATTGCAGTCATGAATTCCTTGAAAGAAAGGAGTTTCTGAACAGCTAACAAAGGATCTGATTCAGCAATCCCTCACCAATATACCGTTATAGATAGCAAAATTTTTTGCTTTAGTGATGGAATCCTGGCAAAAATTTCTAGCCTTTGGTTTGTGTTGAATTTTGCAATAGTTTGGTTACTGATAAGGAAAGACAGACACATGTAGCTTCCCTATGATCCTGTTCGATAATGAATCTGTAGAGCTTCATTAATAAACTAGCTATATTTTGCTGCCAAAGTTTTGATTTGGTAAGATAGATGATTATTATTTGCCAATCCAGCATCACCATCCATGCTTTTTCGGCTACTCCTAAATTCTTCAAATTCAATACTTCAAGACTTGTCCACATTATTGCAACTTCTTTCTTTTCTTTTCCTATTCTATTCTACTTTTTTCTTTGTTTAGGCCAACCACCAACTTTATTATTCTAAGCTGTAAAAACATTATATATATATATATATAATTATCTGTTCATAATGAAAAATAAGAGGAAAACCAAATATATATATTTTTGTAATGGAATCGCAACTTAAGAAAGAGAAAAAAATTGTAAGTATTAGTAAATGTATTTGTTAAGTGTGATTTCATGTATTTCTATTATGTATTAAATATGTATAAAATATAAAAATTATTTGTTATAATTTGTATTTATACACTAATTATGAAAATTTTTTTGTCAAACTCATTTAAAATTATCAAAATTTTAAATTTTAAATTTTATAATTTTTATATATTTTTTTTATTATTTTCATGTGATGTTTAAAATTAGTAGACAACTTACCTTGGAAAATTTTAAAAACAGAATTTTCACATTTTTTTATACGGCCCATCAAGAAGCTCATTTAATTGGGTCACCACTAAAAATAGCAGGGTTGCTGATCGGACAATCGATCCTCCATCATCTTAACATTACAATAAATGGACCATCAAATCAATAAACTTTAATTAATCCCTACTTAAATTTTAAAAAGAACCAATCCAAAATCTTTATTGAATCTTTTTGAAAAAAAATTATTTTTCTCTTAGAGAAAAAATTACATAGAAATATTCTGAATTAGAATTTGAATTAGGTGAATCATGGGCGGTTTGGTTGGATAATTATCCATAAATCTATTTTTAAGTATTTTTTTTATTCATTTAGTTCAACTCTTCGTATCTGTCGAATCTAAAAGAAAATCCCAAATTCAAAATTTATATTCTTTGAACCGTTAATGATGATATTTAAACGTTCTCAAGTTATTGAATTTTGCTTTAATTGATGTCAAACTTTAATCTTCAAATTCCAACAAAATGCCGCTTTACGTTGATCGTGAGGCTCCTAAGGTTTCTTTTCCCTTTGAATTTTGTTTAACATGGTCTTTGTTTTTGTTTTTCTGGGTTTTGATTAATTCTTTGGTTTTTTTTTTTTTTATAATGTGAACAAGCTATGGAGGAAGATTTACTCAGAGGCTTTGATTGAGATTTCCCTTCTTGCAGAGAATTGGAAGCTTATTCTTGCTGGACTTGTTTTTCAGGTTCTGTTTTCCACCCTGTTATTAAAATTTTGATTCGTTGAATTCAAACCCTTTCAATGAGCATTGGCTACTTTAGGCCATTTACTTAAATGGGTTCTCTTTTTCCTAGAAAAATTTTGCTGATTTATATTACTCTGTAAATTATGTTTTGATTCAAATGTGTTTGGATGATAAGAATTTATTTATAATTTTATATTGCCTATATATCAATTCCTTTGAAAAGTAGACTGTTTGGGTCTTTGTAGTTAATTGCTTGTTCTTTGAAATTTTCTTCATCTTATCAAGAGATGATTAAGGTTATTACTTGTGTTGCACCTCTAGGTGATTGTAATCCGTTTTGAAGCTTCAAAGTTTAGACTGCTTGAATAAATTGAGTAACTGGTGGAGTTCTCTTTTATTTTTTTCTCAGTACATTCATGGATTGGCTGCCCATGGAATTCATTACCTACACCGGCCAGGACAAACACTTCAGGATGCTGGATTTTTTCTTCTTCCTGTGGGTACCGACTTTGGCTTCTAATTTTTTGGTTCTATGATCCTTTACCTGAAATTGTAACTTAGTTTAGTAATATTATGTTCTTTTTCTAATTTAGGAACTTGGTCAAGACAAATTTTATATCAGCGAGACTTTATTCACCTTCATTTTTGGTTCCTTTGTTTTGGTAAGTTTTTTAGTTATTTTTTATACTTTGTATGTTTTTCTTGTTGTGCACATAATTAATGCCTTGATGGAGATTTTGGAAAGGTGTTATTTATTTTTGTATCTAGGAAAATGCATGTTTACCTTGTATAAGCAAATGCACATCATCAATAGTTGTTTATTAGCTATTTTACATAACAGGATATGTAAATCCTTTAATTTTATCTAACACTATATTTTGAAGCATCTAGAGGATTTTTGTTTTTCATACTCCATTTCTTGGTTATATCATGGAACTAAATAAGTTACATTCAAGGCATCCGTAATGGATTATTGTCTTTGATTACACTACTCTCATACTTTCTGAAGTTTATTAACCTCGTAGTAGAATGATGCTAACGTAAAAGTTTTGTTTTTGATTGGTTGTCTAATATAGTATTTATCTGTTGCAGTGGACTTTCCATCCCTTTGTGTTCCAGAGCAAAAGAATATACACTGTTCTGATATGGTGTAGGATTCTTGCTTATTTAGTTGTCAGTACCATTCTGTGCTATTTTTTATGTTTTGAGGAGCTTACAACTGTTCTTTAGAAAGAAGAGAATGCTATCTGATATTGGCATGCTTTATTAGTCTCTGATTCGTTTATGTATTATTTGTAATTTCTTCTTGTAGGTTTGTCAGTGTCTGCGCATTGTAACCTTCTATTCGACTCAGCTTCCTGGTCCAAACTATCATTGTCGTGAGGTAAACTTGATAAAGCATGTGCATGATTTTTATCTTTTGTTTGATTTGATCTTAAAACCTTGACACTGATAATATTATGGAAGGTTATTTGGCCCTTGTTATTGGTTGTGATATTATAATTAAAGAAATGTCATACAATCAGGTACAACTGTCTCTTTCAGGGCTCAAAACTTGCCAGGTTACCCCCTCCAGAGAGTGTTCTTGAAGTCTTCTTGATCAACTGTTAGTTCTAGAGTGTTTCAACTTCTTTATATTCTGGTTTTTCCGTCACAATATCAACATTATGATACTCTTTTATTATCTGTACCAATTTGCAGTTCCCCAAGGTGTTATATATGGCTGTGGTGATTTGATTTTTTCGTCACACATGATTTTCACCTTAGTATTTGTCCGTACATATCAAAAATATGGCATGAGAAGGTAATGGATTACTGTAGACTGTTACTGCATACAGTTTAAGTTAATCTTAGGTGAAGTTCTCTGTGTTTCCTTTTTGTGAGTAGTAATGTAAACAGTAAAATCAGGCAACTATTGCTGTTTGCATAAGGAGGAACATAAGAGGGTTTTGTGTTATTCTTTTTACAAATTTTTTTAATTCTCTTTGTCTGTTGGCTTCATCTTGCAGATGCATAAAACAATTTGCTTGGCTACTAGCAGTGGTTCAGAGCCTCTTGATTATAGCATCTCGCAAACATTATACAGTTGACATTGTTGTTGCATGGTGAATAAGGGAAAAAAACGGAAAAAAATATTTGGCTCTTACCGTGAAATCTTTAGAAACACAACTATTTCATGAACCATAACCAAGAGTAATTGATCTGTATGCAGGTATACTGTAAATTTGGTGGCATTCTTTCTTGACAGGAAATTGCCAGGTTAGCATCAAAATATGTCTTCTCAATGTTTGCATTGGCATAATTTGTTCAACAAGCTATTTGATGCTATATGCATTATAAACTGTTAAATCAATTTGATGAAATCTTAACATTTCATCTTGTTTAATTGATCCTATGTTGGCACAATGCTACCTGTGGCATGATTTTCATTAGCATTTTCTGAAATATTCTTGAGAATACTTTTAAAAAAGTGCCTTTTCCCTTGACTGAGTGTTGTTAATGCACAACAATTGCCAAATGACATAAAGAAAGGTGCTCTCTCAGTATATTAACTGTGCAAGTATGGTTACCTTGATATCTAACAGAATTGCCTGACCGATCAAGTGGATCTACTGCTCCACCTCTACTTCCATTAAGCACTAGAAATAAGGATGGCAAGAACAAGGAAGAACACCAGAAATTACTGAATGGGAATTCTTCAGCAACTACAAGCTCAGTTTGAAATACAACAGCAAAGACTTGTGGTTATATACGGGGTGGCTAGACACTTTTATCAGGTCGTATAAAGTAGAATTCCGTATACAGAAATAGGTTACAACAAATGAATCACAAGATTCAAGTTAGTTACACTGATAAATGGCAATTAGATGTCAGCACAAGCTGAAGATAGCTTGTCAGCACAAGCTGAAGATAGCTTGATGCTGTTGCATGATTGGGCTTGTGAACAAATTTCAAGTCCAAAAACAATGCATGCATTCTCATCGTTCTTACAAATACCAATAATCCTTGATGTAAATATCCCATTTGAAATGGAATGAAGTTTTTCAAATTTGATATGAGTTCTTCTCATTTATTTGCTTCATTTACAGTATTCATCTGTTTATTTGAGGCCATGGGAAAAACAGGTTACATGACAAACTTTTTCCTTGTTCTTCTCCTTGAAAAAAAAAAAAGTATATGGGATTATATATGTGTATGGATACTCACAGAAACAGAGAGAAAAACAGAAGCCATTTATAAACAATAAGATTGTCATACTCAAAGACAAAAAAATGCTCTAATTTTCATCCAGAGAATTGATGAACTGATTGAGCTGTGCGAGACTGAAAGCAGGAAAGCTGAAAGATTTACAGGGGCCATGGGTACTTTGAAGGCCACATTCAGGGCTTTGAACTTTTTGAATACAGTGACAAGATTAGGGAGCATGTGATGGCTTTCTTTTTGGCGATAGGAAGGTGGCATGAACCAATGATTCAATTGAATAATGCTTCTTGTCTGATGTCCCACCATTGCCACCACCACCACCACCTCCCCTTACTTTACAACTGCCTTTTTTTCTTTTTTTTTTTTCCTTTTAACCTTGTATATTCTTTTCCCCAAGGATATGAAATTGGAGACAGCACTTGTTACATCACATGCTTTCACCATCAAAGCACCTGTTAAATGTTGTTTGCTTGCCCTGCCATTGTCAAATTTTCTCTTGAAGTGGAGATTACTGCAGTTGCTTGCACTTTTCTTTCTGAACTGTTTTGGAGCAATTGCAGCCTTAAAAGCCTGTGCTATGTTGTTTGCAGCAAATTCAGAACATTTTACATTGTTGCTTTAGCCAGCAGGCAGCTACCAGACAGCAGAGATTAAAAGTCCAACATCAAAGATAAAGACTGGAAACAAGAAATTCAAGCATACATGATTTAATACTGCCCAAAACCAAAGCAAACTTTGCTATGATTTAAACATTCCACTGGAAATATGGCTACTAATCAAAATTGGTACTACTAATGCTTCATTTGAATGGACAATAGGAGGAATTTTCACCGCATTAACAGCATTGTTTTTGCCACTGGACACATAAATCAGGACCTCATCTTCTTGGAATGGCCTATTTAAATAAAACTAATAAGCAATTGGTCTCTAATATGATCTTCTAAACCACAAGGCACAAAATCAAGATTCAAGCCTTCACAACAAAATGCCATTAGACATTAGTAAAGGAAAAACAATGAAAAAGTGTTGCTACCTCTTATTACATGACCAAGTCAGTGAATCACTGGCAAATTGTATCTATTTTGGTATCCTAAGTATACTTTAACACCCCCAAAACCTTACATTTGTAGAAAAAAGTATGCCTTTTTGGTTCTCATTTCCAATTTGGTTCTGTTCTTATTAATGTTGAACCTACCTCGTAAATAATGAATGAGGAAAGGTCAGCAATAAAGCACATAAATGGCTAGGAGAGGACATTTTTCCTGTTGAACATGTTATTATGTTCATTATTCAAGTGGTCCTATGAATAAACATGGTTTTCTTTCTTTTAAAAAATTCTGCTTAGGATTCATCAAAAGTTAAAAAGGAACTGATCTTTGCTCTCATGGTTCCCAACTCCAAGAAACCACCCTGTTGCCAAACAGATCCTGGAGAGGATCTTTTGTGTCTGTGCTGAAAGTTTAGCAGAAAAACTAATATTAAAACTTGTGCTCTGCCCATTTCCAAGCTACACTTGCTCCCCATGTGGGCTTTTCTTCCCTATATTTTTCTTTCTTGTTCTTTGAAGTGGGAGACCACAGTGTTTTCTCTGGGTTTTTTTTATCAGCTTTGACTGGAAAAGTTGGTCAAGATTCAAGAACAACCTGACTACTTTAAGGTTGAATGGTTGTTTTTTTTCTTCATTATTTGAAGCATGTCATGCTAGAGACCTCCATTATTCTTCACCTCAATTTTGTATCATTATTTTTATTATCTTATAATAAAAAAACTTTCTTCTATATCCAAAACAACTTGACTGGAATCTTTCATGCTATGATTGACATGGCATAGACTTTGATTACTGAATGTATATTTGTTATCAAAAGGTTGCATTGTTTTCTTATTAATAGACATTTTGATTTTTTTTCCCCTTAAAAGCAGCTTTTAATATTTTAAACACAATTTGCAAAAGGAAAAAGGGTTCTCTGCTGCCAGGATTTAGCCACAAGCTGAAGAAGGTCCTTGAGCAACAAAATTTTAGACAATATTCAGTTTACTTTTGCTTCAAATTCAAGACCCTTTTTATATGATTCATCATTTTCATTTTCCATTCATCACTTTATAATTTTCAACAAGAAAATATTGATCAAAATATGTAGAGAAATGTATCAATAATGATATATTTATATTTCTACTCCAAAAGCTTATCATCAAGGAAATACTAACAATTTTCCATCAAACAATAAATAATTCTACAATCATCTTCCAATTATGAAAAATTAGTAAAAATTGATTCATTGGTTTTTAAAAGGTTGTAAAAAAATCAGATTTAATCTAATTAATTTATGTAGTTAAATAAAAGAATAATATTTAATAAATTTAAAATTTAAAATTTTTATAAAAAATATTATTATTATATTATTTTACAATCATATAATTTATTAGATTATTAAAATTTTAATTTTAATAATCATTATTCTTTCCTTCACAACCTTACTCTAAAAATTTCCAAAAAAACCATGAATGATTAGGGGACCAACAAACCATATCTCATGTTGACGTCAACATCATAAATAGGCAATTAGGTAATGGAATTTCCAGCTTTTAATCCAAACAATTATTCACACAAATTGTGACCCAAACCCTAACTCCCTTTTCCCCCCTCCCATCAGCTCCCAATTTTTTAATTTTATTTAATACATGTAATTATCAAATCCCATAACTTCTAAAAAATTATTTTTTCATTCTCTTAGATTTTATGACAAAGACGGTCACTTTCTTAAAATAGTAATGTATAAAAATAAAAAAGTCTATAAATAAAAATTTAATAATTTTTAAAATTTACTATAATTAATCAAATATTGAATATTTTATTGAATTTAATTAAATTTTTAAATATTTATTTTATTTAATTAAAATTGTAAATATCTATTTTTATTCAATTTAATTCTCAATTAAATGATAATATTAATTTTTTTAATAAAAATTCAATTGAAAAAAATAAATATTAAAAAATTTAATTAATGATAAAAGAAAAAAATTTGGCTGATTATTAAATTTTAGTTCAAAATTTCTTTATTCTTTTGCGAAAAATTAATTATTATTGAAAAATTTTATCTAAAACATAAATATATGTTTTTTTATATTTAATTTCCTTTCATCTAATTTCCTCTTTGACTTTGACTCCATATCCCATTCCTTTCCTTTAAATTATCCACCCACGTGACTTTTTTGGCTAATTTCATTGGACTGTGCAATCCACGCGATGAAGTAAAGACTGTGTTTAGGATAAGGAGATAAAAGAAGACAAATTTTGACTTCAAGAACAAAAAGAAACTAAAAATAAATATTAAACGGATGGAAATGAGAGAATGGTGGTGAAAAAAAAAAAAAAGGTGAAAGAGAAGAAAAAGAAATTTGGATCCAAAAAGTTGAAAGATTCTTCTTGTTTTTTTAATTTTCTCTTACTTTCTCACTTCCCAAACACTCTCCTTCCTCTTTAGCACTAGCATTGCTCTTGGTCACTTTCAATCCTCAAATATCCGTCAAAGCTCAAAGCAAAGAAAATCGAAAAAAAACCAACTTTTTGTTTGTTTTTTTAGTTTGGTTGAAATTTTAGGTTTAAGCCAATGGGAGCTCGTTGCTCCAAACTATCACTTTGCTGGTGGCCGTCAAATATCAAGTCAAACCTTAAGGACTCTTCCGATCTCGGTTAGTTAGTTGACTTGTTTCCATCACTTTCTCGAGAAAATTTCACTCTTTGGTTATAAATTTTAAATTTTTCTTTGGTTTGTTACATCAGAGAATGGGAAGGAAGCGTTACCTGGATTCAGCGAGTACAGCTTGGAACAATTAAGAGCTGCCACCTCAGGTTTCTGTACAGACAACATTGTATCGGAGCATGGAGAGAAAGCTCCGAATGTAGTTTACCGAGGGACGCTCGACGAGGATCTTTTCATCGCCGTTAAACGCTTCAATAGATCGGCTTGGCCTGATCCTCGACAGTTCCTTGTATATTTATAATAATATATATTTACTTTTCCATTTCTTGGTTGATTTGTAATTATTGAGTTTTGTTTTTGGCGTTATTTTAGGAGGAAGCGAGGGCGGTTGGACAGTTAAGAAGCGAGCGATTGGCCAATTTGATTGGTTGTTGCTATGAAGGAGATGAAAGATTGTTAGTTGCTGAGTTTATGCCTAATGAAACTCTCTCTAAGCATCTTTTTCACTGTAATTTTCACTTTTTCCTTCAATTTATTTTCCTGTTTCTAATTCACATTCCAGTTTATAAAAACCCATAGTTTGATTTGATTTGATTACAGTCTAGGAAATAAGTAATTAGTTGATGTAGTCGTATAGAATCTTCATATCCTTTTAGTACATTGAACGAATGTGCTGGTAATGAATATCTTACTAATTCTAAGAATTGTTTTGTATTTGGTTGAAATGGTAATGGTGTAGGGGAGAATCAGCATATGAAATGGGCGATGAGGCTGAGAGTGGCGCTATATCTAGCGCAAGCGCTTGAATATTGCAGTAGTAGAGGGAGGGCTTTATACCATGACCTTAATGCTTATAGAATCTTGTTTGATCAGGTAATTTTAATCTTTATCATCCATGTTTGAACTATTATGTTACTGTTAATGCTTACTTTGAACTTCATATTTTATATCTTACAGTGGGTTATTTTTTGACAGGACTGTAATCCCAGACTCTCTAGCTTTGGCCTTATGAAGAATAGCAGAGATGGAAAAAGTTACAGTACAAACTTGGCTTTCACCCCTCCGGAGTACCTAAGGACGGGTAATACTATGCTAACAGATAAAGTTTATGGAACTCTTGTACAGATTGCAACAGTCTGTCTATATTATGTATGCATACATATGTATATTGGGGAAAAGGGTATGTGAATTTAGCTTTGGGTACGTTAGGTTCTCATGCAACATGTTGCTGTCTCTTTACCTGAGCTAATTTATATACCTCCTTAACATGGTAGGAAGGGTTATTCCGGAGAGTGTGGTTTACAGTTTTGGCACCCTATTACTTGATCTTCTCAGCGGCAAGCATATACCACCAAGCCATGTAAGTTCCCTCTTCTTGTCTTAACCTTCATTAAGCGAAGTCTTGTCTGTAATATTTCCTCATAGCAATTTAAGAAATTATTCAAATTACGGATATATAAACTGCATCATAGGATGTCCTTAGGAGATAATTCAAATGCTTAAATGTTGGATTGTTATCATCATTGCAGGCACTTGACCTAATACGTGGAAAAAACTTTCTGATGCTAATGGACTCATGTCTGGAGGGTCATTTTTCAAATGACGATGGAACTGAATTAGTGCGACTAGCTTCACGCTGTCTGCAATATGAACCTCGTCAGAGGCCAAATGTAAAGTCTCTTGTAACTGCTCTTACTCCGCTTCAGAAGGAAACTGAGGTATGGTCACCTTATTCCCCCTATCTTCTCTTCTTTATTATCTGCAACTTTTATTTTAGAAAGTCCATACCAAAATATTTTTAGCTTCTAATAGAAACCAATCTATGCCCTGTTACTGCAAGTGAGCTCTTTTAGATTTTGCCAAGAGTGGAGTTTCTGTGGCAGATATGACCATCATTCGTAGTTTTTTTATGGCATTTACTTACTAGTAGCTTGAAGCTTTATGATAGGAGTAAAAAGGTGCAACTTTTCTTTAATGTTCTGAAACAGTGGGTGCTGGACTCAGTTTCATTATTCTGCTATTCACAAGTATTTGATTAGTTAAATTATCTTTTATCTATGACAAAAGTCTATGTTACCCTTTTTACCTGTATTACTTAACAGGTTCCATCACATGTTTTGATGGGCATTCCACATGGAACAGCATCCTCAAAGCAAACAATGTTACTAACGCCTTTGGGAGAAGCATGCTCAAGAATGGATCTTACCGCAATACATGAACTTTTAGAGAAAATAGGATACAAAGATGACGAGGGAATTGCAAATGAGGTCGGCAATCTAGATTTTTTATGTTGTTTCAATTCTGAGTCAAAAAGAATTAAAAATCAAAAGAAGGCTTTAACTTATGCTTTGGTAGTGTAGAACAAAAGCTAGCTGATGCCTCATTGGTACATTTACAGAAACACTTGAGTTAATAAGACAAGAGCTCCATAAACATAATGTTCTTATTGTCTTTTTTGCTGACAGCTTCATCCTTCAAACTGCTAGAAGATCAGAACTGCTTTAATTACTTTCTTAGCATTAATTCCAGAATCATCTAAGCACTTTTGACGTGGATCCTTTTATAAAATTGCCTTATGCTAAGTGGTGTTGAATGTTTCTGCTTTGCAGCTTTCTTTCCAAATGTGGACAGATCAGATACAGGAGACTCTGAATTCAAAAAAGCGTGGGGATACTGCTTTCCGAGTAAAAGACTTTGGAACAGCCATTGAATGTTACACTCATGTAAGTCCTTTGTTTACAATTTGGCAATTTGCAGAACCATTTATTGTCCACAATCAAAATGCTCAGTACCCCTAGATTAAGATTTCAGCCCTTCATATGCTTAATGGCTTAATACCTTGCCTTGTGAATAGTTTATTGATGGTGGGACGATGGTATCACCAACTGTGTTTGCCAGACGCGGCTTATGCTACTTGATAAATGACATGCCACAAGAAGCGCTTGGTGATGCAATGCAAGCCCAGGTAATATCTCCTGAGTGGCCCACAGCATTCTATCTCCAAGCAGCTGCTCTGTTTATCCTTGGGATGGACAACGATGGGCAGGAAACCCTCAAAGATGGTACAAACTTGGAAGCCAAAAAACATAGAAACTAAAAGTGTATAGCCCTTTTTTTTTCCTTTCACTTTTTAAATATATCTTCCTGTCTTATTTCCCCCTTTCGCATTATTTATGTTTCCTCAGCACCACAGAGTAATTGTAACCTTTAATATTCTGGTTATGGTGTTTGTTCTCTTTTATTCTCATCCTGAACACTATATTTTAAGATGATAGCAAGAATGAAATTTTCATTTTTGAGTTTGACATCAAGAAGATCTACCTATCAATCATGTGCCCCTATATATACAGATTGATTAAAGATTAGTGCAATGTAGTTGAGTGTTTTTTTTTTTTTACAAAGAAGACCAGATAAAAGAAAGAATTGTAATTATTGAAATTTAAACTTGGATCCATTGATTTTACCTTTTAAAAGTAATTATGTAAATTAATTGAATTAAGCTTCGAGTTCATAGATGAGATAATTTTATGGATAAAAGCTCCAACTATAAGAATCCGAGGAATTGGGTGAGTTCAATTGATAAGCGAATATTTTCATTAACAAGCAGTAATTCATGTAATAAAATTCCTGAAGCATAGTGCATAAGAGTCGTATGGAACTTCTGATTTAGCACCAGAATCTTTATTGTGTTGAAACCAATTCAAAACAGCCACAAACATTGTGTCAGAATAAAATGTAATTTCGGGTGACGTTAAAAACATCTGTTGTGCTTAATTTCAGTCACCGCCTTTCCACAACAGCAAGACTAGCCATGGTTTACATGTAAAATAGAATTCAGAATGAAGGATGGCAATATTTAAATTGGAGGCCGACCACCAGCACTGAGCATCTGGCCAATCATGCCATTCACCTAGACAATACAAAAGGTCGTACGTATAAGAATCAAATGTCAGCCATCAATAAGAAATAAGATTCAAAGATGGAAAACATCAAAGGTATCAGAATCAAGAATGAAAGCTGAATAATAGAAAATTTTGCCAACCAATGTGCAGTATGCAGCTTGTAGCCTTCTATATATATCATTCGGAAGGTAAAAACTTAACACTATTCCTACAATTTGTATATTAACTTGAGAATAAGACCAGAGAATGCAGTTATATAAAACAAGTACAAGACATGCTGACAGCTTTAATATAACACAAATTAGAATAATTAAGAATACTTTGAAACCTAAGCCTACCTGCCAATACTTTGAAACACAGCGATCAATGCAACTATTTTCACCCATGTTTAGCTCAGACTCCTTGTACCTAAAGCAGAAAGATATTATCATTGACACCATTTCTTTAGGAAAAAAAAGTAACCATATACCATGTGAAAATCTCTTGAATAGGTTGAAAGAAACAATATGAAGGGAGGGTGTTGGGGCTTCTCATACCTTTTGTCAACACACTTGTTGAAACACGTTTGTGCAAGCCTAAGCGAAAACCATAAAAAACAAGCTTAATTCAGGAACTTGAGTATTGGTAATAAAAACTTGCAAGTAATGGAAAAAATAGTCACACTATTCAAAACCAAGAAGCATGTCAGGCCAATTTCAACTTCCGAACAGAAATTTTCATTTCTTGCATACAGGGTGTTTAAGAGGCTAAACATAATTAACATGTCTGTCTGATGCCAATCTTGACATTTATTGTGTACTATAAACATGTTAAAATTTGACAATCCTATCTTACCTGTTAAAGAGTTCTACCCTATATTCCATCTCTGTTTCCGCCATGCCAAAGGCCTGCCAAGTGTTCAAAACAGAGTGGTAAAAGGCAAAATAAATAAAATTACAATCAACCAAACTCCAAAAGGAAATAAATTTCAAAAACTATTTCCAGTCAGTTCATAACAAACACCTTAATCCAATGAAACTAGAAACCCAATATTACTTAAACAGTCCAAACTCAATAAAACAAAAAAAAGATATCAAGTTTTTTTTTTCAATCCCAGAGAATTAATTAACCCAAAACTACTGTTCATGAACTAAGTAAAACAAAGTAAAAATAGCCAACCTGCTCTTTGTCTATTCCAGCTGGGGTGTTATTGGCAGCCATTAGAGCCCTGAGCTACAAACAATATCGATCAAAAACAAACCAGAAACCTCATGGAAAACATTTTAATAAAAAAAAAAAAAGAGGTTTTTATAAAATCTTACTTAAGATTTTTCTCTGATCGAAGAAAAGCCTTTTTTTGGTTAGGGTTTAAGGATTTGCCGAAAACAGGGAAATGGCGAAGAAACCTCTTTACCAGGTTCTTTATATTGGAATTAGGGTTTTAGGGGAAACTCTACGGTGTAATTAGATGTGGGTTGAAAACCGAATAGTTACACGCCACGTAATACAAGTCACCGCATACTTTGAGTCAAGGGCTAAATTTGTAATTTGAAAATGATTCTATTCTCACTTCTTTATATTCTTTCAGAGGAAAAAACTTGAGCCAAGGGCTAAATTTGTAATTTGGAAATACTTCTTTTCTCTCTGCTTTATATTCCTTCAGAGGAAAAAACTTAGTTCAAGTTATAGGGTTTTGCAGTCAGAATAATCAGGTAATCTAGATTTTCTGCTACACCTATTTTCTTTTCCTACCATGATTATTTGGGGATATATTTATATTGTTTTTCCTGTTTTTGCAGCTTATTTATATATAAATCAGGGTGTTTGGGAGATTTTGAATTTGGATAAAGAAATAATGGAACATGGGTCCTTCACTGATAATAGTGCTGCAACTTTTTCTTTAACAGAAGAGGATCATACTCTGGCTAATGCTGTTAGATTCACCTTGAATCAAGAGTCAGTTCAATCACCTTTTTTTTTTCTGGATTATTATTGCTACGGTAATGTTGGGTTTGCTTTCTTGAAAGATTTTTTGTGTGATTATGTTGAAGGTAGTGCTATTATTTTTAATTGTGCAGCCCAAGGGTTACATTTTCTGGGTACAGTATTCCTCATCCTTCGGATGCTCGAGTTAATATTAGAGTTCAGACCACTGGTAACTCAATATTAGTCTCTTCTTTCATGCTATACTGATTCATTGTTTATGATTAACTGTTTTGAAATTTTCTCTTTAACATGTTATTTAAAAAGTGTGAATTTTTGCTACTTGTTTCTTGTTTTTTCATCAAGCAAGTTGTTTTCCTAGTACTCTAGTTGGGCGATTTGATTCATTTGTCTGCCTTTTGATTCCTGGAAATCATCATGTTGTATGGGTTCAATTTGTAGTGTTCTGTAAACATCCAAGTCCTCAGCCGTTGTCAATTGGCTATTAACCGATTGATGTTTGGAATAATATTCATGGATATTGACCTCAAGCCCCTCCTACCGTGTTGGGTTTGCTTTCCTCAATTGACATCTTTGGCACATTGTTCAGCTTCTGTGATGAATTTGATCTTTAGTGTAGCCTTGCATCCATGGAATTTTTCTTCCTGTTTTTATTTTTTCTGTTGTGAAAATTTTTTTTGGTATGAAATTTTGCAGGTGATCCAGCAAGAGAGGTACTGAAAGATGCATGTCAGGATCTAATGCTGACGTGCAGGCATGTAAGGAGCACTTTTGACAAGGCTGTTGAAGATTTTAAAGCAAGCAATGCTGTGAAGGCCATGAATATTGATTCACAAGACAGTGATTCAGAAGAGAGTGAATGAAATTAGTATATTTCCATTTTTTTCTTTGACATCTTTGTTCAAACCATGGTGTGCTCAATATTATTATCTCAATCTCAAAGTAGTGCTTTTGTTGTCTTGTTGAAGATTTGCATAGGATTAACTAGCTTTGTCAGATTTGCAGACAATCGTTGCCTATTTTTTGGGTACTTGAAGTAGTCAAACTAAAAAGTTAGGTACTCTACCTCAAGTTGTCTTTGTAATGCATAAGATTGACCAACTGGACAGTTCACGTTTGACGTTATAGTGAATTAAGCATAAAAGTCTGCTCGTTACATTCACAAAAAAATGGCAGGAGGAATGTACAGCTATACTTGCTCAATGATCCCAGGCCTCGCATTCCATACGTATAAATACTTTGTAGTAATAACTAGCATAAGAGGAGGAAACTGATCGAAACTGTTATTCTGCAACCAACCAACATTCAACTTCTTGCACAAAGCATACAACCGTAAAAGACATTGAAGCCCTGTATCAACAGGTCTATCTAAAATTTTTTATATGATGATACCAACCTTCATTTCCATGTCTTTCTGGCAACCTTAATCACGATTAATGTTCCTATTACACTCTTTGGTTTCTAAGGATGAGAACTAACTTGGTAATATTGCCGGATCAAGTGACATTTAAGACCATTTGACAGTTCATGGATTGTCAATGGTCATTAAAACCAAATACAAGACATGCACAAGCGTCGAAGCAGGCAACTTAGCAGAATGCCACTTCAAACAAAAGAAAACTTTTAAAATAAATGTAACTCGTTCACAAAACTTTTAGTTTCTAACTAAAGATTTCCCATTTGTGCCATTAAAAATTGAGTGTTTCAAAGCACGGAGTTGATAGTACATGAAAACTCTAAGTGCATCCAGATATAAATTGTAAAGCACTACCAAATCTGAAAATAACTATATGCCTATGGAATGCAAAGAAATGAGCTGAGGACAATACAATAGCATGTTACTAGCATCCATAATTTAAGGCAATGCATCAAGCTACTTGAGCTTCAGGCTTTGGGGCATTTTCTGTTGGTTTCACCAAGGTCGAAGTGGTCTCTCCAGGTTTTGACAAATGTGGAATGTATCTCCAACAGCGCTTGTGAACTCCACTTATTTTCTTTGGAGCATCTGCAGCTGGCAAGCCTGCAGTAGGCATCAATAACAACAACTAAACCACCATAACAGATAATCGCAGATAGAGAAATCTAATCAGATGGTGAAAACTGTTAAATGCAGAAATAACATCTATCCTTCATGAGTTCTCATCGCCTAGGAAAATTAATTCAGGAATTACCCATTTCTTCTACCATGGGTGGACACTGCATATGCTACATCAGAATAAAATATAACAATATGCAGTATGATAGCCCATTCAATCTCCTTATGCATATTTCCACAAATACCATTGGTGTGTACCTTTTACAAATAAACAAGAAGCACGCTATCAAGGCACTTGGATCTTTGAAACTAACAGAGACTTATGCAAACTTCTATTTCAGGCCATATAATTTGTAAAAGGCTAAGAGCCTAAGACATCTAGTCTCCTCTGAACTGTTTCCCACACAAACTAGACCATTTCCCACCTTCTACATTGACATTAAGCTTGCCTTACCATAGCAATCAATAGGGTTTAAACCAAAAGTAAACGATACAATTGACTTCTTCTGATCTTAGCCAATATGTGGCACAATGTTTAAGTTTAAGCAACTTCTTGCTTTTTACCTATTAGTGCCTTTACTGCTTTCTAGAACCTCTGAAGTATGTGTTCAACATTATTTAGCTCACTGCTTCACCTCTCTCTTTCCCTAGCAAATCAGTATGCATTTATTTCTACCATTGGCTAACTCAGCAAAAATCAGCATTTCAGGGATCAGAAGTGTCAAGCGAAACAAACTTTATAGATATGGCAAGGGCCAAAAAAAGGCATGAGAATAGACAAGGAAATCAGAAGCTCATAGAAAACTACATTTAAGGATGCATTGAGCATGAGATTGGACAAAAAAAAAAAAAAACCAAAAAGGCAATATCACCAGAATTAAGTGACACCAATGAGCAGAATAATACAAAAAGCTTAAACCCTAAAATTCTAACCAATATCAGAAGAACCCCTTTGTGATAATTACAGCAAATCAGTTACTAACCATCTTTGTGAACAATTCCCCAAGCCTTGCCATGCCTTCCATCCTGCAAACAATCTCAAACCTCATAAACCCTAAAACTCTTAAACCCTAAGAAAAGAACCAAAAATAACAAAAATTGCATAATCTACCAAATCCCTAAAATTTTCACCAATAAAATTAACAAAAAAATAAGAAAACAAATCAAAGATTAAAAACCAATACATTTTGCTCGTAAGATCGTACACAACCATTTAGCTCCATCAACTCATCACATTTTCAGGAAACACAAAAAAAAAAAAAAAAAGCCAATTATTTGAAAATCAATTTTCCGACAAAAAAGAATCCAAAAGACCAAACTAAAGAAACCCAAACCAAAAGAAATCCGTATCTTTTTTTTTCTTTGGACTGAAAGAGGAAGAAAGAGAGGACCTTGTAAAGATTGATCTTGGTGATCTGATACGAAACATCAGTCCAATGAGTTTTGGCCATGTGGTAACCAAGCCCCCAGTTGGGTAAGAACTGAGCTACCTCGAACAGGTTCTTCTTCCTTTTTCTCTTGGGCTTTTTGGAATCTGAAGAGGAGGCGCCAGGTTTTTGAGTCGAAGTGGCAGTGGAAAGGTTTCTCAAGAAGTTGAATGACAGTCTCAATAGCCCAATACTTTGATTTTGGGCAGCTCTGCTTGCGAGTGTTGTCGCCATTTCTGGTTTTGCTTTTGTTTCTCTTCTTTAGTCTGTGAAGGCTACCGGGAGGGAATGGGAATGAATCAGATTAAGGACTAAGGACCAGCAAGAGAGGGTTTTTTAGTGAAAAAAAAAAAGTTTGGAGAAGAGAATTAGCATTAGTAAAACGCTGTCGTTTTTGTGTGATTATTTATTTCCCTATTTTCAAAGGCATAAGGATAAAAAAAAAACTTTCAAGCAAAAATTTAATACTCATTTAAAATTTAAATTTTTTATTTCAAATAAATTAAATCTTTAAACATTTATTTTTACTTAATTAAACCCATATTTATTTTCACTCAATTAAACATTGATTAACTAAAAATAATTAATTATCTTTTCTATAATAAAAATTTAATTGATGAAAATAAATATTTGAAAGTTTAATTGATTAAAAAAATAATAAAATTGTAATTCATTATTAAATTTTAGTTTAAAGATTTTTTTTACCCTTTTACCATTTTTAAAAGTATCACCTAAATTTTGCATAAAAGAAAAAACATAAGTAAACAATAGTAACAATAGTAACAATACTTATAACTTATAAGGATTAATAGATTTTACATAGTTTAAAATCCAAAAATAAAAAACAGAGGGGAATTCAACATTGCTTTGAACGCTCTGCCTTCGTTGTAGTTGAATCTTAAAAACCTGGAATTTCTAGCAAGCATTAAGTGAGGACTGTTTTTATGAAAAAAAATTTGGTTTTAAATCAACTCATTCAATCTTTTTTCCTTTTATAAATTATAAAAGATCAAGGCGGATGTTATACTATTATTAGAGAACAAATGCAACAAAAAAGTTTGTTTTAGAAAGTTAAAGGAGAAGGGTACATAGTCTGCTTGCCTTGCTAAAACAGCAAGCAAGCATTGAGCATGAAAATATCAAGAACAGCTACTGCAAGGGATCCCAGCGAAATTCAACACATAAACGCAACAACAGTTACAGCAAATGACTAATTCTTTCACATTAAAGAAAACCAGCAAATGGAAGTTGAGATTTGAATTGCCAAAATAGCAATAAGTTTCCTCCTCGTTACATTAGTCCTCATATTCGGGTTCCTCTTCCTCATACTCTTCATCATCAGCTGTTGCATCTTGGTACTGCTGATACTCTGAGACCAGATCATTCATGTTGCTCTCTGCCTCAGTAAACTCCATCTCATCCATGCCTTCCCCTGTATACCAATGCAAGAAGGCCTTCCTCCTAAACATAGCTGTAAACTGCTCACTCACACGCCTAAACATCTCCTGTATGGATGTTGAATTGCCGATAAATGTGGCTGCCAGCTTGAGGCCATTGGGTGGGATGTCACAAACTGTTGACTTCACATTGTTAGGAATCCACTCAACAAAGTAGGATGAGTTCTTGTTCTGAACATTCAGCATCTGCTCATCCACTTCCTTGGTGCTCATTTTACCACGGAACATAGCTGATGCAGTCAGGTAACGGCCATGTCGTGGATCAGCTGCACACATCATGTTCTTTGCATCCCACATTTGCTGAGTGAGCTCAGGAACTGTTAGAGCTCGGTACTGTTGGGATCCTCTTGAAGTGAGAGGTGCAAAACCCACCATAAAAAAGTGAAGGCGAGGAAATGGAATGAGATTCACAGCGAGTTTCCTAAGATCAGAGTTAAGCTGACCAGGGAATCGTAAGCAGCATGTAACTCCAGACATTGTTGCAGATATCAAATGATTCAGGTCACCAACTGTCAAAGATGAAAAAAGGAAACAACAGAGATGTAAGATCCCCAAGCCAAAAAAATAGATCTAAGTTCTTACTAATTGATTTTACTTTTCTGAAAACTATTGGTATTTATAGAGAGAGAAAGCCCACAACAGCACAGAATGACCATTATTAAACGTTGAAATTCCACAAGATATTTCTAAATCACACCAAACCAAGAAGGCTTCTTGATGAATCTTAGCTACTGAATTAGAACTAGTACATCAAACTCCAATCAACAATTCAATCGAAAAGAATGGCTCTATTGATAGTATAAACTAAGTATAAATCAGGGGAATACTTACAGCTGGGAGTGGTGAGCTTAAGTGTTCGGAAACAAATGTCATACAAGGCCTCATTGTCAAGAACCATACACTCATCAGCATTTTCAACCAACTGATGAACAGACAAAGTGGCATTATAAGGCTCGACGACTGTATCAGAGACCTTAGGAGATGGGAAAACTGAGAAAGTCAACATCATCCTATCTGGGTATTCCTCCCTTATCTTCGATATCAGCAGTGTCCCCATTCCAGATCCAGTTCCTCCTCCCAAAGAATGACAAACCTGAAACCCTACAAAAAAGAAAAAAAAAAAACAGTTATTATACAAGCACAACTTACACAAGTTTGCTTAGATCTTTGTTCTTTTTTTTTTATTGGTCAGGTTTCTAAGCACACTTACCTTGAAGGCAATCGCAATTTTCAGCCTCTTTACGAACAACATCAAGAACAGAGTCGATTAACTCAGCACCTTCAGTGTAATGACCTTTAGCCCAGTTGTTACCAGCACCAGACTGACCAAAAACAAAGTTATCAGGTCTAAAGATCTGACCAACAGGACCAGATCTAATGCTGTCCATGGTTCCAGGTTCAAGATCCATGAGAACAGCACGAGGGACAAATTTACCACTACTGGCTTCATTGTAGTAGACATTGATTCTCTCAAGTTGAAGATCCAGGTCTCCTTGGTAACGCCCGGTCGGATCTATACCATGCTCAGCACAAATAACTTCCCAGAACTTGGCTCCAATTTGGTTGCCGCATTGGCCACCTTGAATATGAAGGATCTCGCGCATTTTGGGGAATTGGGTTGGAGAAGAGAAAGCGGAACAAAAGGAGGTATTAAGAGATAAGGTACTTGGCGAAGGTGAAGTGAAAAAGGGGAGATGAGAGGTTTTATATTCAGATCTGGAGAGGAGCGGAGATGGTTTTTTTAATTATTTTTTGTACCGCACAGATTTTTTTTTTTTTTTGAATCATTGGTTATTTCAGTTTTGGAGGCTGAAAATAGGGCCACAGATTTCACAACGGCAAAACTCAGATGTAATCGTAAAAGGAAAAAAAGGAAAGTTTTTTAAAATTCAAAATAGCAGAGACAGCTGGATACGATTGTCGGCTAGCTGAATAGTCGTATAGAAAGGAGCCGTCTAGTCTAGGGTTCAATTAAACGACACTAACATCTAGTCGTGTTGTATTTTCTTTTCTTTTTCTTTTCTATTTGGTTTATTTATTTGCATACGTGTTTTTCTAGTATTATAATAATAATAATAATAATAATAATAATAATACTATTAACTTTTATTTACAAATATTATATTTTAAGGTCTTGGAGGGTCCTTGTAATTCTTAAGCAACTCTTATCAAAGTATCAATAATAATAGAACTATAGAAGTAATGCAACAGTTTAAAATCTTTCTCTTTTTTCTTTTTTATATTCTCATTGCTTAATACATATGCAAACAAACGTACGCAGTAAAGAAATAAAAGAAAAAAGAATACTTGAATAATAAAGTGGTGGAATCAGAGTAGAAATGATCATAAAAGTGTTAATAGAACAAGGAAATGTAAAATTATAGTGGCACTCTTCCCTCTAACCTTCAACAAACTAATGTTCTATTCTTCCCTTTACAAAGATTTGATGGCTTCACGGAACGGAATTGAAATCACCCCTATCTCTCTAACATTTTTTTATAACAACCTTAGTCCTCCGCATATAACAAAGCAACCCCTCCCTCAAGAATCAACAATCAATCAGCTTCCTTATGCTCTACAAGACAGCCAAACACTTAAAACAGGTATTAGCACTTCACACTTTCACTCACGGCATATCTTCCGCCAACATTTGAAAAGCATAAGTCAATAGCCCTGGAAATACGTTGTCCTTTGTATGAAACATGCTATCTTCAAATGCATAATTAAAAAAAAAAAAAAAAAAGACCAATAAGTTGCTGGGAAAAAGGTCTGCTTGCCCCATTTCAAGTTTTAGCCAAATTAATCAAATATACTGTCATGAAAAGGGGGATTCCACCGCACACTAGACAAGTCATTAAGCCATGAGGCCCAATAATAAACGGTAAGCATAAAATAGGAGCAGAGAAAATACAAGGGAGAAAACATGGGCTGAATCCATGAATAATATTCTCCATGATTTATTTCTTTTTTTTTTTTTTATCCCTGTAGCTACCCAACAATTCTCTCTTGCACTGACCAAGTATATACTTTAACATAAAGGTTTAATCTATTTACCCAATCGACACTAATTTACACATGCACCACATGTGGAAGTATTTATTCGAGTTTTGTTGTGCGGGTCGTTTTTAGTAATTTTATGTTTAGCTAGGAAGAGCCTTGTTTTTGTGGCTCATTGGATGAGTCTAGCTACTCAATTAGGGCTTATGATGTGGTCCTAAATTTATGTAAGATGGGATTATCTCTAAATCTAAAAACATTTAGAATTCCAAGTCCAATTATGATATAAAAAAAAAAAGTGTCTGCCTGTCTTTGGACTTAGAAGAAATGGTTTTAATAGATATTTTACTGAACGAAATGTTCAAGAACTTTATCATTGTTGATTCACCTCGCCACGTTATTTGTTATCCTTTCTCAAGGTTCTGTTGCCACTGTTCACAAGACAACAGTACCCATGATGCTCTAGTCTTGCCAAATGCAGCCACACAACACTCTTTCTCATAGTAGTATTAAAACCCTAAATAGCTTTTCATTTTCCAATCAGTTCCCACCAATTTGACCCTACATTTGTATCATTATCTCAATGCTCACTGTTTCCAGTAGTAGCATGCAACTAGAATCATCAAGTCGAACCAACATTTTTGAATTTTTTTTATCTTAAACTCCAATCAAATCAATTGTTAACCCTAAAAGCCTCTCTCTATAACCATAAAAAAAAAAAAAGAAGAAACCATTACTTCATAACTCATTAATTCTAAGCCCCAAACCTATTGTACATTGAACCACCGATTAAGACTGCACCCTGCTTGATTATATAAAAGACAGCCACTAGCCATTGCTTTAACTAGAACCCAATTGGTAAATTCAAAACCAACACTGGTGAAAGATCTTTGTCTAGTATAGTACACTACCTAATATCGCTTCCAAATTTGACCTTCGTTCGACTCACTCCAAGAAAAAGCAACATTGACATAATAAGAAAGAGAGAGGTGAAAGACTTAAGATCTTAAAATCAAAAAGGAGAACAAGCAAAAAGAACTACCATATGAGGTTGCAGATTCAACCACATAATGATCAAGAATAAAATCACAAACCTGGTCAGAAACACAATGAAAGATACGGGATATGCAGTTCAGAATTGCCATCCAACATTGAAAAGAGGCTGCCCAGCTTCAAAGAAGTAGAAATTTTGCAAATATGGAAGTCTTATGAGGCATTAACCATTAAGCATTTCCCAAAGTATTCATGATGAAAATTCAACCAAAGTCAAAAAATAGTAGGGAAACAGAAAGAATTGCTTAATTAGCCTCCTGCCAATTATCATTTATGTAACCTCTTGATCATAGAACTAGTATTATGAGTATTAAAGCACCAAAGTTTTAAATTTGAAATTTCACTTTGAATGATTTAGACAGGCAACAAACATCCTATAGTATGATTAACTTAAGTGTTATAAAGGTTCAAAAACTAAGAACTATATTCTTGAACTATAGAGATCTAACTTTATGTTAACTTGGAAGTCAAAGGCTCATAAAATAATGCCTAGAAAAACAATTCAACATTGGTCATCTTCTAAATGATAGTTATTTGTATGTCTCAGATTTATGTCTATCATTAATTACTTTATACTTAATACTTTATTATATCTCATTTTATAGAGCAGATACAAATGAAGTTTTTGCACCTTAAAAAATTGAAGATCACAAATGAATGGAAGTCATTTAGAATTGTAGGAAAATAAACATATTATTAGCCCAATTGTGCATTTACTTGGAATATCTCAGGCATGACAGAGCAACTGAACATAGAAACAAACAATGTTTAAAATATGAAACATAGTCGATAAATTAATAAAGGTCAACGAGAATGTTAGATTAACACCTCTACAATCATACATCAAATATAACAGCATGAGTCTTAAGGAAAAGCAGACTGATCCACACGCATAATATCAGGACAGAAAGGAAGGCAATGCAGCCACCAATATAGGCATAACTTGTCCGATCCTATTATTGAAACACCAAAGGACCAAGAAAGAAATGTTAAAGTAACAAGACTAACACTGTCTTTTCTAAGGAATGTCATTTAGGTTCGACATGCACAACTATGAAAGATGGATCCTAGCAGAATATAACATTCTAAACAGAAGTCTTATTTGACATGAAAGATAGTAGGCCTTCCTTGTCCATCCTAACATATAGAACAAGCGCCAGGAGTCCAGGACAACCCTTGCCTGAAGCAAGTACATCCTAACATGCAAGCCTACTAGGACTCTTGGCCTAAGCTTTAAATCCCTTTAACAAGGGGATGAGGCATTGCTAAACTAAAAAGGAGAGGTAGTCAACAACCTAGCTCAATCCAAGTATTCAACAAAAGGGCCTTGTTTCAGAACTGCCCTAAACTGATACCCTGCAGTTGGCAAACAATTCTAACTTACGTTTCACTTATTAAAAAAAGAAAATAAAGTATTTCTAGCATACATTTTAAGAAATAACTTACACTCTAAGTAACACTTTTATCAGCCTCTCAATTCTAAGATCTCTCAGACTACCACAAATTTCCCACAACTGAGCATTTAACTTAAAAGAAAATATAAAACAAAAACAGTGTGGCAATAAAGCAACATATATAATACCCCGCAGTTAGCCAATTTCAAAGAAAAACAAAAGCAATATTACAAAGCAAAAGTTTACCGCTACTGTGAACACAATCTTACCACATCTAAAAAAGATGAGTGTCAAAACCTTCCCACTGTACTTTCAGCCATTATGTTGTCTGCTTCGCCGAAAAAAGAGAGGTCGAATTGAAAAAATCTATTATAGAAAAAAAGAAATTCCACCAGTATAAAAATCGATTCTATCAAGTTTAAAAGAATTTTGATAGTATTAAGCATTGGACCCGAAAAATATTAAAAGATAACTAAAGGAAATTATTTTACTATTAGAACTAATGGAACCAAGAACCTAAATGGCAATAACTTGGATAAAAATTTTCTTGGAATTCTAGCTAGAAGAAACATAAATTCTTTAAGGCAGGGATATTGAATCTATAATAGTATCATGAATTCAGAGGTTGAAAACAATCCACCAAAGGATGGAGACAGTTTCATCCTCGCTAGTTATGAGCTGTTCAATAGTCTTAACCAAGAGCTTATTCATTACGCCAAGAATGCTTATCCTACACAGAGCAAGATCTCTCATAGCCTAACTAAGTCTTCAAAGTTCATTCCCTTTTAAAAGTTACCATATAAAAGCTACTGAGTATAAAAGCCAACAACCTTCGGTTTATGCTTCTAATTTTTCTGTTTCTGAATTTCATTTGAATGACGTGAAGGTCCCACTTTGATGTCCATGCCATTTTAATAATCTTTTCCACTGGTCAAAGGACGGGTAGATCCTCAAATTGAATTTATACCCTAGACTAGCCAAGATGACGGAGATCAAATGCTTTGGGCCCTTAGGTTTAGCAATCTATAGCACAATCATCTCCTAGCACATAATACATTGCATTAAAGAATCCTAGTTACATATATGTCAAGGAACTAGTAACACCCATAATCCTTAACTTGTTGCACAATTAATATTTTTTGGCATTAAAAAGTTCTATTGATTACCTGTAACCTGGTATAAATGTCAAACTATTGTAACAAAAACCATTGCCCCCTTTATTTATTAATGGACTACATGCAGAAGTAGACAGCCGTTTCATTACAGAAATTAATATTGAGCACTAAAATTTATATGAGACCACAGTACTTGAAGTTTAGTCTAAGAAGAAGCATATTTCAAAATAATTAAATTTCAAAAGCAACTTTTATAACTATACAACTTAGAAATTAATTATTGAAAGCATATGAAGCCACAATTAGACTGATTGCTTACAGCAATTTAAGAACAAAAGTCCAAATAAACTTCACCACAATATGTACACTTGTTCTATCATCTACAGCTGACTCATAATACTTTGTAAACATTTAAAATTCCAGTACAACTTATATTTTCTTCCTTTGAATATTCAAGAGGCAAGAAAGGTTGATAGAGTAAGAACATCTGGCCAACAAAGAGATAGTTGGACAGATGCCAATGGATAATCAACAACCTTTTGTCATAGAAGAAAAACAAAAATGGCAAAGGTTGCGTGCTGAATTCAACAATAGTTCAGGAAGGAAAACAGTTTGTTCAGTTAAATCCCCCACAGTGTCACAAAAGGACTCTAATCTAAAATTAAATAAGATTGAGACAGCAGGTGATTGAAGAGAGCACACAAAAGCTTATTTATTGGATCTATGTATGGTTCAACCTAAAAAACCTAGGGATAAGAAACACAATATTGATACATATATACTTAAATATACCATCTCAACAAGCAAAATAAGCACTACTTCAAAACATCCTGATGTAATAAAAACATTTTTAACTAGATAATGCTGAAGTTGACACAAAATATTAAAGTTCTAAAAGCAACAGATATTATATTAAAAAAAATAAAAACCAACAAACTTAACTGCCACTGAACTCCAGTTCCAAAAACCATCTCCATTAACATGGCAGCAACCTGAATGACAGGATCAGCATAAACCACCCAGAAGTAGAAAAGAGGCATCAAGGGTGAGTGACCTACATCACTAAGTTCCAAATACCAAACCAACAAATTCAATCCCAAGCCAGCAAGTGAACAACCACAATCCATATGACAGCGCATATCAAGACTCAATGCTTATTCACACGGCCTTCAAATTTTGTGTTCTTTGATTTGCTTGAATCATTGTGTATGGAGTGATCACCGGAGGTTCTACAAAACAAAGCAACACAAAAAATAGATATTTTTTAACCGTAAGCAAAGTAAGTTTTGGATAACACCATGGATTATATAGAAACAGAAAACTTACAACTTCTGTTTCTTTGCATTTTGTTTGATGGTAACAACCATATCCATAGCCATCTTCTGGTGCTCCCTTGTTTGTGAGTGCAGGTCCAAGCCTTCAACAGTTTCGCAGTCCACTTTACAAATGCGGCACCAACCCATGCTCACCGGTTTTCTCTTTCTCAAATTTTCAAATGAATCCATATCACCCTGAATACACGAATCAAAAATAGGGCAGGAGCAGAAACACATGGAACTCAATGATATATACTTCCAAGCATACATAGATCATATTTATACAAACATGAAGAATGAGCAGTATTTTTGCATAACATAATTGCAAAAAATTAGAACAAGACCAACACTTAACTGTATAGATTCCACCATCATTAGGAAATTCTCGAAGTGAAAAGCTGCTTCTAAATCCTGGCTCACCAAGTCGTGGGTGACGGAAGTTTCCAGGCCCACCAAATTCTCCCATTCGTTCATGGCTAGAAAAATCACCAAAGCCAATGGGTTCTCCCATCAGCAAATGACCAGGCATGTTAGGATGACCCAAATGTTCACCCATTCTAAAGTGCGGAGGCCGAATATCTGGACCAATCATATCACGACTCCTCAAATGCTCCACCATGTGATCAGAACTCTCAACTCCACCTCTATGTAGATGTCCAGGCAAACCAGAAAACCTATCATTGAATCGGCGTTCCCTGGCATCTATCTCGTCACCAGGATGCCCTCTAAATCCACGTGGGGATATGCCTGGATATTCTCTGCCTGGACTTCTAGAAACAAAACCATCCATACGATGCCGACCATAGCTAGGAACCGTTCCACGAAAATTTGTCCTGCCTAGAGTATCTTCAGGAAGACCAACTGGCCTTTCTCCTGCATCATGATATGGTGGCAAGAATTGAGAAGGACCAGAGCCAATCATAGGATCAAAATTCAAACCATGAGGTTCCTTCTCATGAGCCCTTGGTCCCATATCCGTGCCAAAATCATGAGGACCTCTAACAAGGGGTCTGGATGAGGAAAAGTAGCTTCCAAATTTCGGAACAGGCTCAGCATCCAAATGAGAAGGCCTAGGAAATTGTTTAAGATCTTCATCAAATTGTCCTCGATCACCAACACGATGAGCATGATCCAAAGGAAATGGATTCAAATGCTCATCTTGTGCAGGCTTTAACCTTTCACCATGCAAGCTGAATGTTGATGTGGAATCAACACCTGAGGCCCTAGGATCTAGCTGTCTATTATCAGCATGATAGTCCATGTTTGCAGATCGCTGCTGAACCGAATGACCTTCAGGGCCATATGGCAGTGCACCGTGCAAGTCAAAAGCATTAAGAGGTGGTGTACCAAATGGTGGGCGTACAAGAGTTTCACCTAGAGATATCCTAGGAGCAGCAGAAACAGGACCTTGAATATAAGGCCCTTGAGGACCATAATTACTTGGTCCTCTACCAAAGGAACCAGGAACTAAATTTTCAGGTGGAACTAAAGTCCGTCCTGGGCCCTGAGGCCTAAATTGATTGGGAGGAAGTCCTGTTGTTTGTGCATGTGAAGGCAGCCCTGGTGGAGGTGTTTGTAACATTGCAGAAGCAGCAGGTCTTTGTTGGTTATTATTAGACCCATAAGGCATCTGTAGGGGTTGGTGCCTTCCCTGATCAATAATTGGAACGGAATGAGAAGGCTGCAGAAAGCCTCCAGGCTGAACCTGACTGGATGGAGGGATGCCTCTAAATCCATTGCCTGCAGGACCTTTAGAAGTAACCTGATCTTGAGGTAGAATTTTTTCTTTCTGCATCTTTCCATTCTGTTCTTCACCAAGCTTAGCCTCCTGCAGTGGGGGAGTTTTCAGCAAAGGGCCATCCTTAATTTTATTTTCCTCTACCTTGCGCTCACCATTGTCAACATATTTCAGGTCTTCAGTAGCCTCACCCTTGACCGTATTCTTAGAAACAGGATCTCTATGTGGTTCAAGGTCTGTCGTTCTAGATTCTGGTGTTTCCTTATCATATCCACTACTATTATCTCCAACATCACCAGGAGGTTTTTCATCTACAGATTTCAAATCAGCATTGGATTTTGAGGCATTAGTTTCATCCACATCAGCTCCAAGACTAGATGCCACATCCAACTCATTACCTTTCTTCTTAGCAATTCCCTGGGAGGATGAATCCGCTTCTTGCTCAGCCACATTTTTGTCAGTACCATGATCTCCTGGCACCTCACACATTGGTTGTGAATTTACCCCAGATTGGTTGTTGGTCCTGAACACATTACTCTGATAAGAAGATGGCAGGTTTGCACCAAGTTGCATAGGCTTAACCAGCATACCAGCTGCAGACTGTGGATATGGCTGTGGTTGTACAACATGATTCGGTGTCATAGGTCTCCCAACAAGATTATGAGATGAATGGGGATGCACAATATGAGACCCTGCAACATTTTGCTGTGGTTGTGGATAGGCATGAGGAGGTTGCTGAAAGGAATGAGGGGGGCCTGGGGGCCACAACTGAGACTGTGACGACTGTTGTTGCTGCACAAAAGGACCTTGCTGATGCATTTGAGGCTGAACCAAGCCCACCGGTTGAGTTGACAGAGGTTGCTGCTGCACATACTGCTGAGACATGGGTGATGCAGGAGGCTGCATAGTTGGACGTTGTTGAACTGAAAGTGTAGGTCGAAGAGAATTTGGATGAACTTGTTGCAGCATAGGACCAGGTAAAGGCAACAAACCAGGCTGCTGTTGGTTTGGAATTGTAGCATGAGATTGGGGTGGGCGCATCAAGGGAGGTTGCTGAGGGTATGAATTCTGCATTTCAGCAGGGTGCTGCTGTGGATGAAGGCCACCTTGAGCATGCATATGCAAGGGATTTTGTGGTGTTACCAGCTGTATTTGCTGGTGAGTCTGCGATTGTGGATAAGACTGATGACCAGTCACGGCATGGGCTGCAGGGTGCTGCATCTGAGGTATCAAATTTGGATTCAAGGGCTGGCTTTGCAGAGGATGTGGCTGCAGCTGGGGCTGGGGCAGAGGCTGAGGCTGAGACTGAGGCTGAAGCTGTGCCTCAGGCTGAGCTTGAGGAGCAGGATGAAGCTGGGGCTGTGGTTGTTGCATCTGGGAATGATGCTGCTGATACTGAGGCATTTGCCCATGTTGCAGATGAGGCTGAATAGTTTGGACCTGTGGATGAGGCTGAGCTTGAGGAAATGGCTGAACCTGAGGCTGGGAATGGCCCTGGGCGGTTGGATAAGTTTGTGATGGAATTTGAGACTGAGGTGGTATCATAAGGTGAATTTGCTGCTGTTGGTTGACTTGTGCTTGGTTCTGAGGTTGAGAAGCCACCGGAGCCTGAACAGATAAGTGTGACTGAGGCTGGGCCTGTGGTTGAGGCTGTACTTGAGACTGAAGCTGTGGTTGGGGCTGCACCTGCGGTTGAGGTTGGGGCTGTGTCTGCATGTACACTGAATGCTGGCCAGCCATGTGTGATGCATTAACTTGCAAAGGCTGCTGCTGGTATTGTGGAACTGCCTGCTGTTGAAAAGGGTAGTATTGCTGATAATATGGGTCATATCCAGAATATTGCTGGTAGTATTGCTGATACTGTTGCTGCTGTTGTTGATACCACTGCTCTGACATCACCACAGCAGCCTGGGAGACAGCTTGAGACTGGGAATTTGGGTTGGCATGCTGATTCGGGTCTTGTACAGGTGTACTGGATGTTGTAGTTTGAGATGCGAGGGTCTGAGAAATAGCTGTTTCTGCCTGAGAAGCAACCTGGGTCTGACCAGCAGTAGCTGTGGTGCCTGAGACTGCAGTTTCCTGACCACCAGCAGCTTGCTGTGCTTGAGGCTGCACACTCTGTCATTAAAAGTATGTATAAAAGTCAAACTAACCAAAAAAGCTACATAAAACATGGGCTGACATTAATAAAGTGATTCAATGCACTCACAGGGCAATTTTGTGCATGTTCTTGAACTTGACGATGCACAATCTGAATGCCACACCTATTACATACAACAGGAGAATTGCCAAATGCACACCCAGAACAATGAGCTGTACATTCAGAAAGTGGACCCTGCCACGTGCAGCCACTCCTATGGTATAGACAATGAACTGTGATTTTCCCAATGGTGTCGGCAAGTGCCTTATTCGACTCAACAAGCGGCTATAATTTGAGAGGGGGAAAGGTCAATAAGAAGAAAATAATAATATTAATAATACAAGAAGAACTAGCACAGTGTAAGACATGTACCTTAGAATCCGCTTCTGTTACCAAGTAACCATCATAAGGACAAGCTCGGGTAGTACCGACAACGTAGGTTAAACATGGTTTGCAGTAAAGATGGGTGCATTGTGACTGTAATGCTTCATTTGGGTAGACAAGTAGACGACAAACAGGACAGAAGAACTCGCCGGCCAGAGATTGGATATTCAGTATGCACTCGTTATCAAACCCCATTCTGTCCAAGAAATTTGCCTTCAGCTCCCAATGAGCATCAATTTAATTAGCCTTTAAAAACAAAAAGAAAGGAAAATTCACCATTTCTAGACTAGCAGCATTAGTAAAATCAACAATGTGGCTATTAGCAAAACAACAATGCAATTAGGATGACAAATCAGAGAATCAAAATCAACAAATTAAATCAACATTAATATTCCTGCTTATATGACTCAGAAATAGAAATTTCCGACATGCAAAACAAAATTATGCAAAGAAAAACAAACATTTTCCTGTTTATTTTTCATTTTTGCACATTTTCTCAGCAGCCAAACAGGATATGGAAGATCGTATACCTGAAATTTATCTCAGAATTTGATTCAACCTCTCTTTAAACCCTAACTCCAATTGCACCAACAAATCTGTGATAAAGAAAAAAAGAATAAATAAATTTAGGGTTTTTGAAAGGATCGGAGAATAATAATAATAATAATAAGGTAGAGTGAAATAAACGCGGATGATTTAAGGCATTGATAAGAATCTTACGGGATGGAGAAGGCGTAGCAGCGGAGAGAGCGTACGAGAGACGAACAAAGGAAGTAAAATGCAAAGACTAAGGAGAAGGCAAGTACGGTTTTATATTTAGTCAGTTTATTTAAGAAAATAAATAAATAAAAACAGTAGACAAATTAAAGAAAAAAAATGTTTTAATTCGTTTTATCACGGAGAAATGTGACGGACTGGCGGTCTTATTGGGTTTAAGGCTTTAAGCCCTAACAGCTACTGACGGCAACTTGTAATTACGAAACTGTCCTCTGCAAAAGACCTCTTGCAAGGCTATTTTAGTACTTGTCCTCTCTATAAACAAAAACTTTTATTAAAAATGATCTCTCAGTGGGGTTTTTACATGTCACTAATAATGATACATACAATTAAGATATAATTAAAAATAAATAAATTATACATCAATCGTTTATTAAATTAAAATTTTTTTATAATGAATAAAAGTTATACACGAGGGAAAAAAATGTAACATGTTGAGGAAGTAATGCCTCTTTGAATTTCCCTGATGTAACTAATTTTTTCTATTGAAAGTTGAGATATTTGGCTTTAATTTTATGATGATTTTGCCTTTAGGATTCCATGAGGCAAAGTTAAATTCCTTCTAGGTTGGATTTTGAAGATTAACAAGAGTTTGGTTTATATTCCATCAAAAAGAAATTATCTCCCAACTATATAGCACACATTTTAGGAATACTAAATTTAATCTAAAAGTAATAATAAAGAGGTAATATTTTTATTTCAATTTAAAAAAAAAAAAAACTTTGAAATGTTTTCAATTTTTTTAAAAGATGATAACATAAAAATTTTGGTTCAGCAAATGAATTTGGTTAGGAATAAAAATGCAGTGGTCCATTACTAAAGAACAAAGGTATCATATTCATTTGGTGGGTCCTTTAAGATGCATACTTTTTGTTTAAGTTTACTTCACTGGAAGAACTAAGAAGAAGATTTATGGGTCTAAGTCAATCTTGTGAGTTATAACTGTACGTTTCTTCTCAGGTAAGGAACTTTAATTATGATTAAAGCCATTGGTCTTTTTTAAAAAAATATTTCCTGGGTGGACACTTCCTGCACTAAAAGTTCCTTCTTACTTCCCATCATCATCAACTGCAAAGCAGCTTTCTGCTCACTTCTATTTTCAGGTAACATTGTTCAAAAACCAGTGATAATCAGATGCTTGAACTTCCTGTAATATGTAGAAGGTTTAATCTGTAGAGTTTAGTTTATTGATGTCTTGTCAGTTAACTCTGTGATGTGATTATCTTTAAACATGTTTGGACTGTCAGCAGATGATTGAGTTCATACTGTCTCTATTCTTGGGTTTTTTTGTTGCTTTCATGGCAATGAAAAGCATTAGTGCCTTGTTTGGTACTTGAATGATTAGTGGGATGTGAACATGTCATAATTCATCTTGTTTTACTGGTTTGCTTGCATTTAGACTGGCCAATTTAAGAAAATTTTTAGGCCTTCTTGGGTTCAGTACCCTTGCAGGGGTCATGTTAGGATCAGTGTTTATGCTTAACATTTTGTTTGTTTGTTTGTTTGTTTTTATGACTCTGAATTCATCTTTCCTTTAGACTTTAAAACTTCATTTGCATTCGGTTAAGTGGACAATGAGCTTTGTCGTTTTGTGCAGTGTTAATTTATAATTTCAATGGAAGGCAAACTTGTAAAAGGTTTAAGCTTGAAGGCATCAATTGATGTCGATAAAAACAGAGTTATCTTTGTTGAATCTGATGAGGATTTCATTGATATCCTATTGAGCTTCTTGACAATGCCAATAGGATCAATCATCAGGCTCGTCCGATACCAACCACCACCGGTGGAGATAGGTTGCATGAACAACTTGTATGGAAGTGTTGAGAATTTTGATGTGCAGCTCTTTCAAACTGAAGCTTGCAAAAGCATGTTGCTGCATCCGCGAAATGGAGCCGCTGCTCAATCTGAGAGCCTAAAATTGACAGTTGATGACTTTGAGCCACTGCAATACTTCTGTTGTGAATCTTGGGAGTGCACTGCTTCAAAGTATAAGCTATTGAGTCATTACAGAAATGCAATTTGCAGTTGTGGAAAACTAATGAACCGTGAGGTTGATCTGTTGGAGAAAGAAAATAAGCAAATGTCATTTGATGCACGAGATAGAGGAGTGTTTGTTAAAGGATTGGCACGAATGTTAGTATCTGATGAATTGAAAATAATGCCCCCATTAACTGCAACTAGCTTCTCTTTACTTTCAAAGCTTGGTCTCACTGATGGAAGCACCATTGAAGAGAAGACTTTCGATGTAGGAGTAGATGAGGTAACTGGCAAAGTGATCTGTTGTCACACCAATGGGCTAGGTTCTTATTTTCATGTGAAGCTTATTACCTCATTTTCTTTTTCAGGTTTGGAATCTGCTCAAATTCTCATTGGTATCAAGAATACCTTTGACAGAAACTCTATTGAGGAAATCACCTGAGTTGAACAATGAACACTATGACCAGGGAAGCTTTACTAATTTTGATCAAGGAAGGTTCCCGAAATCTCACAGCATAGAAACATCAAACAAGTACAAAAGGATTTATGTTCAGCTTATTGTAAGCAAATCCAGGAAGATGGTTTGTTATGCTGAAGCCGGCGAAGACTTTGTTGATTTGCTCTTCAGTTTCCTCACTGTTCCCTTGGGCCATGTTGCGAAAGAAATGAAAAACGATACTTCAAGAGGATGTATTAATCACCTTTTCAACAGCATCCAGGATCTTGATACTGAGCGATACCTGAAGTCAAATGATCACAGGGCAATGCTAGCTAGTCCCAAACTTGCATGGGGATATAAACTTGGGAACCAACCATTAGGTGTTGAGGAATGCAAGCATCAGCAACGCTTCTACTATCATATAGATCTGACAGGGATGTTTCCCACACCAGTACTGTGTTCTGATGAAAAACTTCTGCCTTCTAGTAATTCAGTTCAGGTCTCACTCCTAAGTGTTATGGATCCAAAATCGCACTACAAGGATGCTAAAAGCAGTGGAGGCTTTGTCAAAGGACCGGCATTGTTCACAGTAACTGACAATCTTAGCATAACACCTATATCACCAGTGTCAAGTCTCTCTGTTCTAAGCAAATTGAAGGTACCTTTCAATGATATAGAGGAGCGCGTTGTGCATGTGGGCAAAGAAGAAGTAAGTTCGATTCCACAATGAACTTCTGGTAAAACAAAATTGAATGGGTTTTGATAATAACTTTAGAACTGACAGCTGCATTACTTCATAGTGAGGCAAGGATATCATCAGTTAAAATTTCCATACCAGGTTCTTCATAAACTCCATCAAACCTGACTACTCTGACATGTATCAGTAATCAAATCCTGGACACTCTAGACCTCTGAACTTGTACTACTCACCTTTCCAAGCTAGGTCCCAATGACTGTCTTATCATCTGGTTATATCTTATGGTAGTTTGGCTCCAAACCAAACTTCTGATTCCCATCATATATAGAAAGGAACTTATATTTCACAAAGGGAAACTTTGCTACAATATCACCAAGACTTGGACTGTCTCACTGTGGTAACATATGAATCCTCCTCAGTAGAAATTTCTCGTGAATCTGTTTTCTGTTGCAGGCTTCTCGACTACTGATGGCTGCTTTTGTCACCAAATCTGCTTTAACCAATGCGTTTATCTACGAAGAGCCAAAGCAAGAATTCAAAGGACGAAATTATGGTTATTACTGAGGGAAAAAATGATATAAATGTGTGTATGTATCTATGTTGGTTATTAGAAAACAATGCTTATGAGCTTGAAAATTTCTGCTTTTCACTTTATTGTTGATGTTATTAATTAAGGGTAAACTTTATGACTTTGTTGTCCTTTATAGTACCATAGATGTAATCATATCTTGTGCCTAATTCAGACTATAGTATTAAATAAAAAGGCTGTTTTTTAGTACTAGCATTTCATTTTGTGGAAATTGAGTAATTTTTTATTCATTAGCAGTTATTTTTTTTTAATTTTATGAATGAAATTAAAAAATTATTACGTGTATTTTTTAATATATTTTAAAAAATATATATAATTTTGTCGATCTCACTTACAAAATATAAAAATTTTATCATCGTTATGTAAGATTAAATAAGATGTCAAATATATGTGTATATATATATATATATATGTATGTAACTTAAAATCAAAATTAAGTTTTTTTATCATATTATATGTCAAAATTTCTCTGTAACTATCTTAAATGAACTTTGCCATACCATTTTTAGGATTATTAAAAAAAAAAATGTAGTACTAGGAAATTAGGGTAAAAAAAAGTGTAATTATCCCCTGTTTTACCTCCACCTTCTTATTTTACCTATCTATTTTTCTCGCCATTTTTGCTAAGCTTATATAAACACCACTCCTTGTTCTTCGCCTGCCTTCTCCTAAACTGATCATATTCTCTTCCGGTTTTCCCTGCAACCAAAGCTTCAAGCCTGGATAATTGGGTCACTCGTTTCTTCTGGTACCCCATTTCCATGTTTTTACTCTTTTATTTTCTTGCTTTTCTTAGACTCCATGCTTTTTGATATCTGGTAAAGGTTCCTTTCTATTCATTCCAAAAAAAAAAAAACAAAAACTTTACATTTTGAAGAAGGATAGAGATACGGTTATTGAGCGTTGAAAGGTGTAATGCTCTGAATGTAAATAATATTTTGGATTTTGGACCTTCTCCTGAAGTAGTTGTTAGTTTCACGCTTCGATTTTTTTCTCATTTGTTGGTACTTGACAACCATTTGTTTGCATATTTTATCGACAAAATTAAGTACTACTTACTGTAAATGGGGAAACTTTAGCAAATAATATGTTTAAGGGGAGGGATGCATGGTCCATGTGTAGCTTTAGTGTCTGGACATTGAAATATCATCACCTGATACATGCATAACAGCAAAAGCAAACCTGATGCTCGTTTATTGATTGAATTCTGGAAGCCAAACTCAATTGTGTCATTCCAATAAGAAGCCTTACTACAATCATAAATGAGTAAGGTTTGAACCATCTCTGGCTTTCGTCTATCAGAAGGGTATATTAAGATCAGATGTAATTCTAATTCATAAAATGTTAATCAGCCATTATTTGAACTTTGTATCTGATTCGTTTTAACTTAATTTACATTTAGGCTCAAATGTAGCTGGTGGTAAATTTTGTCAGATCTTATCTTGCTATACTAAAGACGGATTAAGCACTGAGTTTGGGGGTAATTGGTTGCAAGAAAAGGTAGGAAGCCAAACTAACATCACCGCGTTTTTGCTATCCATTGCCCTAATAACTTTGAAGGCCTTGGTGAACAAGACAAACAATAGTCATTTTTGCTGAATCCAACGAGGATTTTGTTGATATTCTCTTCAGTTTCTTCACGTTACCCATGGGAAAAATAATCAAGCTTACTGGTAATCAATCACCAGCAGCGAGTGTAGGTTGCATGAACAATTTATATAAAAGTGTTAGAAAACTTGAGGTACCACGTTTTGAAACTGAAACATGCAAGAGCATGTTGCTAAATCCGCGAAGTGTGACAGCTGCTCTGTGTGAGAATCTAAAACTGAAATTAGATAAAGATGAGCGCCTGACGTATTTTCGCTGCATTGGCAGCTGTGGAAGTTCAAATTTCAAGCTATTAAGTCATTACGCTAATGCTATTTGTGCTTGTGGAAAGCGCATGGCATATGGGATGAATCTGGTCATCAAAAAAGATTTTGATGCTGAAGATGGACTCTTTGTCAAAGGGTTGACACGACTGATAGTAAACGATGAATTACGAGTAGTTACCTCCTCAAGTGCTGCAAGCTTTTCTATACTTTCCAAGCTTGGGATCATGGATGGAAGTGCAATTGAAGTGAGGTCCTTCATCATAGGAGTAGATCAGGTAATTAGAAGAGTTATGGATTCTCACCTGTCACATCAATGACTAGTTTTGATAAATACTCGTGAAGAATTAATAACATGATGTCTTCTCTCAGGCTTTGAAATTGCTCAAGTGCTCGCTAGTATCAAAGACACCATTGACTGAAGTTCTTTTGGAAAACAGCCTGGTACCTGAGCTAAGTGAAAATGATTTTGAGCATGGGAAGATGGTTGTCAAGCTCATGATCAGCAAATCCAAGAAGGTGGTTTTCTATGCTGAAGCAGGGGAAGAATTTTTTGATTTGCTCTTCAGTTTCCTGACTGTTCCACTTGGGTTTATAGTCAAAGAAATGCAAGGTGGCAATTCAAAGGGATGCATAAATCACCTGTATGATAGTATTCAGGGTCTTGATGCTGAGCAATACCTAAAATCACAGAAAAGAAGGCAATGCTACTCAGCCCCATGCTTTACCCTGGTTTTAGCTATGAGAATCAACTGTTAGGCATTGAAGAAGATACACATCCACAATATTACTATTCTGCTGTATCAGAACTGGATGACATGCTAGTTTCTGATGAAAAGCTTCTTCCTTCTGACAGCTCACAGACAGTTTCAGTTGTAACTGTCATGGATCCCAAGTCTCATCATAAAGATAAGAAAAGTGGTCGAGGATTTTCAAGGGGACCAGCATTGTTCACTACAACGGATGATCTTATGATAACAGCTATATCCTCAATCTCAAGTCTTTCTGTTTTGAGCAAATTGAAGGTACCTTTTGGTGATATAGAAGAGCGCAGTGTGCATGTGGGTGAAAAGGAGGTAATTTCCAATTACTACCTTCTGCTACAAAACTTTGATAACATATCAACTGATTTTCAACTTTCAAGCAGCAATATTTTCAAAAATTTTAAAGGCTTAATGAATGGGTTTAGAATTATCATTTAAATTCATTCCCTCCTTTATTTTTTTTCTCTTTTTTTTTCTTTTTTCTCCTTGTCCACTTGGTCTTGCCTAATAGGACATAATGAATGACATAATTATGCTTTTAATGGTTTGAATGATGATGTATTACAAATTAATTCAAATGTATCTAGGGAGATCACAGGGTTTATTACAAATTGATTGGAAATGCATCTAGGAAGATCATGTCTTTGATGTTCTAATTTGCAATATGATCTAATTTGAGGAAAAAGCTCTTGCACTTGGTTTCTTGTTGTTGAAAATTTTTCCCTTGTTGTTTAGGCATGGATAGCCTCTTCAGCTTCATAGTGGGGTGATAGAAATTGTTTTATTTACAACTTTTAACTGAACTGCTCTTTCTAGTTCCTCAAACCTGTTTAATGTTCCTGATCGCCAGAATCTACAATTACATTTGATTTTCATAATTCTTGTCATGTTTCATAAATTGATGAAGATTCATTAATTTATCATAAAAAGCTTGTCGTATGATAAAAAGCACCTCAGGAGGTTCTTACTAGCTTAGTGGGTGAAATCTTTTGATGACTGCATGAAGGTCAAATAAGGTCGAATCTTGCCTTCACGAGGAGCAGGGAGGTCTATAGGAAGGGGAAGGACTAGCAGCGGCATAAGCCCAACCACTGAACCAAAAATAGGAAAAGAAAAAAAGACCTCAATAATGCCTGGCTGCAGAGATAGCATCTGCCTAGTTTTAAAATTTTGGCATAAAACTTGAATGATACCTACCATAACAACATATCTGACAGTAATTTCTGACGTATTGTAATATTTGGCATTTTCTTGTGTTGCAGGCGTTGAGTCTATTGGTATCTTCTTTTACCTTAAAATCTGCTCTAACCAATGCCTTTCTACTGAAGGAGCCATAGCAAGAATTTTGAGGAGACTTGATTTTTGAGTGGTTAATAGATGTCAGCATTATCCATCAGAAGTCCAGTTACTTGATGTGAATTTTGTGGTGATACTTAGGATTAATGCATATATAATATATATTATATGGAGGATGTCAATTATGAATATATATGGCTAAGGGATTTACATGTTACAGATGTAATCTTGTGTTTGCTTTAGAATGTCATCCTATAATATTTTAAGTAAAAAGCTTTGGTCATCTGAGTACTTGTTTCTTTTGGACAAGAAAAAAAGGATAATGGAAAATTGCAGTCTAAGAGGTTTGGATTCAGCTGCACCTTCAGTGTAATATAATTAAGTTTATCGTATTATCAGTTAAATTCAAATATCAACTGTAATTAATCTATTCGATATAAATTTTTTTATAATTTTTTTTAATCATAATTACAGTAATTTTTAATAATATTTTTAATTTCACAATAATTAATTTTACTACTCATCCAAATAAATCTTAAATTTCACTAGGAACAGTTGGAACCGTTTTAAATATATCCTTTCCTTGTAATTAATTTAACTAATATTAAAAGAAAAAAAAAAGCACGCACAAGCTACAAGATTAATTTAACTGAAATATTAGAGTAGTGGGCTCATTACAGACTTTATGTAGTTGTGTTTCATTTAAGACAAGGCAGTGAACTGATATCTGGGTATCAGACATCTGATTCTGATTCTTATGCATTTGTAATTAACAATGTTTTTCCGAAACTTGTAAATTCCAGAAGTGGTGCACGAACCACGTCCCCTCCCTTGATTTTTGTCAACCTATATATAGTTAAAAAAAAAAAAAATCAGGCTGTCTAAAAAGCATATCTAAAACCAACAATAGATGAAGACAATTTTTATGGTATAGTATATATAAAGTACCTGTATTTGGTGACCCAGACATGTAAAAAGACAGCCACTAGAACCTTGCTGAACTCTGCTCCTGCACATGTCCTATTCCCTCCTCCAAATGGTATGAAGTTCTTTGCCATTGTAGTGCCTCCAATGTTCTTCATTAATTTAAACATCAATTACCAGACCATATATATATGAGAAATTTAACATACAATTACTACTTTAAAACTTAAAAAGTCAGTGTCCCAAACTTTAACATCTTGGGTTTTTTTTTTCCCCTTTAGTAATTTTAGAGATATTCTCGAATTTTGTCTGATATACCTTCCATCTCGATGGATTGAAGCGAAGAGGATTTTTGTATATATCAGGATTAAAATGAAGAGGTGTGGGCGCAACCAAGAGGATCCAACCTTTTGGAATAGTATATCCTGCAAGTTAAATTTAAAGGATTGTAATTACTTATAATCATGTAGTAATAAACAAATTGTTTATCAAATTAAGAATTACATACCGTCAACGTGAATGTCAGTTATAGTTCTTCTTAAGATCCCAGGAAGATTATTTCCTAGCCTAAGTGATTCATTGATGACCTAATAATAACCAACACAAAAGCATGAATAATTGAACATTGGCCTAATTGTTTAAGCAAATGATTTTTTTTTTAATTGAAAAGGTCGGCATAAGCATAACTCACGTAATGAGTAAAAGTCATGGATTTGTATTCAGTCCACAAAAGTCCAGAATTGTCATCTTCTCTTTGCTTAAGAATTCCCTCATGCTCCTCCTACTCAAAACCAGTTAAATATATATATATATATATATATATATTTAATGCTCTTTTCTAGCAAGTTCCTCATCAACTTTAATGCTTTTCTTTGCTTCGGCATATATATGCACAGTACATCTTTTAAAGATTTTATAATTTGGCAGGACATTGAACTTAAAGGTTGTTTTTGCAAGGGCCTAATTGATTAATACAGCTTTTTTTCTTTTTTTTTTTACCTTTATACATCTGTAGAAAGCAGTCCCAGGGATATATAAAGGAAACGTCATGAGTCCTTGCAATATGCTGCTTAAATCTTCACCTAAATTTTCTTCTAGTTCACAACTCATCAGAATCTTTGATGCCAAGTCAAATAACATCTGCAAATGCCCAAATAAAGAATATTTATATTGGGAAATTATTACTATATATATTTATAATTCTATTATGAGTGATTTTGTTATACTGGAATTATTACTTACGGAAGCAGTTTGGTGTCTAACATCAACCTCTGGCTGCTTGGTCCACTCATGCAATTCATGGTTTATGGCATCCTCAAAATGAGACAAGAGCTTCTGTTTAAGAGCCTCGTGTCCAAAATGACTCAGAATCACGCGCCTCACAAACTTGTGTAAGTAGCCACCTAGTTTGTTCATGTTATCTTGGTGAACCAGCTTGGCAAAGGAATCCATGTAATATAGTTCAACAAGTTTTTCTTCTTGTTGCAGCACGTAATAGTTGAAATCAGGATCTAATGATACCACCACTGGCCGACCTGCTATACTTGTCTTGAACAATGGACCGTATCTAAAGCCATTTGGAAAAAAATTAAATTAAAAAAGAAGATGCATGGTTTAACTGGCAATTACATACATATTGAGGATTGTGTTCTTACCTTTTTATTCTTTCGTTAATGAAGGGATGGATGCCAATGGACTTGGAAGTGACAAACTAAGGGTCTCTCCTATAAATGGGAATCCCATGGAACCTGGAGGGAGTCTGCCCTTACATTTAGGGTTCCTCCACCTATGAACCCAGTTGGCCAAACTTGCACCAATGAAAAAGATGACAAAAACCCAAACATACCACACCTCCATTCTCGTACAAGTAGGAGAAATCCTCAAGGAGGAAAAGAGAGAAAAGATGGCACAATTCGTTGCTAGTGCTTTGAGTTGATTTTTTTGTGAAGAGAATGTCACAATTTATATTGAGAAGGGCCGGTCACCAATTTGGATATTGTAAATAGGATTTATATTTATGCACCATTGGTGTATAATATTATCATACACGATCAATGAATTATACAATAACATTTTATTGAAAAATAATTTTAAAAATATTTTTAGAATTAAATATATTTATTTTTTAAAATTTTAAAATTAATTTATATGAGGTATCATTTGTGTGATTTACGATAACACATTAAATATAAATTTTTATAAATAAATATTAACGTGTTAAACAATTTGAATATAGAAATATACACAAATTTTAAAGATTAAAATATAATAGTTAGTATTTGGAATATGCTTTTAATTTTGACACGTTTAGTATTAATCGATCGATTACTTTTTTTTTTAATTATGGATTAAAATTTAATAAAAAAATAGCTGAGTAAGGTTTGCTACTCATATATAATGAGAGTGAAAAATTTTAGCTTTGAATTAAATGATTTAATTAGGAGAAAGTATCCCATCCATCCGCTTTTAGTGAAAATTTTAAACTTTACAAATATGATTAGTATTGTAATATATATCCCATATTAAAGTTTTAATTAAAAAAAAGACATAAAACAATTTTTTTAAGTCTTTTTGTAAAACTAAAAAAAAATCATAAATAAAAAATGAATTCTTTAATTACGTAACTAATTAGTACCTTAAATCAAAAGGGATTATTAATATGCCAGCAGAAACGTACTACTTTTATTAATTATATATAAAGTATTATCTTTACTTCATAATAGATCTTTGATTTTTTTTTTATAAAAAAAAGTCGTAATCTAAAGATAATGATTTTGATTTTGATTTTGTGAAGAGTTTGAAAAACTTTAAATTAAAATTTTATTTTATTAATTATATATTTTTATAAAATTACTCTTAATTTGAAAAATAAAAAAAGGAAAGTTATAATTTTTTTTAGAGAAATGGAAAGTTATGGTTAAAGATAATATAAAAAATGTAAATTTTTTAATTTTTCAAACCAAACATTAATTTAAGACAATTAAAAAAAATGTAAATAACATAATCTTTATAAGACATTGGTAGCATATAGTTTCTCGATATAAAATATAATAAAATCGTAACTTTTAACTAAAAGTGTTATGATATGTGATTTTAATTTCAATAATCAAAATTTAAATTTATACACCAATAAAAGTTATACGAATGATTAAACTTAAGATTTGAGATACTTTATATTTAGGTTCGAATTCTCATAATCTTTTATTGATAAAAAATTTACAAATTTGAAAAAAATTTATAAAAAAATTCTTAAATATTTGTATGAATTGATAGTTTACTCTAAATTATACTCTACTCTTAAACTTATTTCTGATAAAAAAAAATTAAATTTGTACAATCTTAACTATAAAAATAATAATAATAATAACTCTTTGGGACTCAATTTCAAAGTGGACAATTTCCTCTGGGCTTCAATGGGTGTTTTTTTTTTTTTAGCTAGTTGGCTGCAATGGTTTAGTATGTTACGGAAAAAAGGACAAAATTTTAAATGGGTCAATTAATTTCAACGTTAGGTTGGTAGGGGTTGGCCATTGGTGTATGGGAAGGGTCATAATGGACCGGACGGTATGGGCATTCTAGGCTTGGAGCTAGCCTAATAAGCAGGCAACCATTATCAAATAAAGAAACAAAAAACAAAATAGCGGTCACATTATCCTTTGAATTAATTGATATATTATTTATATTAATATTTAAAAATTACGAATTTATAAAAATTTAAGCACATAATATTATTTTATATAATAAAAAAATTTAAGAGTAAAATAAGAATTAAAAAAATAAAAACAAAAACAATGAAATTAACATTTAATTAAATGAAAACTTAGCAATAAAAGAAATGGAACTTGGAATCCTTTAATTACTAATATCATATTAGGTTTTGAATAAAAATTTTTATTTGGTCAATTCAATTAATTTTAAATTAAATTATTTAAAACTAAATTAAATTAATTAAATTAAATTATTTTAATTTTGTTAACCGAATTAAATTTATACATTTTTAAAAAGAATTGATCGAAGTTAATTTGGTTAATTTAGTTAATTTTTTAATTAATCAAATAATAAAAATATTTAAATTAAATTATATTTTAAACATTTAATTTTTTATATTTTAAATAAATTAAATAAAATTATCAAATAAAATATTCAAATACCAAAGTATTATATTAAAAAATCAAACAACTTACGAAATTAAATGATCTATTTTATATATTTTTTATTTTATATTTTGATTATGTTATGTTTCAAATAAAATTTTAGTTCATTCGATCAATTCAAATTTTAAATCAAATTAACAAAAATTAAAATTTTTTTAAAATTATTTTTATTAATCAATCAAAACTAATTCGATGATTTATCGATTAATTGAATTAAATCTATTCAGTTTAATTAATTCTCTAAATTATGAACACCCTTTGAACATTGTGATTTGAGCATTATTGAAAATAAATTAATCTCAAGTGTTGGTAATTGGTGAACTAGGTAGATAATCTTTACTTTAAATACAATTAGAATGAAACGCGTGAATTATTTTTAAAAAAGTTTATTTATATTAAATTAAATAATATTACAAATAATAATATTTATTAAAAATACTAATAGTAATAATAATTAAGATGATTTTTTAAAATATCGATTTTTAAGTTTTAAAATTAATAAGATTTAATTTATTAAATTAATAATTTTATTTATTTTGTATTATTAACTTTTTTTTTAATGTGATTTGAAAATTTTAATTCATGCATAAAATTTAAAATTAAAATGACCAAAAAAAAAAAAACGCCTCATAATTTAGCATATATTCGTTTACTTTTGGTTGCTGATCAGATCCGTCAAGTATGGATCTAAGCTTAGTTTTTTATTTAAGTTGCAATTTTTTTTTATAATATCTCGCGCCTCAGAGCAACCTTATTTAATTTTCCTAAAAACTTTAAGCAAATTTTTTTTTTTTTAATTTCTTAACTAACGCTCGTGGATTTTCCGAAAGATACGGGTTTTAATTTCTATAATTGAAAACATTGTAATTAATATTTAATTGTTAAAATTAAGCAAAGCAAACGAAGCAATTACATTTGATATTTTATTCTAGTTAAATATAAATTTTTATGAAGATATTTATTCATGTTCAATATTTGAACTTAAAATTTTTTAATTAAGTTGTACGTTTAAAGTTCAAACAGAACATTAACTTAAAATTAAATATGAGAAATATTTACTGGATCAAAGCTTGGAACTTGCTCAATCCGTTGTCATTCAAAATAAAAAATGATTTTGATCATTTTTTTATGTTAAAAAAATTTAATATGAAATGATTAAAATTTAAAATAATTTAAACTCGAAATGCTTTGGTCGAAAATGTTTTGATAGGAAATGATGAATTTTAGAAATATCAACTTATCTAAATTATTATTAATTGTATCATGTCATTATTATTTACTTGTACAATTAAATGTGTATGGTGCAAATAAATATATAGTGATACGATTTCTAAATTAGTCATACTTGAAATTTTTTTTTATTTTAAATATTTATATATTTTTTCATATTATTTAATATTTTTATTTTTATTTTTTCTATATTCCATTTTTTTTATTTTTTTAAGTTAACCTACTATATTATTCATATTTTAAAATTTTTGTTTAAAAACATGGCAGAATAAGTTGCCTAAAAATTTCTATTTTTAAGAAACTTTTAACAACCAATTTTATTATGATTATTATTTAAGAAATAAAAATTTTATTAATTTAACTTGAAAGGTAGAATGAAACATAATAAATTAATAATTAAAAAAAAAAGGATTGGAAATTATTTCTTTGAAATGGTGTTACTGGAGGATAGTTAATGAGTAGAGCAATTTACTGTGTCAAAACAAAAAGTATTGAGTGAGGTCTGAGTTTGCACACTCTAACATTTTAAAATATTACATAATGATACCAAAATTACATAATTTAAAATTATAATAATAATTATATAAAAATTTAAAATTTAAAAATAAAATATTTAAATCAAACTTAATTAAAATTGACAATTTATAAAAAATTCTGATAAAGAAAGAGCAACACCAAAAGTATTGGGCTCGCTGAGTGATATGATAGCTAAAACTTTGAGTTGGCTTTAGAAAACTGTATATCATAATTTCAGCTAACATACTTTGGTCATTGTTCTAATCGTTTCATACATTTGATTCTAGTTCCAAGCCCATTTGTGCTTGGATCATCAAAATCCCCAAATCCTATTCTTCGCCTTAATGGCTAAATCTTTGCTTTTTTGGCGTAACCCTTCAGGTTTTAGTAGTCTTTGACTCGGACAGGATAGATAAAAACAATGAAATATTGGATTATAGCCTTTAGTTTTGTAACATAATCATTGACGAAAATAAGTCTATTTTCGTCTTTCTACATTTATTTCATATTCACCTTACTAAACAAAACCTTCCCATTAATTTGTTGTCGGCATGTAAAAACAAAATCCCAACTTAAATAATCTTAATAAGATTACATCTACATGATTAAATCATGATTTCCAATCACGAACATTTCATGTGGATCAAAAAGAATATTGAATTGAAATTTAATTTAATTAATTTATAATTATTTTTTAATAATAATATTTAATAAATTTATTATTCAAATTTTAATTTTTACAATTTTTTTACCTCAAACTACAATTTTTTATTAAAAAGAAAACTAAAAATGTTATATATGGTAAGTACTATTCTACAAGATTAGGTTAGCAAAATCTGTGGCCCAAAATTTCCACTATCGGAATATTTTAGTAACACAAAAAAAATTAAAAATAATACAGCCGACAGCCCTCCACTTGGTCACATCTACTTATTTACATATTGTCTTAATCTAGAAAAACATTAAACGGATTAATTAATTCAAAAATATAATTTCGAAAAAGAAAAATAGTGGAAAACACCTTTATAACAACAACTTCCCCACTTCTGTACATGAACAAACAAAATTATTTACCATCAAAAAGTGAAAACCATCGCGGTTAGCAAGCCTTATAACCGCGGTAACTCCATATTTTCAATGCCGTGCAATTTGCAAGGTGCTCTCTTTTTTACACGTGTCCTCATCTTTTTACGAAACTTCATCAACTATGCTGGACTTTCAGCCTTTATCAGCTATCGGAGAACAAAGACGGATGACGAAACAGATCGTAAGGGGCCCACAAGGAATCCAGCGGACAAGGTTTTTTAGAGTCGATTCTAAGCCAAGGCTTTCCCTTGCCGCTCCAATGCAACAAGCTAACCGGACCGGGGTGTAGCGCACGACATAAGCCTTCCAAGTTGTCCCCACCGAGCCCATGTTGGTTCCAGCGGTGCTCCATCCCTTCCACGTCACCGGCGAAAACTAACAAAAAGGGCGGCAAAGAACCAAGCTCGTAAATACGGTACCGTTTCTGAATCCTCATCCAGTTTTCTAATTTCTCTGTGTATTTTCCTTCTCTCCATTTCCACAAATCGATTACCATAACGCCAGTGTTGAAGTAACAAGGGTTCCTCGATCTTGCCTTAAACGGCGCCGTAAATAACGGATTGGACCAGAATTTGGAGGTGAAGTAGTTGGTGAAGTTGGCGTGGCAATACTCTGGAGCTCCCAACACGTGGCTTCCTAAATTGATGCTCCATAGCTTGATGACGTCATCGACGACGATGAGGTCAGAGTCAAAGTAGATGATACGCCGGACGCCAGCTGGCAGCAGATCAGCTAAGTACATACGCGCATAATTCAACGGTTGATCCAACGCGCGCCTGATGGAGGAAGAGATCTTTCCCTTTACCAGATTAGTATCGAAGTGGTAGAGGTGGAAGTTGAGGTAAGGGAAGGTGGAGGTAATGGTGCGCGTGAGTTCAGCGCCGCGGCGGTGCGTGGAGATGAAATGGAAGACGATGTTTTCAGGACAAGTAGCGTGGTAGAGAACAGAGAAGACTCCGGCGATGGAGCCACGGAGGTAAGCGGTGTCTAAGGTCATGGCGATGTGGATAATGGAAGGATTGTGAATTTTCTTGTCGAGGGATGACCATGTCGTTTTGGGACATTCTCTACCGTTTCGAAATGCCGGCGCTTCTCGAAAAGAAGGTAACTCGGCGAAACAGAGATGGACCATCACCGTTAAAATTAAAAACAGATTGAGAGGTTTAGATTGAGGCATGGTGGTTGTGGAAATGAGGGACAGTGATCTGAGAGAGTGATGGCAGAAAGAGGGAGAGATAATGAAAGAATGTTTTGGTTTTTTGGGGTTTGTTTAGGGTATTTCGGGAACTTCGGCTTTTTTTGGGTTGTGGCGAGGAGTGGGGGCCAACTAGGGACTATGCCAGGCTGGCAAGACGCGTCTTTTGTCTGCCCGACTACTTGATTTGATTTTGTACATAGTGAAAGGCTGGAGAGGGTCAGAAGGGGGAGTGATCTTGTGGTTCTGATTCACGGTACGAACTGGTGGAACCATACAAGTTAATTTACATCAAACGGAAAAGATTTTGTTTTTATCTGGGACCAAGATTGTTGTTTTACAGTGAAGGGACCGCATGAGAACCAACAATTTTGACGTATAAATAGGTTATTATTTCATATTATTGATGAAATTTTATAATTTTTGTTATATATGCTTTTTTTTTTCAAATATTAGTACGTTTTAATAGAATATATTAGAGTAATGTTTAATTTTATTAAATAAATTTTGAAATTTGATTATTAAATAGTTTTTATATTATTTTTTGAAAAAGGGGTTTATATTTTATTGTGGGAGGTAGATAGTAATTAGTAGTAGTAATAATTAATAATTACTGCTTTTTCTTCAGCTATTGTTGGGTGTTGGCTGATGGAGTTGCGTTATTGTTGTTCGATAAAATTTTGTGCTTGTGACATAAAAAGACTTTTAGGTAATTCTAGTTAATATTCACATAATTGTTAGTATAATGTGTGTTTTTTTCATGACACCGTGTCATGTTATTTTTTTATGTATAAAAAACAGTAAAATGAGAATAAAATAAAATTATAAATATCAAAATTAAAATTTATTATATATTATATTTTAAAGGTATAAATTAATTTAATTAAACACTAATTCATCTCCAACTATACTTTTGTGTCAAGCTAATCCTGGTTGCGACCAGCGACCCTTGATTCTGCTGGGGTTTTCTTAGTAAGCCAAAAGCAAGTCGATCCATCTTGAATTTAGTTTCCAATCCGAGCTTTTCTTGGTAAGACCTCTATCGCGTACTTCAACCGGGGTTCTTTTTTTTTAGTTTTACCTTGATTGGTGGCATGATTAAGACGCAGATTGCAAGGCTATCTAGCACCAGAACCAGCATAGCCTAGGCGGGGCAGTTAATTTAAGGTTCAAAAATAACATCAGGATTTATTACTTACACGGGAAATGCTGGTTAGCACACGTATATTGTTGAAATTGAATTTCAATCTCTGCAAACCTGCATTTGCTGAAATAAAGTAATCTGAACGTGCACGTGCGTTCCCCGTAGGCATTCATTTTTCATCATTGTTGTGGTGACAGGTGGTGAGCCCAGACCCCGGAGCCAGGCCAGGTAAAAGTAATCTTTATTGCTGGGACTGCATGTCTGCATATTCTACAACCACAACCTATTCTCTTGCTTGCGGCATAAACTGTATATACTTTTTGCTTGCTTCCTCTCCATTTTGGATTGTGAAATTTATGACCCTTTCAGCTGGCCACGAGCTGGCTGCTCATGAAAGCCCACTTTCTATGGTTTCTTGAGGTGTAATTGGGCAAGTTGTGTTGAATACTTGTATTTAAGCAAACACGATTTCCTTCTAATTTTGGGCCTTTCTCTATGAATGGACTGCATGGTAAATGGGTTGGATATTTAGGATTTTGAGTACTTCAAATTAAGTCATTTTGGTATTAAATATATTTGAGCGGGAATTATTTTAAATTTAAATGATTGAGTTTTAAAATTAAATTAATTTAAATTCAAAATGATTTGGATTGCACAAGTTCATATTATTCATTTTTTTAGTCAAATTATGTTGGATTCAGAGGCGTTTTTGGGTAGATATATGTCTATCCCAAAACTGTTTTTATGTCATTGTAATTTAATAACTCATCCCATCTAATATTAATATCGATTTTCTCTTTTTCATCAACTTTTCTTCTTTGTCTTATGTGGCTTTGTTCCTGATTGGATTGTATTCGAATTTGAACGTATTATAAGTTTGAGTTATTTTTACCAGATTTTGCTTTTGTTGCTTTTCCTTAATTTTGAAATCCATTTCTTCCTCTCGACTGTTGAATGGAAATGACTAGCTAATGCTTTGTTTCTTGTTTTAAAATCCTATAAAATACGTTCATATTTAATTTTAATTCAGTTTTTTTTTTTTAATATTTAAGCCTTCATTTAAGCAGTAGAATGGTTAGAAATAAATGCACTTGCCATGGGCGATGCCCATTCTAGTATCAATGGCTTAGTGCAGGACAGCCGACAGTGAATCTTCAAATCCTATTAAATTATCCAAATTGATTGACTGTATTATTGTATTATCTTAATAATTTGATGGATTTATGCTTGTTACCGATGCTGTCCAGTGGCCACCGCATTGGATCGATATCCAACGGATCCTTGGCTTTTTTGCTTCTACTCCTTGCTATCAGGGAACAAATATTAACAGACAAATTTTACGTTTTAGAATTGAAAATTCTCAGTCCTTGTGCCAGGTTATGTCGTATGATTGTATAGAAGAGCTAAACTTTCCTGCATGTAGTTGAGAATTATGCTCAGAGGCTGGCTAGATCAGCTTTGGATACATCAGAAGCCTCTCTATATTGGTGCCAGGATTTAAACAAAACTCAGCTCCACAGGCCCCAATGTCCTCGGTGCAACTTACCCAGAGTCCGAGAGAGGGTTGAGAAGGATGCAGAGTAGGCTTTGCATGCATTAGGTAATTCATCCGAGTCTGGTTACAAAATGCATCAATGAAAACCCTTTTCAATCCGACGCTGCCTTATTAAATTCCATGGCCTCCAGGCTCATGCTTTGCTAGATCAGATCATTTTTTATTTCTCTTTTCACAAAAGTCAAATTTACTGAGCAGCTGAATATGACTCTGATAGGCATGTATGGGAACATTTGAATTCTGCGCTATTATTTTATGTCACAAACAAGTGCCAGGCCAACCAGGATTTGAGCCAGGACCAGGGATCGATGGTGATTTTTCTTGTCTGATGCAAAGTTTAGCAAATGTTTCCTCATGGCAATTTGTTTTTGAATAACATTTTCCCATTGCTGCTCGTTTGATATTTGACGTCTGAAGTGAGAAAGCGATCCGCCTATTGGCGTCTCTGCTTCAAACTATTTTTTAGGCTGGAAACTATTATTTCTCTCTCAGGCATTTGAATCGTGAAGTTCATGGTTTTGCTTATGGTTTGAGAGGTGGGGGCTTTGGCACCTATGCTGTCGGTTTGCAAATGTATCAACTTTCCATTTACGCAAAAGAATATGTTCAAATTGAAATGAGAGTGTTGTCTGTGTTCATGTTTGTGTTCGTGTGAAGCTACTTATCCAATAAGAAATGCATTCCTACAAGGGCTGATTTACTAGTAAAATAATACTTTAGAATTTGTTTCCAAAATTTAGTTCAAAATGCCAAACTTTTTACAGCATTAAAATTAAAAAATATATATATTATTACTTCAACAGAAAGGGCATTGTTAAACTTATAAAAACCGAAAAAGGAGTTGACTTTCGTAAATAAACAGATCTTGATCCCCGGAATCAGAGGAAAAGATCCGAAATCCAAGTTCACATAGAAAAAATCTGAATCCTTAATTTAAACAACTTCAAACCTAGCAGCACAGACATCATGTGCACCCCAACAGTTCCCCACAACTAAGTTCCAAAAACTAAACTTGAAAACTCGCAAAGCTGTAACAAACAACGGTATCAACAGTCATCATTGATTACCGTTCAAAGCAACCACTTTAAGTTTCCTTAGTTCTTAGTTTGACTCTCTTTAAGTATCATAGCCTACCAACCTCTCTCTCTCTCTCTCTCCCTCTTCACATACAAATTATCAGAGAAGCTGAGATCAATCTTTACTCTCAATTGAAAGGTATTTTTTTTCCATTTTTTATTGTGGGTATTTGTTTAATCATTTGGAACTTCTTGATTCTTGTGCTAAAAAGTGATTATCGAATTCCAGTTTTTCAATGGGTTTTCTTCGAAAGTTGTTTTAACTGATTGTTGCTTATTGAACCTGCTAAGTTCGAGAATAGATAATTATTTTATCAGGTAATTTAGTTGTTTGGGATTTGATTTATTGGATGAAATAATGATGTCGATGATCAGCAAGTTTTCACTGTCGTTGGATATGTCAAGATGGTTATTTTTTACATTTTGCTTGAAGCTTTAGGTTTGATGTTGCTTTCTTGATATAATGACAAGTTTTTATATTTAGAATTAAATGGAATAGGAATAGGGGGGACAAAATCATGGATTAAAGCAGTTTTTGGATCATACAAAATGCAAATGATTGTTATATATTTTATTTATTTCTGGTGTCTTCAGTTTGATCAATGGAAATTTGTTGGTTTTATGCAAGTGGTTTACTAATTTCAGACAATTTATAAGGATTCTTTGAAGCTAAATATATGAGAAATTTTGGCTATCTATAATTTTGACTAATGCTTGGCTTTCCATAAAAAAATCCGTTGACATGTTATTGTCTTTGATGAAGGAAAATGAACTAAGTGCTGCTTGGTGTACTTGTCGGGTTCATGATGGAGTTACTTGCTTCTATTGGTTGTTATTTTCGGAGTCCTTTGAGAACTATTTGGTTATGGATATCTCTGGTACTTGTGCTGCAATATAGTAAAACAGTACACTCAGACTCCAACTATTTAATCGGGCTTGGAAGCTATGACATTACTGGACCTGCAGCCGATGTTAATATGATGGGATATGCTTACACAGAACAAATTGCTTCCGGGATTCACTTCAGGCTGCGAGCTCGTTCATTTATTGTGGCAGAGCCGCAGGGGAAACGAGTAGTATTTGTTAATCTTGATGCTTGCATGGCTTCACAATTAGTGACAATTAAAGTGCTTGAGAGATTGAAAACAAGGTAGTTATTATCACAGCATGTTATGCCTGGAGATCTGCCTTTTGTTTTTAACATATAAAAGTTAAATCCTGATGGAAGTTTATGCGATTATCTATTTGAAGTAAGTCATTTGTGCATCAGAAAAACAGAACTTATTCAACTGCAAAACTCGTTCAGCTTGATCTTTTGAAATTAAGATATAGTATCCGTCTCTGACCTTTTTATTTTTAGAAAAAATGTTATTTCAACAAAGATTGAGACAGAACCAAAGACACCTGAGCCTTTGAAATAGATGAAATTGGATGCTTGTTCACATGGGTTTTAGTTTGATATGCATTTATGGTTGGTATTTTAACTTTTGACTTGTCTACCCTCATATAATTGCTTCTTATACTCGCAGATATGGGGACTTATATACTGAACAGAATGTTGCTATCAGTGGTATTCACAGCCATGCTGGTCCTGGGGGTTATCTCCAATATGTGGTGTATCTCGTGA